CTTCAGTGACCCCTGCCGCTTCAGAGGACCCTGAACGCGCCCCGACGCCCCAGGCAGATGCTTCGGAAGAACCCCCTGCGAAGCCGCAAGTCTCTTCTGATGGTCCTCTCGCCCCCATGGCGCCCCTTGAAGAGAACGAGAATTCAACACGGGAGGAAAAGGCAGAGCCTGCAGGAGAGAAAGTACCTGTTGAGCCAACTGTTAATGCCAGCGGGCAACAGACCTCTGCACTCGTCGTGGAACCCCCTGCCGAGGATTTGCCCTCTGCCTCGACTGAGAAACCTCTAGCCGAGGCCGAGAACGCAGGTGAGGCTGATGCCGTTTCTCAGCCCCACGAGCCGAAGCCTGCCCCGGACGAAGACGTCGATGAAAGTTGGGCCGTTGGGTTGACCAAGAAGCAGAAGAAAAAGAAGCTCAAGGAGCGCGAGAAAGCATTGGCCGAGCAAGCGGCTGCTGATGCAACGCGCGTCACCCCTGAACCCCCCGAGCCTGCTGCAGTCCCTGTCAGTGCTTCGTTGGAGCGTTCAACCGAGGGTGATCAGGTCGCTACTCCCATCGACTCAGAACTGACGGCTGCAGAACGGCATGAAGAGCACCAAACCCAGCAGGAGCATACCGCAGAACAGAAGGCTGGAGCTGAAGATGCCCAGAGCTCCGAATCCCCTACCCCTGCCGTTGTGGAAGAAGAGGAAAAGACTATCAGTGCCCAGCAGGGCGACCAAGTGGAGTCAGTTCCGGCAGCCGCGTCAACTTCGCCGCCAGGCCCTGCTGCTGAGGAGACCATGGGTGACGAGAACTGGGCTGTGGGCTTGTCGAAGAAAGAGAAGAAGCGCAGGAAGAAGGAAATTGAGGCAGCTCAGGCTCGTGCACTGGATACTGAAGTTGCGAGCGGTCAGGCTAAGGGAGGAGCCGAAGCAGAAGGACAGCCAACTTCTGACGAGGTCGCTCAAGCCGATGCCCATCAAGAAATCGAAGCTCCCGCTGAGCCTGTGGGGACCGAACCAGCAGCAACTAAGAAGGTCTCGGTTGCGGAACCGGCAGCCGAGATCGAGGCGCCGGTAGATGAGACTAGGGAAGCAGACAAGGAGGATGAAGACTGGGCAAAGGGGCTCTCCAGCAAAGAGAAGAAAAAGAGGAAGAAGGCACTGGCAAAGGCTAAGGCTACGACAGAAGTCTCGGAATCTACCGCACAGGAAGCTGCCGACCAAGACAAGAAGCCATTAGAAGCTACTAAGCCAACAGCGGAAGTTGGAACGGCTTCTGAGTCTTTGGCTCAGCCTGGGATTGACGAACCGGACAACGTGTCGGAAAGACCACAGCTGCCTGTTGAAATCACTGAGCCCGCGGAAGTCACACAAGACAATGCTGCCATCATGGCCGGTGACCATATCACGGTGATTGAAACTCCTCAGCCGCCGGTCGCTACGATCTCTGAGGAAGTGCAGGCGGAGGTGGAACCCGATTCCAAGCCGACAAAGGACAGTGCACAAGATCCCGTTGTCACTGAAGAGCCCGCAACACCATTATTTGACGACAATGACGAAGACCTTGCCGGCCTGTCTAAGAAGGAGAAGAAGAAGCGGAAGAAGGAAAAGTCTAAGGTCGCAGCAACGGACCGGGAGCCGACTTTTGAAACTCCGAAGGAGCCCGAGCCTGTGGAGGAGCTGCCTGCTGATCAAGCTGGGAGCGCAGGTCCGGCGGTGACCGAGGTCGCGGCTGACTCTGAAGTTGCTCAGCTGTCCGCAGCACAACCAGCGGCAGTCGAAGAGCCCGTCCAGCCCACGACAGTCGAAGAGCCCACTTCCACCCAAAACGTCGACCCCAATGTCGCCACTGCTATGGCACCTCGCGATGTCACCGGTTCTGCCCACGATGACAAGGAGGTCATTGCAGGTCATGAGCCTGAGGCGCAACCACTATCAACAGAAGGCATGTCAAAGAAGGAGATCAAAAAACGTAAGAAGGAAGCCAAGGCTCTGGGGCTCCCTGATCCCTTTGAGGTGCCAGCCACTACTACAACATTGGACCCAGCCACGCCTGTAGAGGCAAGCGAGGAACTGCCCGAGCCACGCGACTCCAAGCCGCTTGTCGACGAAGGTGGCGACGCCGACAGACCCGCTATATCTGCTGAGGTCGACACAGCCCCAGCAGCGACAGAAGAACCCTCTCCAAAACCTGCTGAAGCTGCTATCGATGATCAGGATGCTTGGGGTGCCTCAGTTAGTGACGAGCTGCCTAAGAATGATGAGGAGATGATGGAGGAAAAGGCAGCCGGTATTGGCCATAAGACACCTGATGTGCCTAAGCCATTGATTGGCGAACCACCCGTGCCGGCGGAGATGGAGTCCGCAGATAAGGAATTGGAAGAAGCGCCAGAGTACATGGCAACGAAGAAGGTGGATGAGGTGGAGAAGGAAGAAAAGGCGAGCTCTGCGAAGAAGTCGAAGAAGGACAAGAAGAAAGCCAAGAAGCTGGCTCTAGCTGCAGCGTCGGTAACACCACCAGGGGGCGAGACTGAAGAGTCCGCGGAGCAAACGGGCGGCCTACCTGAGTCCACGGAGACCGCTCATCAAGACGAGGCAATTCCGAGCCTAGCGGACGCTACACTCGAGGCCAGGGACTTGCCGCAGGGCGATGGACATGCAGCGGAAGACGAGCGCCATGAGGATACTCCTGGTGCGGAGTCCAGCTCGCTGCAGGTCGAAGACATGACATCGACGACACTTTTGGCACACCCGGAAGCCGAAGTGGACAGCCAAGACGTCGAAGAGCCAGTTGACAGAGTATCCGAATCCGCCACTGCCATGGAACTTGACCAACCTGAGCCAGCCGTCTTGACCGGAAAAGCCGAGGACGCTACCCCAGTAAGCCAGATTCCAGAAAGCAACAAGGGAAAGAAGCGCATGTCTGCGCAAGAAACGCTGGAGGAATCAGTACAGACATCAGCGCCCTCTGAAGAGCCCATCCCGGTGCCTACCGGTCCTGAAGCTCTGGTAGACGTCCCACAGAGCGGCCAAGCGGACCTCCGTCAGCAGCCCAAAGATGACAGGTTGGACAGAGACGTGGCCCTAACTCCGATGGCAGTGTCTCCGGCACTGGAACGCACTCAAACTTTTCCAATGACTGAGGACGATATCATGATGCCAGACATCACTGAGTCTACTGAAGAAATCCATGACAAAGACTCCGCCAGTCATGAGCCCAGGAAAGACGACGACGTCATGATGCAAGAAGTTGAAGCATCGGCTGAGCCAGTACCTCTGGCAAAAGAAGCAACAGTGCCCCAAGATTCAGCAGAGACGTCTGCTGGGGAGTCGTTGACCATGGCTGCAGCGGGCGCCGCACTCACCGCAGGGACAGCCTCGTCCAAGAGCACTAGCGGGAAGAAGGAGAAGAAGAGCAAGAAACAGGAGAAGGTGGTGGAGGAAAAAGAAGACGAACGTTTCCGGGCTGTGGACGAAAAGCCGGAGTCGAAGGAGGAGGAGGCCAGGGCACTCACAGAACCAGTCGTGGCTATTGGCTCGACTGAAGTGGACAAATCCGACCAGGGTCTCGGTTCGGAGCAGCTTCGAGGACCGGGACTACTCGAGACAACACCTGTAGCTCCACATGGCGAGTCCCTTCTCGGTGTCGACACAGTCGAGGGCAATGAAGCGCTGTTGACCCCTCAAGGTGAAAGCTTGTCAGGGTCCGAAGGCGGATGGAAAGAGACACCTCGTCAAGGTGCGCCCCTGGACGACATGGAGGTGGAAGAGAGTCCAGTCGCGGGTCGCGGCGAGATGATCCCGGTGTCTAGATCGCCGCCCAGCCTTTTACGATTCCCTTCGGATGTGGAAGTGCCTACGAGTGGCCTGTTGCAGGAAGATACACAAGCATCAGCCCTTGTTGGTGTCCTAAACTCAGACTATGGGGGCTCACGGCTGTCGCCGGCGCGATCTCTACCTGCTGTGGAAGAAGTGCCTGAGCCAGAGCCCGAGCCAAGCTACGCGAGCAGAGAACTACAGCCAGCGGGAAGTGATGTCAAGCTTGACAGTGGTCCTGCGGCCGGGGCACCAAGACTCCATCAGCGTCGCAGCCGTGCTCGTCTGGCTGCAGAGGGGCAGGAGCAACAACGCAATCGAGACGAGCCTGAAGCGCGGGCGGCAAAGACGCCTACAAACAGAAAGGTGGGAACGGTCTTTGGGACTCCAGTGCTACAAGAGCCAGCTGCGCTTGAGCTGACTCCAGAGCCCGAGAAGAGAAGAAGCACAAGGAAAGCGGTGGTCCAACAATGCGAGCCCTCTAGCCCAGCTGCGGCTTCGACGCCCGCAACGACAAGTCAGCCTCGGATGCTTCGAGAGTCTCCATCGATAGGACGCACTCGAGACTTGAGGGACACGCCCACACTGCCAAAGCCGAGGGAGCTCATCGAGTCGCCCTCGTTTGTACGCCCGCGGGAACTGCACGAATCGCCATCACTGAGGTCAAGCAAGTCAAAGGGCTACGGAGACTTGCGCGAGGCGGCTGCAACGCCACCAACGGGGACGACACCAAGAGTATCGAGAGAACAGCGAGAGTCACCGTCGCTGCGCAGCGTCAGGTCACGCAACTATGGCGAGCTCTCGCAGGCAGCTGGAGTTGGTCCAGCTCCAGCAGCCAATTCCTCTCGCAGCGTCTCTGACCACTCGAGCACCAGCCGCAAGCTCCAGCCACAAGACGGTCATGGTGGGGCTACGGTGGGGCCTCAGCCACAGGCGCGACGTTCCCTGTCCAACACCAGCCTCGTGCGTAAACACACGCCTGAGCCACTCAAGCTGCGGCCTGAAAGTCCAGGCAGAGGCAGACTGGGAGGCTCAGGCAGCAACAGCAGCAGCAGCAGCACCCCCCAGCTGCCGCCCAGAAACACCCCCACTCCTCCACTTCGCCGGGTCGACAAGCGCGTGAGCGGCGACCTAAGAGCTCTCCGTCAACAAAACACCCCGACACCCGTCGCCAACGAGGGTCGTGTCCGTCAAAAGGACATGACCGATGTCTACGTGAGTCGCTGCCATCCCCCTTCCTTTGATTCCCATCAAACTGACAATGACCAGGATGGCTTTGGCGAGGGCCGCATCGGCTCGCCCAGATCCCCGACTCGGCCCCACAGCATGCGACGCAGACAGAGCATGCAGGTGCTCGAGCTGGAATCCAGAGTCGACCAGCTCCTCGCAGAGAATCGCATGCTGAGCGAGGCACGATCACACGCCGAGCAGAACCTCACGCAGGCTCAACGCGCCGCGACTGCGTTATCCGACCGCGACTCCGAGATCGAGTCGCTCAAGGCGTCCCTGCAGTTCCTGCAGAATGAAGTAACACGCCTCACCGAAGTCAACGATGGCCTCACCAGCGCCAACGCCGAGCTCGCCAAACAAGACCATGGCCGCTACACAGACCTCGAGTCTCGCCATGCCAGCGTCACGCGAGAGCTCACCGAGGCGCGGGGCGCCCACAATACCTTCCAGCAGTCGCTGTCCGACAAGGACGCCGAGATTGCCGAACTGCGCGCGCAGCTCGAGGATGCCAAGGAACAGATCCGCGAGATGCAGCGCAAGATACTCGAGTCCAAGGCTGCCGACAGCGACTTCCTCGACATCAGAGATGAGGATCACTTTGACAACCGCTGCCAGCAGCTCTGCTCCCACGTCCAGCAGTGGGTGCTGCGCTTCTCCAAGTTCTCCGACATGCGCGCGTGCCGGTTGACCAGCGAGATCAATGATGAGAAGACCATTGACCGTCTCGACAATGCCGTGCTGGACGGCTCCGATGTCGACAGATATCTCGCAGATCGCGTCAAGCGTCGGGACATTTTCATGTCCATGACGATGAACATGATCTGGGAGTTTGTATTTACGCGCTACCTCTTTGGCATGGACAGAGAGCAGCGCCAGAAGCTCAAGTCGCTCGAGAAGAACCTGACAGAGGTCGGGCCGCCACACGCTGTCCGTCAGTGGCGCGCCGTGACGCTGACCCTTCTCGCCAAGCGAGACAATTTCAAGCAACAAAAGGACCAGGACACCGAGGCCGTGGTCCAGGCCATCTTCCAGACGCTCTGCAAGATTCTCCCGCCGCCGGGCAATCTCGAGAGCCAGATCCAGACCCAGCTGCGGCGTGTCCTCCGCGAGGCTGTGGATCTGTCCATCGAGATGCGCACGCAAAAGGCGGAGTACATGATGCTTCCGCCCTTGCAGCCCGAGTACGACTCGGAAGGCGAGCTGGCGGCGACGGTCCAGTTCAACGCCAGCATGATGAATGAGCGCTCTGGGAAGAACACGTCGTCCAACGAAGACCTCGAGGCCGAGGGCGCAGTAGTCCGCGTCGTCCTCTTCCCCCTCGTGGTCAAGCGGGGCGGCGATGATGGTGTAGGGGATGAGGAGATTGTGGTGTGCCCCGCCCAGGTGGTTGTCGCGACGCCCAAGGGGCGCCGGGGCTATGCGGCATCGAGTGACGCTGGGGGAGCGTCGCTGCTCGGTGGCCGCAGCCACATCAGTGTCGTCACGGAACACATGGGCGAGTAGGTGCACCAATACATCTCTGTGCACGATGTGGGATGGGAATAGAATCGGTTGGGGTAATGAATCACAAGGCCCGGGTCCAGGATCTATTACACGGATGGGTATGGGAAAGGGGTGCAGACGGTTGGGTCGGTTGGTTATGATATCCAGGGTTTTATTTGCGTTAGGTTTGGGTGCTCTTTGTTTCCATTTTCTTTCTTTATTCTTTTTTTATATTTCTTTGATTTTCTCTCTCTAGATTATCACGGCCGGCATGTTTATGTATTATGTCCTATGCAATCTATTACGCATGCTCTCTTCATGCCTCACATGCCTACTCTTGATCACATGGACACTACTAATGACAAGGGCTCTAGTGGTACTTAGAGTATGCGCCGCAAAATGCAGATATAGTCACTATGCGCCAGTGCCACCGATGTCGAGGTGACAATGGGACACTCATAATGGGCTCGCTTGTAAACACTAGCTGGGTATATTCATCATCTTTATCTAGGTGTGTCCTCTCCCATGATATCTCGAAGGGGATGCAGAACGATGGCCATCACACTTCATAACTCAGGATGTCCTGCGCTCAGCACTGAGGTTGGCAAACGGATCTGGGGACGCAGTAGACGTATCCAGTGCAAGTGTCTCGTCCGCCACCGATGAAGCCTCGACGGGACTCAAAGATGCTCCCTGTCTTTCGGCGCGTCTCTTCCGCTTCGGCTGGGAGTTAACTCCCTCGTTCGCCAAAGTCCATGCCTGCGCGCTACGGGCAGCCAATAAATTGCGCCAGCCGTGGAGTGTTTTCTGGACCTTGTCCGCCTCGCATTCGCCGTGGTACTGACGGACTTTGCCAACAAACCACTGTAAACGCGCGCTTCTCCCGTACTGCCCGTGCTCGAGATCTTGTAACACAACCTCGGACACAACACGCAGTACGGCTGGCGAGCCCACGGCCGGTTGCCCCCCCAGGCCGGACACAGGCCTTGCGATGGTCTCGCTAGCCTGGAGACACAGAGAAACACCCTTCAAGGCCTGGCGGTTGCTCAACTCCTTGGACTGCATGTACCGGCAGGCCATCCGGACTAGAAGCTCTTCAAGCCTTTTGCGGACAGTATCCATTGGCAAGGCCGAGGTATCCTGTCCTTTACCGAGCATGAGTAGCTTTCCCCCGGTGCGCAAGATGTGGAAGACGTGCTCCAGTTCCTCAAAGAATCGGACATTGATGGATTTCGCGTTTGTAAAACCGGCGACCCTTTCCATAACGCGGAGGGCTGCAGGGCCCAAGTGGCTGGCTTCGGGATCTATCCACGACAGAATGAGAGCCTGGAGATGCCACCTTTGCACGTCGAAGCGCGTGACCATCTTGTCGAACGGCTGGAATTGCACAAAGTCCTGCAATCTCAGCGCCGCGTTGTTACCCTGAAACGTCGGGTCCTCGAATGTCGCGGCGAGCGCCGTCCAGCGCGACGCTTCACGCGAGTATCTTGCGCTTTGCTTGTGCATGTCGACGACCCAGTCTCTGCTCACGAATCCGCCTGCGCGCATGCGCGCCATGACCAGGGCCCGTGCCTCGGCCGACGTGAAGCCCTCATTCTCCGAGCGCCCGTGGCGCTCGCGAAAAGTCTGGGCCATGACTAGAACATCTGTGACGCTTTCCTTTGTGCTCAGGGCGTGGAGCAGCAGCCACGTCAGGTCCCGCTGACGGGATGAGTCGTTGCTCCACACGTTGCCACCGTCGACAAGTGATTTGAGCACCGACGTCGGGAATTTATTGAAAGTCTCTGAAAATTTGGCGATTCGCACGTGCCACTCGTGCATCGGGAGTGCTGTAATGTAGTCGCCATGAATGTTGACAAAGGCCTCTAGGATATACTTGAGACCCTCCTCGTCAAGGACGGCATCGCGCCCCGATAGTGGAACGTGCATGAGAAATGAAAAGAGCCGGAATTGGTGATGGCTCGGGGGCATTGCGTAGATGCCCGTGACGATAGCCTGCAGTGCCTCGAGCGTCTGCGTCGTAGGTGCCTTTTTGTGCACGGCGAACAACATGTCGAACATTGTTTTCGCGAGTCGATGCGTGATCATGGTGTGCTGTTTACGCGTGAGATCGGGGTGCCAGTCCGTGTGCGTGCTCGGCAGCAACAGTGCCGCCACATCGTTGGCAGAAAAGTCCAGGCGGTCGATGCGTGACTGTAGTTGCTTGCAGCAGGCATTGAGTGCGTGTTTTAACCGGCCATCCTCGATCTTTTGGAAGGAAGCCACTTCGCGACGGAGAGAATCCACCTCTGTGAGCAGGGCGCCGCGCTCTGCAGCACTTGGTGCTGTGTCGAGGCTTGGAGCATCATCGACCGGTGGGTCTAAAAAGGGTTTGTCCAGGTCCGACGCCTCCAGCCATCGTGTGATCTTCTCCAGAACGCTCTCGACTGTGATCTTGGCCTCCTTCTGCCTTCGCTGCTCGGCGTTGGACGGCGGGTGCCATGTCCACTCGTTCTTGTTGCCTAGCAGCTCAAAGTACCACGACTGCTGGTACGGCGACGGAGGTTCGAGAAAAGCCGTCAATTGCCTGCGCCCCAGGCGCCGTCGTCGTGCCTCGGGCGAATTATTGTGTGCGCCGCTCAGGCTGCTGGTGATGAGGGTCCGGCGCTGGAACTGCTCGTATGTCTGGCGTAGCATCAGATCAGTGACCCAGATGGCAGCTTGGGAGCTCGGTGTCGGTTGCCGGGTTTTGGCACGACATCGAGACGCGGTGGCCATTGGGCCGTCCGAGTGCTTTTGGGGGGGTTCGGTTCCTTATGGTGTCGGCATGTCCAGTCGTGACGGCGTGAGGCGAGTAACAATTGTGTACATAGAGGTTGCCGACTCCAGCCTGGCGGGCAAGATGTGTCGCGACGTCAATTGCACTCGAATTGGTGGTTGCTGTTGGAGCCGGCTTGCGGCATTACTCTGTTCCGTGGACGAGCTCCAGCTCCACTAATCACAACTACCAAGTATCCACATGCGGATCGGCTCGCTGATCGCTCTTTCCCTCCAGATTTCCTTAGTAAATTATAGTATCTGTGGGAGATGCGGAAAGCTCATTGTTCCACATCACCTACAACGAAACAAAGTACTCAAAGATGCCACTCAAGGGGAGCAGAGTCGACAATTGCATTGTCTCTGTTCACCCACCGACAGGCTGTGCTCTACAATTTCTGCATCATGCCTGAGCGAACCACCCGTCGCGATAGACCCCACTCACCATTCACACTCATTGACTCAAGCTTGAGCTGTTGAACAATGCGTACCCAAACCTACTTACGCTGGATGGAATGTTATCGCTTTCTCTATCTCTGAGGGGACGAATGCCTATTTCCGGCTTCGTCCCTGCCGCTTCTCAGTCAAATGGTTAATGGATGGTCAATTGGGTTCACCTCGTGGGTTTGTACCGGCGCTGGCGCCAGCAGGGGTGGCAGGGCTGACATGCAGATACAACCATGGAGTTGCAGCTGTTATATTATTACCTGGCCTGCCTCGTCGCTCAGCTGGAAACCTTCTTAACCAAAGTGGTACCCCTCCAAAGTAAAGACTAGAAATTGCGCTTTTCTGGGTCTTCGGCAGCACTGTGAATCGCTGCGGGACACGGTAGTGTCGATCACCAGGCTGACTGGTTGCTGCTCGTCATGTCATTTCTCCCCCCCGACAATGATCCCGACGCGCCATATTCCGATAGTGATGAGGTTGAGATTCGAGTTCGACCAAGGGGCCGATATATATCACCGCGTCGTGAGTACAACGAGCCGCCGTCACCAGAATTCGGCCTACATAGCGGACGTGGCCGCAGCGACAGCGAGTATGGCGATTCAAATTATCATGTGCTACCACGGAGGCCACGCTCCCTATCGGGTGAGAGAACTAGAGCGCGCTATATATCGCCAGTGAGGGTCACACGGCGGTCTCCATCCCCAATCATAATCACACCAAATCCTTATGGAGGACACTACAAACGCCGTCGATCGCCGTCCCCTTCCTACTCCCGCTCGTCGTTGCGGCAAGATTGGTATAAAGGGCCCGAGGGCTCAGAAGCACTTGAAACACTGGCAAAGAGATCGAGCCTCTACGATCAGATCGAGCGGGAGGAGAAGCTTCTTAATGACGATAACGAAATATGGAACCGCAAAAGGGGTGCAATAGTTAACCGCTGCTTGGAGCTACGAACGGAAAATAGGTTACGAATGCAGCAACGACAGCAGATGCAGATCGAGCTGCAGCGATTGCGATCGGATCGTCCTTCATTCGATGATCATGTTCGCAATGCCAGGAAGAACATCATCGAAAAGCTGTTGAGCATGCTGCCTGATCACAATCAAGCTAGTCTAGCAGAGGTTGTGGAAGCTGAAATTGCCAAGGTAGAGCTCGAGCGCTCCAACTTGCAACCCGCAGACGCCTCGGAGCATTTGAGGCTTGTCGCCGTCAAAAACGCACTTACACAGCAACTGCAAGAGCTGCCCCTTGATGTGTCGACAGACACGTTGCTACGCCAGCGCGTGGAGACCGAAAGGGAAAGCGAAAGGCGTCAGCTGGATATGGAAGTCAGAACGCACCAGTTGGAGGCACGCATGGCGTCACTAGACGAGGAGGTGGTAGAGGCGAACAACATGCAACACGAGCTGGACGTTTCCCTTTCAGAGCAGCACAACGACTGCCTTGACAAGGAAATCGTGCGCAAGACGAACCTCAGACATTTGAAGGAGGAATTAGACGGCGTGAAAAAGCACCTTCGGTCCCTTAGGGGGCCGCCAGAACCAGTCGACATCGAGGCTGAACAAACGACCTCGTTGCCAGAAACATACGCATCGAATGACAGCTACGCTAGCCAAACAGACCTGAGCGTTGATCGCGACGTGATTGATTATTATCCTAACACGACCCGAGAGGTGGAGAAAGCAGGACTCTCTGTAAAACTGCGTCTCAACGGGGGACACCGGACAGTTCACACCAGTACCCCGAGCCAGGAGCTACCTGTCGCCCCTGAGGCCTCTGCCTGGAGGCAACCCATCACATCTCTTACTGACAAGCTATCGAAGACGGAGCTCATGACTGTTCAGGCATCGGAGTATTCTACAATTGAGACTGGAGTGGGTAGGACCACGTTGGTTTGTCCCTCTGGTCCGAGGACACTGGACATCGGAGCCCTTGCTCAAATGCGATGGCTACATGTACAGCAGCCTGCACTGAGGTTCAAGCCACTGGAGCGGTTGGTTCTCAACTGTCCCTTTGTCACCGAAGACGCCAGATCGGTTACCATGGAGACGCTGGAAAGAGTCAAGGAACAATTCACTGGGCCCTCGGAATGCGGCCCCCATCTTGAACTTGGCTGCATTCTGCGTTGCGTGGGAACGGAGAGTACTGCGCAAGGGAGAGGCAGGCAAGCCAATGCAGTGACGCCCGTACTATTCCTGGCGTCTCCTTTCCTCGTCCTGGGCCAGTACCTCAGCCGCCGCGGCTCTGACACGGAGTACCGACCGCGAAGTCTCCTGCAATCCTTGTACGGGTACGATGTGGGAAATGAACGCGAGAGCGGGCAGGTAGTGCAGAAGGTGGGTGCCAGAGAGCCGGGCAAAGATGTGCTGCACATCAACCAGCTCTGGTGCCTTCTCATTGGGTCGGACGTGCTCATAACAATGTCTGAGCAATCTGCAGCTGATATACGCGGTGACACGATCCTCGTCAACGATCGATCGCCCGGCGCCGAGGAGCCTCTTGTCATTCGACTAGTGGACAAGAATGACCGTTCCTATCCTGTCGTCATTGAGCCTGACTACAGTTTCGCCGAGTTTCTGAAATATGCTGTTGCGCTTGTCGCGGGTCACAATGCCGATCCGTCCATGTGGGCGATATACAAGGGCGAGGATATCCTAACCCCCAGTCGCTGGGTTGCGATGTTGGAAAGCGAACATACTGCACCCCTCACATTGTCAGTAGTGCTCCAGCAGCCTGAGGTGGGGAATGAAAAGGGCCGAAGTTGTGCACGTTATCCGTATTATGATGACGAAGAGTGCCGCCCAGCGACGAGGAGTTATGGACTCCCGTATCCTCACCGCAGCTCTAGCCGGGACCGACCTCACCCAGGCCCCAAGCTCTATACGGATGCTCATTTGGGCAGCGCGAAAACAGAAGTACTGCTTGCGCGCGGGGCCAAACACACAAGAACTCGGCCGAGACCGATCTCTCCGTTCAAAGAGTTCAAGGAGCATCAAGCAGAACCGAGTAATGACAAAGTGCGTGCCATGGAGATGAGCGCTGCATTAATCCGGCATGATAGGGAAAGTTATGCCGATAGCCCATTTCGGGGCATACGCGAAGGGAATGATGCTCCCAGTGGCAACTCGCAGTATCAACTATCGCCTGTTTCAGGAGAGTCTACGGCCCGCAGCATGCACGAAGCTGTTCATCCGACAGACAGTGATGGCGTAAACACGGCGGTCCCAAGTCCTGAGCAGAACAATGCTCACTCTAGCAGCATGCAGCTCATTCTACGTCCCGAAGATGCCCTCTTACCTTCGATTCTCTCGGACACTAGCACAACCGCGGAGCCAACAGGGGCAGTCACCGTTTCTGCACCCTGGGGGAATATGCTACGACGGAGTTCGCCTGCACTGACCCAGCCCTTAGTTACGTTGCCACGGCGGCAATCGTTGTCTCGTGAGCCATCTTTGGGTCTTGGGGGGGCCACTGAGAGCACCGGGCCGCCAGCTGCTGAGCTCGTGCGCGCTGAGCAGCGTCTCTCTGAGCTCCTGGACAAACTCAGTAACGCTGAGAATACACGCGATTTCCATATGGCGGCAGATCTCAAATATGGTGCCATCCCTGACATGCAGCAGCGTATTGAGATTTTGAAAGGGGAGGGGACCCAGAAACAGCCCCATCAACCGAAACAAACAAGGGTTGAGTGGGAGGAGGACGTCAAAGACCCCCTACCTTCTCCTACTCTTCATCATCATGATCTTGTCAGGCGGCCAAGCATTGACCCAGGCTTGCGTTATGCACGTTCAAGTTACACTTCTTCAACCCAAGGCTCGTCACGCCTCCGAAGCCGCTCGCCAATTCACCCCTGGAGCGAAAGACATGTTTCGGCACGAGAGAGGTCAACGTATCGCAGATCTGATTCTGTTTCGAGCTATGCTGTGAATGCTTCAAATCGCTATCGACAGGCTGACCCGGAAATCTTCCAGCCGCGCGAGGACGTGTCATCGGGACACGGATTCGACATTGATTCTGACCACTCGAGCGAATCAAGCAGCTCCTCAATATCTACTGTGGGAAGCGCAACTTCGATACATACAGGCGTCGGAGTAAAAGGGCAACAACAAAAGGCATATAAGGAGAGGGTTTTATATGAGGTCGACGCCCCTGTGATCCCGGGTCTTGCCCCTACGCTGTCAACTATAGAACGGACGCCTCTGGGGGTAGCAAATGACTCGGTGATCATGAGGCTCATTCTCCGGCGTGCTTTCGACGTCGACGGGCGCGAAATATTTACGAAACGCTATGAACTTATCGATTTTGATCCCGAAACCGATTCTATCTTCGAAACCCAGAAGCTGCGTGGGTTTTATAGGTCAAAGCCGCACCCCGCGGCTGACGAGAAGGCTGACTGGGTCGATGAGTATGTCATGGATATCCGCCCCCTCATATCTGACTTGGGCGTACCAATCACTGTCACATACGAATGGCCCCTTTTGCCGCTGGATGAAGTTTGTCCAAGAATGCGCTTGGTGCCGTTCTTGCAATGGAGACTCAAGACTGGCAAGGATGAGCGCACTGAGGACGAGGTCGAGAAGTCATTGGTGAGCATATTGGGAACCATAAAACATTCGATCTCGAAGAGTGTCGTTTCAAGACTATACTCCCGCACGTACAGCTGTTCGTTGGATGATGTCCTTCAGCGACACGGATTTCTGCGAGATCAGCCCGCTACAAAACGGATACACTTGGAAGGCGATGTGCGCGACAAGATGGGAGACAGCATGTCGGCTGAGCCAGAAGTTGAAAATACAGAGGCAGATCAAACTTCGAAGGGAGATATTGACGACGATGACCCGACACCCGACCCGGACACTCTTACGGACAGCGCTAAGAACAGCAGAAACAGAAGCCAGGAGCAGGCAAACAACGGGGAGCAATCCTTTGAGCGGTCTCTATCCGGCCTCGGGGCCCCGTCCGCCAAGCAGAAGCAGTCCATACAGAGCAAACGTCATGACAAGGAGCTCATGCGGCGGCTGTTCAATGTGTCGAGGGAGATTTTTCAAGCCTATATGCCTGATTCGGGTGACCATGTCAATCACCATGTGTGTGTGCGATTTTGGGGGGCAGTCGACGAAATCTTTCGGGTAAGCGCATGATAGGCATCTCACATGGTTAATGGTAACTGACATGGATCTTACAGCAAGTCATCTGGGATGTCATGGACTTGAGAAATGACCCCAGCGAGTCATTCGCAGTCGCTGAGTTTGACAATCCCGCAAAGGAAATGTTCGTACAGCACAGCAAGTCCTGGGCTAGATGTTCGGCTTGTTCCGGCAAGGAGCAGTATACCTCGCCGGATGCCGCGCTGTTGCATCTACATGAGCATCACTTCGATTGCTCTATTCAGTCAGACAATTGCTTTGATGATCCATGCTTCGTCTGGATCTACCGAGTCCGGGGAACAGACTACGAACCGGCACCAAAACCTGGCGCCGGCCATCTGCGGCATCTGGAAGAGTTCTTGGCCCGAATTCTTCCAATCACTGGCTACATCCGAGAACTGCACGCTCTGGTGGCCAGTGCCAGTCAGCAGTCTACCAAGGTGCGCCCACCGCTCCCCAGCAAAGTGGTGTACGCGTTTCAGGAGGTGGTTTCAATGTTCGTCATCCAAGCCCACCTACTCTCGTTCTACAATCGCCGAAGGTCTGCGGCTCTTCGCCAAAAAGCCTACATCAACGGCAAGATTGAGAGGCTCATCAGACAGGAAGAAATGAGCAAGGGGCTGGCATACGACTACCTACAAGATGCGAAGAAGGATATCATCCTGATGAAGGGCACCAGTCGGCATATCGATGGTCTTGGTATCGAGTCCGTCGGGGCTGAGTTCCTTCTCATGGCGCTTGTTGCGAATTTACAAAACAGGCCTGTTCTGCCGCACGCTCCCTCAACCAATCCTGGGATGCCGGACTTCCTCTTGCTGTACCAGCGTTACGTATCAGAGCTTCGCTTCGAAGCCAACCGCCGACCGAAGAAACGAGTGTTCCTAGATATCCGCGCGCTGGAGGAGGAGCTGGATGCATTGCATGGCCTGCTCGACTCGCAAGAGACAGTCTTGAGCAACTACCTCAAGTTACTGAATCCGGGCTCCCTGCGCCCAACGACGTGTGATAGGAAGGGCTTGTTCAGAATCGAGCGAGACTTTGGCCGCCGTCAACAGAGGTTACTTCGTTCCAAAGCCCAGAGCATCAGCACTTTGCGCGAAAAGTCTCAATTCTTGAAAGAGCAAGTCAAGCAAACAATTGAGATCCTGGAGGAGGACCACGGCAAGGCAATCCGAGTGTTTACCTTTGTCACACTGCTATTCTTGCCCCTGTCGTTTGTGACCAGTTTCATGGGCATGAATGTCACTGATATTCGGGACACGGAATTCTCCCAGAAGATCTTCTGGGCAACGGGCTTGCCCGTCACACTTGTGGTGGTCTTGATCGCTTTGCTATATGCGTACCGGGGCGAGGCGTTGCAGGATTGGGTCTGGCGCAGATTGAGGCCACGCAGGGTGAGGGGAGGGCGGAACATGGGCGGTGGATTCGCTTGGACAGACGAGTTCACCGGAGAGGGCGATGCGATGCTTGCGCATCGGGGCAGCATGAAAGTGGCCAAGGGAATTATTCATGTGGACAGTGACAAGCACTGGGGTCAAGCGACGGCGGAGTCCCGAGGGCCTGGGGGTGGGATGAGGGATGTGAGGTTCTGGGATTGGGACTCGGCCATGAGGACACTAGCCTTGAGGGACAGGAAGAAGACAAAGACAAGAGAAGCAGGATTGCGCAGACGAGGTACGGCAGATAGATAGTCAGCTTGGCGGGGGCATGTCTTCGGCGATGGAATTCATGATCTTCGTGGAGATGCGAATAATGACAATAATGATACACATTTCTGTCTAAATGTGAGATGCTGAGCACTGTAGGACTATATTAGTCGCTGCTTTCCCGGGCGATAATAACAAAGCCCCTGTTGCAAACAAACCAAAACACTGGGCGAGACTTTATTAGGCCCTTAAAGTTAGGGGGCGGGGCCCCTAACGTTAGAACCCCCGTGGACCCCAGATGGAGGCAGATTGTGTAATTTCATGCGTCGCACACACAGCCCTCCTCTGGTCAGGCAGAGGCTTGGGGAGCTCGGGCATGATGCGCTGCTCTTTTGAAGACAGACACATGGGCTGAAATAGCTAGACACAAGCAGTTTGTGAATTGGGCAGGACAGCGTGTGAGTGGTTGTGGGAGACGCAGACGACTGGACCTTACAGTGCTCGGTACGTACCTTTAGGGAACTCGCCGCGTGGCATAGCTGGGCTGCGTTATAGCCAATCGGACGCCACGCCTCGCTTACTCATTCTCCGCCTGCCCGTGATCCGAATGACCCCATTCGTACTAGCGGCTGATGTCTGTGACCTGTCTGTCCGTTGTCCGTCTCCTTTGTTCATTGTGGTCACTTGCTAATTAATCGTCCTACCTGTTTCCTTGATCTTGAGCCTCCTCCACGTCAATCAATCCCACTGTCTTTTCCCTTTCTTTTCTCATTCCTTAAACTTTGAGCATATTCTCCTTTGTCTGCACCGCAAGAGGATCGCGCAAGCCATGACGACAGATCGACTGGCATCAACTTAATCTCACTTACCCTAGACTAGCGTCGAACCCGCCGAAACCGACCATCAGTCACATGCATCCGCGCCCAGCGCACTCAACCACGTCCCTCCTTCCAGCGCCCGTACACCCTCTTCCACGCATCGCAGTCACGCGCCCCGTGCCCATGGAGCCCGTCGTGTACGAAGAAACACCCCTCGCCGCATACCTGCGCGCCGATGCCGGCTCTGGCGACGAGAGCGAATGGGGCGCCGCAGTACAGCAACATGACGACGACGACGACGTGGACGGCCACGATCAGAGCAGTGTCATGTCCACATCGCCCAGCCCGAGTCCTCGCTTCGCGCCAACGGGGCGACCGCATATTCGAGGTGGCCCCAAGAAGAGTGCTGCGCTACCGAGACTGGACATACGACCCCTGGGAAGAGGCGGTACGGCGCAGGGGGGTCTCAAGAGGAACTACAGCACAGCCATGGCGGCGAGCATCGACCGGGCGGACAATGCAAAGTTTCTCGAAAAGTTCAGATACGTAATCGTGGCGTCGCAGTTGCTCAGCGGGCATTCGATACCGGGCCCGTCGCAGGGGCCCCTCGACCCGGGCGAGGGCATGGCAGGGTCGGACGGGCCGACGTTCTCGACTGAGGGGATGGCGGCGTCTGTTCTGGGCGCGTTGGCCGTCGCGACGGTGTTGAGCTGGGTACTGGGCAAGGGAACGACCCGTGTGACGAAGAAGAGGCTGGTGTTTCTGGTGGCGCTGGCTGCGGCGGGTGTGCTCGTCGGCCAGGTCTACATGAAGAGGCAGTGGCTACGATATCGGAGAGAGCAGTCGCTTGCAGAGGTGGCAGCGTTTGTGGCGGCCTCGCAAGAGTTAGACGGGGTCGTCGGGTCGGCACTCTCGCTGATTCAGGATGTCGGCCTCGTATCGCGAGGATACCGGATGTAGGTTGCCCAGACCGTGTATGTCCATGTCGCTGTTGCTAACACAAACGATCCAGCTCTGCGCCGCTACCCCCCGTCTCGCGCATTGAGGACAAGGTCCAAGATCGCAAGTGTGCGCGCCTGCGCAAAGCGCTCCGATCGACCATCGCAGACGTGCTGAAGACGTACATACAGGTGTCGACGGTTGTCCGCGGGTTCGCCGAGCAGACAAATCTGGAGAAGTACCTCGACATCTACGAGATAAGCGACTTTGACATTTCCGACGCCAACCGCGGCTTCGACGAGGAAGAATTCGACGACCCAGAATCGCTGCGCACCCTCAAGATCGCGGCGAGCCGGTTCCACATCATCCGCAAAGTGTTCCTGTGCTCCCTGCTGGCGTTGGATGCGAACGGGGAGAGCTCGGACCTGATGCGCTGGACAACGGCCGTCGAAGCCCTGAGGAGCTTGAACGACAGCACCAAAGCAAGCATGGTCAAACTGCGCGATCTACTGCACGAGGAGGAGTCGTTTCCGCCTCCCTCGGCCCCGAAGACACCTCTGACACCGGGGAGGGAACGATGGCGATCACAGCTGCATAAGCTCAACTCGCTGGGCTCGGGCATCCGTGGCCTGGGGGCCAAACTGCAACTACTGCGCGAGGAGTCCGACCGGGCGCTCAACGACTCGCAGGACCTGACGGAGCTGGCCCCTCACCTCCTGACACAGTACGAGTCCATCGGCAGCGACCTCAAGGAGCTCATGGCTGTGTGGGAGGAGGGCAAGGCCGCGCTTGCCCAGGGCATCGACCGCAACGAGAAGAGGCTCTCCTCGATGAGCGCGCTCATCTCGCCGACCACATCCCTGAGCGGCCTCACCACGGTGGACGAGGAGGGCGACGCCGCCGCGGCGCTCAAGAAGCTCACGGGCGAGTCTCCGCTACCGTCAGACGAGCCGGAGCGTGAGGTGTTTGAGGCTGTGGCGCTGCCCCGACAGCGCAGCACGTTGACGCGAGAGGAGCGGATCGCCAAGGTGAAGGAGGAGAGGGAGCAGAGAGCGACGGCACGACAACACGTGGAGGCCACGAGGGGCATGATGAAGGAGTTGGAGACCGTCATCAACCTCCGCCCTCGCACCAGGACGAGCGCGCCTCCTGGGAATACAAGGGTCATGTCCATGTGAAGGGCTTTCCCCCTTTGTTTCCCCACTGACTATCAGTCGCACAAATCGCGGACAACAGCGGCTGCTGAAGCAGCATACGATACCACGATCTTTTTTTCCCTTTCTTTTTTTCGTCTTTACTTATTTGTTCTTGGACATAATATGGGCGATGCACTCATCGCTGTACAAACTACGGCTTCGTAGCCACCACATGAGGCATGGGCTTTCTGGTGCACGAACCCGGAGAAGGCTCAGGGAGACCTTCGTCTTTCCTCTGTCTCTACTTGCTTGCTGGTTGGAATTAAAAAATGCATAGTCTGGCGTCGGGGATTGCTGGGTCTCGCATTGGGACAGACATGTACATAGTACGCACATAACCTGGGTCGCTGCAGAATGTGCCGCCCAGCGAATCAATTTGCAATAATTGGCACAATGAATTACTTGCACGAGGGCGCCTGACTGATCTCATCGGCCTCTTAATTAAATAAATGTGCGGAGGTGGGCAAGGGTGATGAATATTAAGTAGTAAGTACCTTGGGTGCTTTCACTTGGGCGCAAACGCGAAGTCTCGTGCCCCGCGTTCGGTTGGCGTTTTGACGCGTCTCCAGCCCGCCCGCCAGAAGCTCCCCCTCGCGTAAAGTACTTGAGCAAACTTGACGTGACCATCACCACCATTCAGCTCGATCTACCTCTTCCTCCGCTCAAGTCTACCACAACAGCCTTTCAATCGACATCGACTCGCCTGTCACACATACTTGCCACTTGTGCTCTCTACTCTTCTTCACTAATCCACACCCATCACACAATCAGCGGTCAGTGCATTCACGCCCAGTTCAGTCGTGCGTGCGAATCCAAGTTAGCTAACGAGGGGGACAGACCATGTTGGAAGCACGCCTCGAACAAGCCGATCTCATAAAGAAGGTGGTGGACTCCATCAAAGACCTGGTCCAGGACTGCAACTTTGACTGCAATGACTCGGGCATCGCGCTGCAGGCCATGGACAACTCGCACGTGGCGCTAGTGTCCATGATGCTCAAGGCGGAGGCCTTCTCGCCGTACCGCTGCGACCGCAACATTGCGCTAGGCGTCAACCTGACGTCGCTGACCAAGGTGCTGCGCGCGGCGCAGAGCGACGACATCCTCACGCTCAAGGCCGAGGACACGCCCGACGTGGTCAACCTGCAGTTCGAGACGAGCACCAACGACCGCATCAGCGAGTACGACCTCAAGCTCATGGACATTGACCAGGAGCACCTGGGCATCCCCGAGACAGAGTACGCGGCGGCCATCACGATGAGCTCGACCGAGTTCCGCCGCATCTGCACCGACCTGGCGGCCATGTCCGAGTCGGTGAGCATCGACGCGTCCAAGGACGGCATCAAGTTCTCGGCCAACGGCGACATTGGCAGCGGCAGCGTCACCCTCCGCAACAACACCACCCTCGACGACAAGAGCAAGAAGGACAATGTCGAGATCAACCTCAGCGAGCCCGTCAGCCTGACCTTTTCGCTCAAGTACCTCGTCAACTTCTGCAAGGCCACCTCTGTCTCCTCCACCGTCACAATCAGCCTGTCCAACGAGGTGCCGCTGCTCGTGTCCTACGACCTGGGCTCGGGCAGCTATCTGCGCTTCTACCTGGCGCCCAAGGTATGTCTTTTTTTTTTTTTTTTTAACCTTCTGCGCCTCCATGTACTGACCCGTCTGCTAGATTGGTGACGAAGAGTAAGGACCTGACCAATATCACGACCGTTTTGACGAAAATGCTTTACGCTGCTGGGCTGGCGTTCGTAGGAAAACAGGGGCCCAAGGCGGGTTGGCTGTGGCTATTCTATTCTGTATGCGAGCATGTGGTGCGCGAAGCAAAGCACAGGGAAGGAACAAAGGTTCAGTCGACGGGCTGTAATTAGCGCTACGCGGGGGACATGTCCGAGCCAAGGCCGTGTACGAACGACGAATGATTTAGACAGCAATATCTTTTTCAAACACAATCTCTCTCTCTGCCTGACCTCTAAAGTCTCAACGGACAGGACAAGATGGAGGGAGGGGCGGCGATGATTGGAGGAGAAGCGGGGCAGGCCAAGCAAGTCCAACAAGTGCGTGCTGCTCGATTCTGACATTCCAGAACCACCATCGGCTCTGGCTCCATGGGAAAAACTGGAGAAGCCCGGCTGGCGGAGCCTGGAAGAGGCATTTGATCTGATGGAGAGAGACATCGTGCTGCAGCTGCCGACCTCGTGGTGGAAACATCGTCGCTGATGCGTAATACCTTCCCGAGATCGCAGTCACTCACTCACTCACTCACTCACTCACTCACTCACTCACTCACTCCCTCGCTCACTGATCGCTCACTCACGTCTTAGTATCATTCATACATCACACGTTATCCTCATTCTTCATATAATCATCTCGCGGACCCTGCCGTCATCTTGTGCGTCGCATTGCTCCCAGCACACTGCACAAGAATATGACCTCGCTGCTTCCCGTGCCGGAGACGAGAGTCCTGGCTGTGGCCAGTCATGTATGTCAAGACTCCTCCATCTTCAATCCGAGAACGAATCGCTCACCACGCACCCGCACAGGTTGTCTCAGGGTAAACCCTACATGATCCTGTACTTGTGTCTGCACGTGAGGCTGAGTCTGTAGCTACGTCGGCAACAAGATCGCCGTCTTCACCCTCCAGTCCCTAGGCTGCGACGTGGCAGCCCTCAACACCGTCCAATTCAGTAAGGACACCACGGCCTGCTGCACCGATCCTGCGTCCGTCCATCCGCTGACATGGCAAAAAAGGCAATCACACCGGCTACCGACAATGGCAGGGCACCAAGTCCACTGCGCAGGAGATCACGGCCCTCTACGAGGGGCTCCAGTCCGCCTACCTCGATGACTTTGACATGATGCTCTCCGGGTACATACCGGGCGCCGAAGCCGTCAACGCCGTCGGGGCCATCGCCAAGGCCCTCAAGGAGAAGAACAGGGAGAACTTCTTCTGGGTGCTCGACCCCGTCATGGGGGACAATGGGCGACTGTACGTGGCAGAGGACGTGGTGCCGGCATACAGAGGCCTGGTTCCGTACGCAGACCTCATCCTGCCGAATCAATTCGAGGCGGAACTGCTCTCGGGCGTCGCGATCAAGGACATGGCCAGTCTCACCGCGGCCATCCAGGCGCTGCACGACACCTACAAGATCCCCCACGTCGTCATCACGTCCGTCACGCTGCCCCACGCGCCAGAAGACCTGCCCTCCTCCGCGGGGAAGCATCTGTCGGTGGTGGGCTCGACCATGACGTCGGCCGGGCAGGCGCGGCTCTTCAAAATCGTCTTTCCGGCCATCAACTGCTATTTCAGCGGCACGGGCGACATGTTTGCCGCCCTCATGGTGGTCCGCATGCGCGAAGCCGTCTCGGCCGTCCCGGGCCTCGGCGGCACGACGAGCTGGCAGAGCGGCGACGACGTGGCGACTCTCGAACTGCCGCTGGCCAAGGCGGCCGAGAAGACGCTGGCGAGCATGCACGAGCTCTTGTCGCGGACAAGCGAGCGCATGGGCCAGGTCGTGGAGAAGACGATGCGTGGCATGACCGAGGACGACAAGAAGGACGACAAGAAGATGCACCTCGTCAAGAGCAAGGCGGCCGAGCTGCAACTGGTGCGCAACCCGGATTGTCTGCGTGATCCAAAGGTGCAGTTCCGGGCGAAGGAGATGTAGAAACTCGTCTCTTGTCTCGCCTACTTCTATCATAGATGGCTTATAGACTCTTTTTCCCGTGACTTTCTTGACCTGTACGTGCCATGTCACTCTATCCTTTCTCATTGTCTCATGTCTCATCATCACGACGGCATCCCTCAACCAGTCGAGCCAAACCCGCCAGCACCGCGCACGCTCTCCTCCAGCTCCTGCACCTCCTCCACCTCGGGCGTGTAAATCCTCTCGAGGACGAGCTGCGCGACGCGATCGCCCTCCTTGACCTCGTAGTCCGTCTCGGCGTGGTTGAAGAGGAGGACCTTGACCTGGCCACGGTAGTCGGCGTCAATGACGCCCGCGCCCGTGTCGATAAAGTTCTTGGAGGCGAGGCCGGAGCGAGGCGCTATGCGGCCATCTAATGGTCTCGTGTCAGCAGCTGGCGGTGCAGGGGGCGGTTCTCGGGGGGTCACGTACAGGTACCAGCGGGGCAGGCGATGGAAATGTCCGTGTCCACGAGCACCTTGCCCCGCGCAGGGACGGTTGTGTCCTTGGCGGCGTAGATGTCGTAGCCAGCGGCAAAGGCGCTGCCGCGGGTGGGCACACGGCCCTTGTCCGAGAGCTTCTTAACGAGGAGCTTGGGTTCGGCCATGGTGTCGTCGGTCTTGACGCGCTTTGCGGGTGGGGATGTCGGAGCGTCGTTGGAGGCTGAGGTCATTCTGTGCAGGGGGGGGGTCTGGACAAAGGTGGTTGAGAGTACTATTTGATTGAGTAGGTTCTCAAGTACGTACGAGGGAATGGGTGAGGACGAAGACAGAAAGAAAGAAGAAGGCGGTGACGCGACGCGGGGCCAGCTGAGACGCGTCGTGGGCGCGCATTGGCCAATGGAGGGCAGGGGTTTGAAGAGCTTCTTGGCTGAACATCAACGGGGCAATTCCCAGACTAATAATAGCAATTGGTTATGAGTCTTGATTTCATTATGCAATACTTCTCCATGATCAGGCATGTTTCAAAGGGACTGCTCGCCGCTTCGTTGTCGAGGTGCATGCTTCGTGATGAGCTCCTCCAGCGTTGACCCCAGGGCGCCTCCAGATCAATCAAACTCCCTCCCAAAGTCAATCAACCGTAGTCGCGACGCATCTTTCGCATGGAATTGGGCCACCTTGCTCCTCACGAGAAACCTCGCGGCGGCGGATTCCCTCGACAGCACCACGTATGAGGAGGAAGAATCCCCGCCGGCATCCTGCAGCTGACCCATCAGGGCCTGGATCAGCTCCTTCATCTCTCGGCCCGCCGCCGCGACCTCATCCTCGTCTCTCCGCGCCGCACCACTCTCTGCAGGGCCCCAGATCTCGTCGAGTCGTCGCTGGCGCTTGTCCTCCATGTTCTCGTGGCTGACGCTGCCCTCCTTGGGTCGGTTCAGTTTGCCCTGCGCGTTGAAGCCAGAGGCAAGGTCTGCTCCGTCAATGTCCATGAGGTCGCCCACGACAGGTCCACCCAGCTCCTCTGCTGCGAGCATGACGGCCAGATGCTCGTCAATGAACTTGTCCAAGGCTCTGAACAGTCGCTTGCTGTCGGCGTCGTAGTGGGCATTCTTCTTCTGTAGCTCTTCCTTCTTCTTGCGAGCCCCGTCTCCAGGTGGTGCCCGTGCGCTAGACGACACCTCGGCCTTCAACTCGACAATGCGGGCATCCAATGCCTCGCTGAGGAGTGTTTGGTCTCTCAGGTCGGCCTGGCCAGTTTCCAGCTGCCGTTTCTCGCGGCTCAGGACGGATTTTTGCGATTCCAAGTAGGCCCTTGACTCGATGATCGTTTGGTGCGTCCTTCTGAGAGCCAGCAGGGCCGGCAGCGTAGAACTGGCATGTGGTAGGAAGGGCTCTGCGTTTGTGACCTCCTCGAGGGCCTTCTTTACAACCTTGGCCTGTCCAGCTGGCGTTTGCGCAATAGCTGTGTCATTTGCCTTCAGCTGCGGTGCGTTAGCTAAGCTCACATCTCGTAGCGTGGACTGGGGGGCCTCACGCGTTGCAGCTCGTCTTCGTGTTCTTGGACCTTGCGCTGCAGCTCCTTCAGCGTGAAGTCTAGGTTGGCAGTGTACGCAGTAGCTTCTGCACGTCGCGCGTCGTTGTCCATGGTCCTCCCGCTGTGCCTTGTGTCTATGCAGTGAATCACTGTCAACTTGAATCGGGCTTTAAGCGCGCGTGCTTGTTTCATTCAGCTGCTCTTCATGCGACTGAGGTGGTGGGCTGACTTGAAGCCAAAGCCAGTCACGTGATTGTTGCTTTCAGGCTTCAGCGCCCGGCGGTGCCTCGACTCCTTCCCCCGTCCGTCCCTTTTCTTCATCTCGCGCGACGCTCAACGTCTTCTTTGGCCTTGTCGATCATCTGTGTCTCCGCCTTTGCGCAACACCCTTGGTCATCTTTCCAAGTCGACCGCATCCGAGCGACAACGCTGGTACTACACACAGCATCGAGCGAATTTCTTGTCTGCCTAGAACGCTCCGTCCGTCCTACGAAGCGCTACGAACGAACCGACACCGACGCTCTTCGATCAAACGGCCAGCTCGAGGATAGCTTCGCCCCGGCTAATTTCATCAGAAAGCAAACGGTCACAAGGTTTGAAATTGAGCGGCTGCCTCTTCTTTCTGCTTTTCGAGCCCTCCGTTGCCGATCGCATCACACAATCTCCCACCCGTCCGTCCGTCCCTACGTCGCCCTCGGGAACCTTGAATCACGACACGCTGCACCAGCACCCGACGATTCCTAGAGGAGCACATCACAGCGCGCGCGCACAGTTCCAATTCCAGCCCTTGCTTGATCCCAACTACGCCCTCTCTCGCGACACATTCCCGATCACAGCCACTTCCAACCTGCGCGAGGAGCATCGACCTTGTCACCCGGCCCAGTCACTACACCAGCACGTTTTCCTTGAAAACCCCTGAGTGTAGATAGACGAGCCTAGAAGAAAAAGAAGAAAAAAGAAGAAGATCAAATTTACATACGCGTGTGAAGAAAGTTTCCAATCGCCACAATGTCTGCATCCCCGCCAACCCAGACGACCAACTCAGCCAAGCGTCCCCTCGAGGCGCCTTCATCACCTTCGCACGAGGGCGACCAGCCCGACGCCAAGCGACCTGCCCTCGACAAGGTCGTGCAGCACGACAATGAAGTCGAACACGAAGCGGCCCCCGTCGCCACCGAGGAGCAAGCCGCGCCCGAACCTGCGGCGCACGAGGATGGCGATGACGACGGCGCCAGTGTCACCGTCGGCGAAGAGGCGGAGCCCATGCCGGAAGTAGCTGACCCCAAGGCGGCGGCGGCCACCGTGGCTTCCACGACAGAAACAGCCGTCAACTCGGCATCGGCGCACGACGAGACGGCCTGGATACACATCCGCGCTGTCATCTCCAGCCCCGAGGCGGCCACGATCATTGGCAAGGGCGGCGAGAACGTCTCCAACATTCGCAAGCTCTCCAACGCCAAGTGCACCGTCAGCGACTACCAGAAGGGGGCGGTCGAGCGAATCCTGACAGTCAGCGGTATAGTGGACGCTGCTGCCAAGGCTTTTGGCCTGATCATCCGCACCTTGAACAACGAGCCCCTGAACGAGGCCTCCACGGCCTCGTCCAAGACCTACCCCCTGCGCCTCTTGGTGCCTCACATCCTGATCGGTTCCATCATTGGCAAGGGTGGCGCTCGAATCCGCGAGATCCAGGAGGCTTCGGGTGCCCGACTCAACGCTTCCGACTCGTGTCTGCCCATGTCGAGCGAGAGGTCGCTCGTCGTGATGGGTGTTGCGGACGCCGTGCACATTGCTACGTACTATGTGGGTAGTACCCTCCTAGAGCAGTTGAACGAGCGTTTTGGAGGCCCCGCAGCCTCGGCCTATGCCACGCGCAGCGGCCAGCCTGCCGGCTCCATCCCCGGCGGGATGCAGGTCGTGCCCTACTCACCACAGCCCGCGTCCGGCCACTTTGGTCGGGGCGAGAACTACTACCGCCAAAACGACCGTCGCGGTGGACACATGCCTCCCCAGGCGTACCCGCCACAGTATCCCCCGCACGGCGCTCACGGACACCCTCAGCAGCCTGTACCGCAGCCGTACGGAGGACCGCACGCCGGCTACGGCGCCCCTGCTCACGCGCAGCCTCATATGGGCGGGCCGCCGCAGCAGCCGCAAGGCCAGCCTATGCCTCCCCAGCAGGGAGCCCCTGCCGGTGCGCCCGGTGGCCCGATCACGCAGCAGATCTACATTCCCAACGACATGGTGGGCGCCATCATCGGAAAGGGCGGCCAGAAGATCAACGAGATACGCCAGATGAGCGGCAGCATGATCAAGATCAACGACCCGCAAGACAATAGTAATGAGCGTCTCGTGACCGTGACTGGAACGGAGGAGTGCAACCGCATGGCCCTGTACATGCTGTACTCTCGTCTTGGTGAGTTCCCAGGGCTTTTTGATATGAGCGAACAGAGACTGACTAACGTGCGACGCAGAATCGGAGAAGCACCGCGTGTAGATCAGGTTGCTGCCGCAGCGGTCCGGCGTCTGACCAGGAGACAACCGTGCGGCCGTTTTCCGTCATGTAATTTCTTTTTGTTCACTTTCTACGTTTTGAGGCGCATCATCGGATTTACTACCAAAGGGTATGCAAAAAGCAAAGAACGATTATCTTGGCGTGGCTTGTTGGGGGCGGTCGAATGAATGCAGTGCAGGGATTATCGTAGAGCTTATAATGAACGATAGTTTGTTTGATATGAATGCGTTCTCAGTGAGGTTGGATCTCGTCTGCTTGATCTTGCTGCCACTAGCGATACCGTTAGAGGCCTCGGCCATGCAGTTTACCCTACGTCTGGCCCATATTGACTTCCACCTTCGATCGCTCGTTGCTAATATACCAAAAATTGCCTTTCCAGGGCTATTTGAATGTCTCTAACTCGGACGTGATCTTGATGTGTATTTCCACGGCGAAGTGGTGGGCAACTGATGGCGTACCGTCTACCACTTTTCCACACGATGTCACAGCAACACATTACACCAAGACAAAACAACAACAACCTCACAAACTTTACTCACCAACCAGCAGAGACCACCATGGCCTTGCTTTACTAAACAAGTACAGAGCGTCTGTTGCACCGCGTCTCTAGCTGCCTAGAACATTTCTGACCGGCGACACTGGCTCACTTGAGCCATCGTCACACTTGCTCACCACCATCATGGCCACCGCCCAGCATGACCCCCCGGATGAAATATCAGTCCTCACTCTCAACGTATGGGGTCTCCTCCACATCTCTGCCCTCCGTCCCCAGCGCATGACCGAGATCGGCAAGCACATCAACGCCCTGGCACCCGCCATCGTCTGTCTCCAGGAGCTCTTCACCCAGAGCGACTACCACCTCATCCGCCAGGCCACCGTGGATCTCCTCCCCTATGGCAAATACTACTTCTCCGGCGCCTTTGGCGGTGGCCTCGCCATACTGAGCAGGTACCCCATCGAGGAGAGCACCTTCACACCCTACACCCTCAACGGACGTCCCACGGCCTTCTGGCGGGGTGACTGGTTCGTGGGCAAGGGCATCGCGCGCGCCACCATTCGCATTGCACCGGGTCCAGGCGGACCGCAGGGTCTCGTCGACATCTTCAACACGCACACGCACGCGCCGTACGAGAGCGGGCCCCGCGACAGCTACATCACCCACCGCCTCGCCCAGTCGTGGCAGGCTGGCAAGCTGATCAGGGACTCGATGCACAAGGGACGCCTGATCATTGCGGCGGGCGACTGGAACATGCGTCCCGACTCTCTTCCCTACCGCCTCCTGCTCGATCAGACCACGTCTGCGCTGCAGGACTCGTGGCGCGCGCTGCATCCCCAGAGCGCCCTGGGTCCGAATCACAAGGCCCCCCCCACGGCGCGGCACAACATTGTCGAAAATGGCATGACTAGCAACAATGTGCTCAATACATGGCGCTGGTCCAAGGAGGCGCAGAAGAAGCTCCTGAAAGGGGACCCCCAGCCCGTGAGTCCTGATGAAGCGGATCCGCATGGTCAGCGGCTGGACTACGTCTTCGTCTCGACGTCTGTCGCCGGATCGGAAGACTGGCTCATCAAGGGCGCTAAAGTAGTCATGACAGAGAGGCACCCAGAGCTGCACGTATCTCTGTCAGATCACTTTGGTGTCTTGACGACGTTGAAGCGCCCTGGTGCTGATCCATCGCTGCCCACGCAGCCAGCCCCGAAGACGGCGCAGGTGAAAGACAAATATAGTCTCGATATGTACGACCAGATTCTGGAAAGACTGCAGTGGTACACGACGCGAGAGCACAGCCAGAAGTTCTGGCGGAGGACTCGCTTCTACGTAGGGCTTCTCCTATGGGTCGCCTGTTTGGTAGCTGTGTGGTTCGTGCCGCACAGCTACATTGCGTTCATCCTCATGCTCGTCGCTAGCCTTGTGTTGACCGGGTGCACAATCGAAGGGCTACTATCGTTGCTCTTCTTCAATAGCGAGCTGCGGAGTCTCAGAGAGTTTGAATGGGAGATTCGCAATGCAAAGGCAGTCGGCTCGGGGAACTCTCAAACAACAGTCTACGGATCTCTCCAGTAGTGACACTGAGCAATGGCCCCGAGGTATGCATGCTCTCCATAATAATTATCCAATAACGATAGAAACTTAAGAACTACTTGCAATCTTCCCCATCGAGCAACTTCCCGTAGGTTATGAACAAGCCGATGTGGAGAGATGCCCTCTCCTAATCCAACGGAGCTTACACTTCCTCACAATAATCCCACATACGTCCTCGGCGTCATTCGCTTCCAGGTGTAACCGGAAAACGCCGTTTTCTTCCTGATATCCAGAGCCACATCCCTGGTTTTAGGGTCTCGGAGGATCTTGTCGCGTGGTCTCTTGCGTTCTTTCGGGGCGCATTCCCTCACGAAGCGCTTGAGTAGTGACTTCTCGTCAGGAGGAACATCCAGTGCATCATCAATCTGCTGGTCAATGCCGGGAAGCCTGGCTTCAACAGCAGGTTTGGAGACCAAGTCGACCGCCAAGTTTCGTGTTGCTGGATGGCACTCCTCTAGAACACACCTGACCTCTGCTGGCGTGAGTGCTCGCTCCCCGTGCGCAACAGTCATATCTGCGACGGTGTCTGACTCGTCAAAGTACCGCGTGTCTTCTGGGCCGTCCACCCGAGGGACAAAGGGAGCTGTCAGCATGTGCAGTTGGTCCCATGGCACGTTTCGGAACCAACGATGAGCCTTGATGTCCTCGCCGTCGTCGGCGAAGACGTGGCGCCCGAGAAAGTCTGTTGACCTGCCAGCATCCAGCTGACCGTTGTCTTTCAGCTTGTATCTCCGGGAGCACAGACGGTCGCTCCTGTGCCGGATCAGCTTCAGCAGTAAATCCTGACCTTTGTCGGAGACATGAGGCTTGTGCGGGAAGAAGAAGCGAGATTGGAAATTCTGCAAGATGTTATCATGAGACATCCTCCATGTCAGCGCCACAACATACCGTGATGTTCTCCTTCGTCTTCTGTCGGCCCTCATCAGAAAGGAAGGGCGTATGGCCGTACAGACACTCATACAAAATGATGCCGATGCTCCACTAGTCGCATCTCCCATCATACGCCCGCCCTTCGATGACTTCTGGCGCCATGTACTGGCTGGTTCCCACGACTGAGCAAGCTGCAGCACGAATTGCGCTTCTATTTCTGCTTCCAACGAGGTCCTCAAGGTTGCGGCCTTCGTCGTTGCTGCCGTGCCTTTCGATCACTCTCCGCTCGATCTTCTCATGGTGACTGACACTTTCCTAGAACATGCGGTTCTTGTCAACCTGCTTTTGTGTATCGCGACGCTCCCTGCAATCTGTCTCGTCTCCTGCAAGGTCCAAGTTCAGTTTCCTACAGAGCGAATATCGGTGATAGTTATAGTATGAAAGATCGTGAGACCAATGACCATCGAACGCCAGTCCAAAGTCAGAAATCTTGAGATGTCCCGTGGCGGAGATGAGAAAATTGTCTGGCTTGATGTCACGGTGAATGAATTTAAGCCGATGCGTCTCTTCCACAGCCAGAATCATCTCGGCAATGTAAAAGCAAGCCACGTTCTCGATCAGAATGTTCTCGCGGACTAACAGTCCGAGGAAGTCGCCGCCAGGCATGTACTCCATCACGAGATAGAGATTGGCAGCGTCCTGGAAGCTGCACATTAGAGTAACTACCCATTCTGCGTTCTCAGAAGCCACTAGAAAGTCTCGCTCCGCGCGCAAATGGCCCTCCTGACTATTGCGCAGCATTTCTGACTTGCGGATGATCTTCATGGCGTACACTTGCTTGTGCTGAGCTGCAGACCGGTCTTGGTTCTTCTCTCGGACCAGCTTGACAACGCCGAAACTGCCTTTGCCAAGGACTCTGACTGGCTCGTAGTGATCCAGAAAGGGCGAGACGTTCGAGATACCCCTGGCGGCGGCCTCACTCTTTGCTTCGAGCACTCGCAGCTCTCTCAAGTGGCACGATTCCTGTGTGAACACACCGGACCGTACAATGTCCTTTTCCACTTCTCTCAGGTGAGGGCTGTAATAAAGCTGGGCCTCTAGGTGCCGCATTCTTCTGGCACGGGAGTCTGCGAGGTACAGCCTCTCGTTAAGCCGCACCTCAAGATATACCTTGGCAGCAGCGGCCCTTTCCACGGTAGCAATTGTAGGTTCAAAGCGCTCCGTACCAGATTCCGCTATGGTGCAGAGGGAGAAGTCAGGGCTAGACTGAGTCCAAGGGAAACGGCGCTTGGCTCGGCACATTGACTTCCCATTTGTGAGGACAGAAGACCGCGAGTCGGTGGATGTCTTCTCGGTAGAGTAACCTTCAGTGACACTCCGATCTGTCAACGGCGTGCTACCTTGTTCACTGCGTGAAGCTGATTGTACGTTGGGAGGAGTGTAAAAAGAGCTGCCGCGTCTTCCTGGCTGAGTACGTGCAAGAGCCGTGCCATTGCCGGGTAGTCCGATCTGCTTCAGTTTCCGAACGAACTCCCGCGTTGTTGATCCTCTGCTCCCCTGTGATCGAGAAGACGATGAGCCGAGCCGCGGATCTGTCTCTGCGCGCACCAAGGGCTCCTCCACCAGGGTGTGATCTTGTACCGCTCCTGTGTTGCGCCGTACAAGGTCCACAGTTGTCGAGACCTCTGAGCCTATATCATTAGCATGAAGGGCCTTCTTAGCCATGATTCGTGCCTGCTGTACCTGTCTGGCTTGTCCTGCCAACGGCTTTGATGGCGCCACGAAGTTCGGACCACACACGAGAGCCAGCATGACGCAGCTTTGGCACTTCGGGCGGTGCTGGGCTCTCGCTCTTCTGGCTCACGGTTGGCGAAGGAGCAACACGGGGTAGCAGAGCTGGCTGAGCCGTCTGTGGGTTGTCGGCAATTTGTCCGAGGACGATGCGGCTGCACCTGTCGCAATTTTGGCGCATCATGGCCACGGGGAGCTCGAAAGAACGTGAGTACGCTGATTATCTGGTTGTTGAGTCTTGATAAATGGTAATGCGTGAGTGGTGTTGGGTTCTAATGCACTGCTAAAGAAAGACTGTTGGCGAGCGAGGCTCGACCTGATGGTCAGTAACAGTGATGACGATGCAGAAGAAAGGAGAGAGAAGACGTGAGCAGAGTAGAGCCAGAAGCGTTCAGACAACAGAGGAGAAGTTGGCAACTGCTCTTTCTGTGAGTACTGCGAGGCGTTAGGGACCTGCCTGCCTGCCAATTACTTACTTAGTACTTAGATACCAGGTAAGGTAGGGTCGGCACCTGTCTGCACTTGCCTCGAGGTGGCTCACGATTCATGGCACACAAGCAAAAGAAAGTCAAGTTACGGTTCAGCTTTCTCATTAAGTCTTCCCATAACTGTGTGGACATCAGGATCTGGTTCATTGACGTTCTCACAGATTGATATCAGCATACCTTACAAAACAACTTTTCCCTGCGCCCCGAGGAACCCATCCCCTCAATGCATATCCTCGTCCTGTCCTTCCCGCTGGAATGTATCAACTCTCGCAGGTCTAAGACTCTACACTGCCTCGGGTACCGAAAATCCAAATGAAAACGACAGAACGCCAAAGTGGTAAGGAAACACATCCATGTCAGGAAGACGAGCTGCTTCATGTCGCTCCGTCTTGCTCAACGTGAAGGAGCCGGGAGCAGGGCCCATCTGGAATCTATACAACCGCCGTTCGCTCACTTGATCTCGAGCAGCTTGACATCAAAGGTCAGTTGGCTGTTGGCAGGGATGCCGGGCATGCCCCTCGAGCCGTAGCCGAGGTGAGCAGGGATGGTCAGACGACGCTCGCCGCCAATGGCCATGCCCACGACACCAACGTCCCAGCCCTTGATGACCTCGCCCTTGCCGACCTTGAAGGTGAAGGGCTTGCCCTTCTTGTTGGCGTCAAACTGCTTGCCGTTGGAGAGCTTGCCAATGTAGCGAACGCCGACCGAGTCGCCGTTCTTCACGGTGCGGCCGCTGCCAATGGTGCGGTCGTCAACGGTGACGCCGTTGACATTCTTGACGCCCACGGTGGCCTTGGTGGCCTTGGCCTTCTCAGCAGTGGACCCAGTAGGACCCTGCTCGAGGTTCTTGGCGAACTGGACCTTCTTGTCCTTCTTGGCCTCCTCGGCGGCGGCGACAGCCTCGCCCTTGTTGTTCTTGAGCTTCTTCTTGTCCTTCTTGGAGAGCTTGGCCTCGTCGGCGGCCATGATCTCGTCGAGCGACTCGGCCTCGGCGGCGCGCTTGTTCTTGCCCTTCTTGGCCTCGACCAACTTGGGGGCCTCCTCCTCGGAGTCGACCTCGGTGACGCGAGGGTTGTCGACGTCGTCGAGCTCATCGCTCTCGTCCTCATCCATGTCCTCGCCCATGGTGAAGTCGAGCTCATCAGGGGAGAGGTCGTACTCGTCCTCGTCATCCTCATCGTCCTCATCCTCGTCGGCCATGATGTAGTTGCCAGTCAGGTGGATAGAGTGGGTACCGGAAACGACAAAGAAGACCTGCTCGCTGTGGGAGACAGTGATGTCGAGGGGCTGCTGGTAGTGCTGCAGTCAGGTTAGCATCAGCGGCTGATACGAAACGGAAAGGACAATTTTCTTACGCGCTCGGTGTCGAGAGTGCAGACAACAAAGTCCTCCATGTCGCCGCCATCCTCGCTGTCGTCGTCCTCATCGTCGTCCTCATCCTCGTCGTCGTCGTCGCTAGCGGGGGCCTTGCCCTTCGCCTTGGAGGACTTGGAGACGCCGTTGGGCTTGGCATCGTCCATCTCCTCGTCATCATCGTCGCTGTTGGTGGCAGCAAGGAGCGCCTTGATGGCGGCAGACTGCTTCTGCTTCTTGCTTTTGGCGGGGTCGCTGGGGCCGCCGTTGGGCTCGTCATCAGAGTCCTCATCATCGCTGTTCTCGCCGATCAAGGCGCGCAGGGCCTCCTCGTCAAGCTCCTCATCCTCCTCATCGTCGAGGCCCGGGAAGGTGCGCTTGACAATGCGAAGGGTAGAGCGAGGGACACTGGGGATGTTGCCACTCTCATCAGCCTCGGGCTCCTGGGTAGGGTCGACAGCAGCCATGGTGATGCGGAACTGAAGGCGCCATTGTTAGTCGCGTGAAGCGGAAGACGGGCGCGCATCATTGCGCAGCACATTTTGACTGCGTGCGCACATGATGAATCGCAGAGGATGACTTACAGAGGCAGGGAAGTCAGTGCCAGCGGGGATCAAGATCTCGCCAGGCGGGATCTCGAGCCCGTACACAGGACCAGGAACGGCAGACATGATTGTGAAAGGTGTTGAAGAGGATTGATCAGAAATGACACAAGAAAGAGAGGATTGAAATGGCGATCTTGAGTGTGCGGAAAAGATCAATCACTTGTGGCACAGAGGAATGTGTAGTAGAGAGAGAAAAGACGGATGCAAAAGTTCGAGGCGTAGTTCGTGCAAACTGACGCCCTCAGGCTAACTTCTCTAGAAATTTTTGGAAGCCCCACAGCGGTGAGCCTGTGACGAATCATAGCGCGCGATAAGACTCTAATCGGTGGCTGTCTCAGCAACGGCCGCGCCCCACCCAAACTCCCACTGGCAGGCTGGCATTGCATCACTGCACCATCCACCTCCACCCATGATATCTTCATCAACGAGTGAACTTACGACTCGTTATAGAACTGCTTCCTGTCGCCGACGTCTGTTATTTCCAGACCAAGATCGACCACTGGCTGAGGCCATCTGCCCGATTCCCTCGCAAACGCTGCCATCAGGTCGTTGCCATTGGTAACACCACCTAATCACTCGTCAGCGCTACCGCCTTGTGCATGTGAATGGCAGGAAAACTCACCACTGGACCAAAGGTTGCCATCCCTGACCCATCTCTGATTTGCGCCGGTGAAAGTGGCAGTAGGATACTTCTTCTGCAACTCGTCCTGCATCATCTTGGGCCCACTGACCGTCTTGCCCTCCAAGATACCCGCCTCGCCGCAGACAAGGACACCGGTGCACACGCTCAGAATGTCGACGCCCTCAATCTGGCTGTGGTCGTGGAGCCACTGCAAGCCCTCCTTATCAAACTTGGCATCCGGGTACGGACCCGGGACCACAATGACGCTCAGCTTGCCAGGCGCAACGTCGGCGTCACCATAGTGATGCGTGGCCTTGAGCCTGCCGCCTGAAGTCATCGGGATGTCCTTGCCGTTTCGCGGCGACGTGATGTACGAGATGGTCGTCTTGGGCGCCATGTCGATGATCTGTTGGGGGATGGGAACCAATTCCAGGTACTCCCTCGACATGCTTCCCAGGACATCGACAGTGGCCGTGTCGAGGAACTGGGCCTCATTGGGAATGAAGACGCCGATGTGAATAGGAGCAGACATGATGTCGGACTTGTAAGCTTGAGAGTGAGTTGTAGTGAGGAAGATGAATTATGCTTCTCCCAATAAAGCCGTCATTGTACCTCATTATATACCAATAGCCACTATACTCGTAGTCACGCTCGGACACGGCCAGACTTGCAGTATTCCGACGTGCTCTACTCCGTACTTGAACGCCCGACTTGTATCCGGGCAGCTTCGGCGACTGATGATGCAGCGGGCAACAGTTACGCCGAAGAACACAGGTCCTACATTGTATCGGTTCATACGCTTTTGCAAGCATGCGGCACATAACAAACTTATCGCCAGTGCCAAAACGACAACCAAACAACGTACTTTGTGACACCGCCAGACTACACTTGTAGATTGTACCCACACGGAGGCTAGTAGTCACGGAGCATTCTGGAAAATTATGTTCAAGCGAGCCTTGAGCAGTCGACTTTGTACTGCCCGGGCGTTCTATCGTATTAGGATTACGGAGCAATCATTAGGTATGCCGCCAGCCTGAGACCATTCCAGATGCTGGCTCTTTACATCGGCTACCGCCCACTTCATTATGCCACGGCGCGCATTTGCTCCGCCGTCTGGCTTGGTCCCCTCCCGTTCGGGGGAGTCTTGTTCGTCGGCTCCAAGGCCCAAATGCCCCCCGTTGCTCTCTTGCCTGATGTCGTTCGTCGTGCCGTCCCGTCCCGTTGTCAAAGCGAATGTGATGACCAGTCGTAGACACATCGTGCCTGATGTGTTCCCCTGAACTCCGGTCGTTGCTGCCAAACCCCTGCGTTAAAAGTATTATGCCAATGTCGATGCCATGCCAAGCCAAAGCATATGAACAAGAAACCAAATGGCAGTCGATCTATATACAGACATGTATCATGCTCCTGTGGACCAGAAATCTGGTCAAACGCCGTTTTTCTGAAAGAAAGAAAAAAGAGAAGAAAAACACGGGTCCAACCCGAATGAAATTGTCGGACCATGCTGCATTACGCCATGGCGGCAGCTGCGTCATGGATGGACCGCGCGCGCTGCCGCGTGACCTTCTTGCTGACCGTATACACCAGGTCTATCGTCCAGAAATGAGTGATCTCTGCTTGTATACAAGGAATCGAGCCGTACAGGGGCGCGACCAGGGGAATCATGGCGTAATCGGTCCAGTTGGTCTTGAACGATCGGTACGAGAAGCACATGCCCTCGTACAAGCCGGCCTCCTTCATTTCCTTCTCACGGGTCGTCACGCAGATGGTGTGGTAGCGCTCGTACATGACAATGTAGCAAGCCACGGCGATGAAGCCCACGGCACGGATGGGCCCACACCACCCAATGACCCAGCGGAGGCTGGCAAGCTCTTCTTTTCCTTCCGTAGCCCACAGGAAGATAGTGCTCGCCAGGACGAGGACGGTCATGTGGACAGGCATAATGTGAGCCTCGAACAGGCGGTGAGCCATGTAGAAGAGGTTCTCCAGATGAGGTTCGGGCATGTCCTCCTGTGTCACATCGGAGAAGATGCCGCTCTCGCGTGGTGAGTCGGGCGTCTGCGGGCCGAGCTGGCTCTCAGGGAAATATGTGTCGAAGTTGTCGCCAGCAGACTGGTGCAGGGGTCGGAAAGCCCTTGTCGTCTGCTTTCGGTTCTGCCACATCTCAACCGTCTTGCGGAGGGCGAAGCCACTATCAAGGGCACCCCACATGTGGCGGAGAGCCTGCTTGTAACGCGCCTGCATATCGACATAGAGACCACGGAGGCCGCCTTTGCCGCCGCCGGCCACATTGCTCTGACTGACAGGGCTCAAGATTGTGCGGTTGGTAATGTTGCCGTTGAGCGCAAAGAAGCACTTGACGTACATATGAAGATCCTCGCCAATGGCCTCTGCGTCGGTATCCCAGCCGCCAACGCGATCAATCAACTCGAGCGACAGAGAGTACACCGATGTGGGTGGCGCGATGGCAGAGCCGCGGTACAGACCCGACATGCCTCCAGCGCTCCACAGAATGTCAGCAATACGGACAATGGCGGGAACGCTGTGCGCATTGCGATCGAAGATGATGGGAGCGGCGTAGAGGGTAGTCGATGCGGTGTCGGGGTGGTTTAGGTGCATATCCGTCAGTTGCGCAAAATAGCTGGAGGCGAGGTGACTGTCGGCGTCGATTCCTGTCACAATAACATTCTTGCGGTTCTCGCCATACTTTGCGCTCAGCTTGCGTGCGGCCCAGCCAATATTGCTGCCCTTGCCGGCGGCCTCCCCAGGAATGTCGCTTGGGTGGACAACGTAATCGATTGAGCGGAACTTCTTCGCGAAATTCTGCACCAAGCCGAGCGCCTTTGCTTCGCCATTTTGCTCGCGCTGCTCCATGCCGAGGTAGACCTGGTGGGGCTCTGTTAGTTTCATTTCGGACCTGACTAGCAAGACTCAATTCGACTCGTGGTGGCTGGTTCGAGAGCGCCCCGCGCTCGCAGCACGTGGGTGGGACTGAACTCCAAATTCCAATTGATAAGGGACTGGAGGCGTGGACTTACATCGTAGCAATTGTGAGCCTGGGGGTGTGACGCCAATACCTCGAGAGTCTCCTTAAGCGTGTCGAGCTCCTCCTTGTAATTGGGGATGATGATGGCATGTGTCACAGACGCCCCCTTGGAGATATCGCCCCCGTCGGTGTACATCTCTGGCTCAAAATCCCCGGCTTCGCTGCTAGTCGCAGTAGAGGGAGCGGCCGTCTGAGGCTCGGACGAGATGAGCGTTTCCGAGCTCGAAACCGAGGCGTATGATCCGCGGCGGTGCATGGGGCGGCTCTTGAGGTTCCTGAGAGAGTTACGCGTAGTGCGGCTCAGGGTTTGTGTGATGTCCCAGACAGCCCAACACGCGCGCAGAGGGAAAGTAGCGATGGCCAAGTGTACCAGGACGCAGTAGTACACAAAGATGCTTGTCCAGATACCCGCGCCCGTCGTCGTCGTGGGCGACGTGTAGCCAGCGGTCTTGCTCTCGGGGTGCTCGAACGTGTAGCCATGTCGCTCGACCACCGACTCGGACGTGATGACCCAGTAGCTCAGAGCAATGATCGCAATCATGCTCAGGCCTCCCACCCGTCTCGAACACCACGCAAGGAGGCTCATTCTTGCTGCTCGTAACCTGTATGCTGGGATATGCCGTGTCGACTAAGTGTACTTTGTTTCGAGTAGGGAATCTGCGCGTCCTAGGTCAAGTTGCGAATAGAGCCGATCTGCGACTGATACGTCGAGGGCGGAATATGTCGCGCGCTTTAGGGGCCGAGGGTTTAAGGAGAGACGAGTTCGGGGCGAGCCGAGAGGAACCTCGCTGTTGTTATTCGAGGGAGGGCGAGACGGGAAGGTGGGAGAGGGCGTGGGGGAGGAAGAGGGAAGGAAGGAGGAGGACTGGAGGAGGAAGGAAGGCGGTAAAAGGGGACGGACGGAGAGAGGCTGGAGGCTCAGCGCGGCCAGGGACCAGAGCCACGACCACGAGCGAGAAGTTGACGGGAGGGACAGGGCAATTGGTACAGCCTTGGCCTTTGGGGATAGCGTGCTCCACAGTGCCAAGCCCACCTATGGATAATGATCCCTGACCGGGGGTTAATGAGCCTGAGGGACTGGACAGTGGACATGGAGCGAAATTTGAGATGGGCCCCTGAAAGACTTTAGTACGTTCACTGAGCAGGCTGGCCTCGTGTGCGTTCTGCAGTCGGCTACCTTGGTTGAAAAAGCCAAACAAACCATCAAATTATGGCACTGAGGCTCAGGCCCAGCAATGCTGTTGCTACCTCATGAACCTAGAGCTATCGAACCGAGGAAACCCGCTGCAGGCGTCAAGCACGGTGACGCGCGCCGGGGCTATGGTTACAGAGACCGAGAGACATGAGCGTGTAGTACACGTAGATGGGCACCGTGCGATTGCTGTATTTGGGCTAGCTTAGATTGGCCAGGAGCAGCCATGTGCAGGGAAGACGACATGAGGTTCGACTCGAGAGACTGGAGCGGTTGACTGGAGCCCCCGCGGACCGCTTGGCGCTGCAAATGGCGATAGGAATCGCTTCCTCCTCGTACAACTGATGCCTTGGTCCGAGATGTAAGCGTAGCATGAGGTACATCGTGCTGTTCAGATCTACAGACGCCCACATCAAGTGCGGAGGTTGCATACTGCTCAATGCCACCGTAGGAAGAAAACCTAGTTGCCATCTCCGTGCCGCGTCATGTCAGGGCCCGGTGTGGCAGCGTGCTGGGCGGGCGATGAGCGCGGGCATGTGGGCGAGGATCCGAATACCTATGAGGCTGGGTCTCAACCGTCAGCCACAGGCCAAGCACCACCTCAGCTGCTTCGAAGCGCGAAGCCTTCATAAAAGCTTGTAATGCGCACTAGAGGCAGGATCTCGCCGCTAATAATTTCACAGGCGGGAGACTAATAGTCACTGGCGTGGGGCGCATCTGAATCAATCGACCCTGTGTGAATCTGTGTCTCACTGGGCAAAAGGCTCCATGTCTTCGAGGCCCCAGCCCATCCAAGGCACTGGGGGCTGAGCCTGGCGCTGCATTCCAACAACGTCATTGTAGTCGACTGTCTCGTTCAAACGTGCTCAGCTGTCTGTGCACGAAATACACTCGCTGGGGTGGAAAGTGCTTTACAATTCTCAGCACGGAAGATGGACATTAAATTATGCGACCATGTCGGAGTTTCACGCCTCGCAAGTGCACGGTCGAATAGAGACCGTCCTTGTCCCCCACAGCTAAACAAATTCCTTCGTGAACGGGATCAATGGACGGGGACGGGCCCCTCCTGAAATCTCCGTCCTGCATTGAAGAGAAAGGCAGGCTGGTTGGTTGGCGAGGTTGATGATTCGCACAGGGTCACACCAAAGCATGCGGCAGGCTGCGGGTATAGCACCTGTGCGGATATGCGTGGCTCCGTCATAAATTTCTTGGTTCCAGTCTGCAGGCCTCCAACCGTACGTAGCAGTTTGTTGGTGGCATCACGCGCCGCCAAGTTCCAACAGTGAGCAGCCGCATGATGAATCCCTCCTCCAATGCCCTCGTGATGGAAGCACACACTAATTAGGAGATCTCACTAGTATCTAGATCAATGATGGTATTGTTCCGCGATCTCGCAGTTGACCGTTTCTACGTGTACGTACAAGTAGACTCTAATGCGATGACGACGCCTCACACGCGATTGGTATGCTGCTAGTGTTGCAGGCTTCGCGGAAGCGCCACTTCCAGACGAGAGTATTCTTCGAATATCGACTACGTAGTCGGCTGTCACTAAAGAAGGCAAGTAAGTAACTATATCGACTTTGTAGTTGCACCTTTTCGCAGCTGACGACGGCGGGCCACGTACTGTATTACGTCGTGTCCTTCAAGCCGACGGTCTGCCCCGCGATGTCTAGTTCTTTGAGGGCGACCGGTAGAACAACAAGTTTCAGCGCGAGACTGTGGATTTATTATGCACGTCTAAGAAACTGCATAACTAATGCGGGAAATCCATCATGTGCCAGTATTAGGGTCATGGGCACCATTGCCATTAGACCAGGTGATTGCGATCTAAAAACAAGAGTACGACCTTACTGCACGCACCGGCAGCTGGATGCGAACTAATAACAGTCCCGTAGCGACAACGTGCCTCGAACTGGAACCACATTGGGCCGTTATACATGGACACACAAAGGTGAATGTTGTCTCATTCGAGAAGCTCGCTCTGTCAAATCTGCACAGTGTTAGCTCCTGGGAGAGTTGCCGATTGGCCCCTGCTACTGTAATTTCAATCACCGCATGAAATGCACTCTCATTGGCTCTCTGGTCCGTTCTGGGAAATGAATCTCGTGGCAGGTCCCGCAGGACTTGCGATTGGGGCTGAAAGTTGCTACCTACAATAATTATGAAGCGAATACCATACTGAGGGCATATCTCGTTAACGAGATCATAGCCCATGTTGTGATGCGTATATGCATATATTAAGCAATCAATTCTCATTATGTGTTGGTGTGATAGTGTCCGTAAAGCTCTATTGTTTATTTTAACTCGAGAAGAAAGCTAATACAATGTGTCTCTTGATACTGAGATCAAGTAGCAAGCCAGTCTACTAGTATCTGATGAAGGAGGATGGGTCACGGAAGGATGTCCATAGCTTGCCCTCTCCCCTTATTATGGTACATAAGGTACAATTAGCCACCCCCCTCCTACGACAAGGATGAAGAGTTCAACCAGGCCGTTTGTGGCATTCAGAGCCTAGTCTTAGTTCGCCTTGAACATGACTACCGCAATAGCAGAACGCACGGGACGCCGGTCAATGATGCTATGGATGCTGTGAATAAGAAGTTGTCTAAGCTTTATTTACCTTAATATGGAATCGATCCATCGTCTCGCAGAAGCACCAAGCCTAGAAGAGCTCTTGGGCATGGCCCCCAGTGACCGAAACAAGACGTTTAAGGTCGTCACAACCGAATGCAAGGTGACAGAGGACGGCGACGACACGGACCAGACGATGGAGTCACCGCTGGGGAGGAGAGTTTGAGGCTTTACGGCTTCTTCGATCCATTCCTACATCTCACTTTGATCGCAGGCGCCTCCTCGGGACTGAGAGGGAGTGGGAGTTCTGTAGCAACCGTTTTGAGACTCCTCCGAGAGATGCTTGGTTGCGGAAACTGTACGGAGAGCGTGTCTGAATATGGTAGACTTGACCTTCAATGTTGCCGTCGGCGGCCTCGTTGGTGATGAAGAGAGCCGTTTGTGATAGTCCACGCAAAGCGACAATGTCGACTTTGGGACGTACTTGTTAAAACCTACAGGGTATCATCCTAAACGCCGTTAAATACATTGCTAGTTTCCCGCTTTGAGCGCCAGCTCCCGACCAAGAGCACCATGCAAGCCGAGCTGTAATCATCCAAACGTTGTCTGCTGAGCATCCGGATCGTGCGCTGTGCGATATGCCCATCCGTACGTGTACTGCACGAAGCACAACAATGCGAGCTCCAAAGTGACAAGTAATATCGCCCTGATATGAGTGTCGATAGCGACATGAAGTCTTTGGCTTCCTGCCACAGCCACGTTTAACACACCTTTCCCCTCTGCGTGCTTCAGGCCTCCTTCTCGAACAGCTTCTGGATGGGTTTCGCAGCCTAGGTGCCTCGTTAGTAATCCAAAGACCAGCGGGCGAGCTTCTACCCACGTCAATGAACTTCTCCAAATCGTTGTCTAGGTTGGCCAGATCCTCCTTCCGCCGCTTGTTGTCCGCAATGAGTTTCTGCTTCCTCTTGAGCAGCTCCTGTCGCTGGTTCTCAAGCGTCTCTCTTTCGACGCGTTCGTGATCTATCCGTGCAAAGAGCAGAGCATTCTCGTCGTCTGTGGCCTGGTCGGGATATTGTGCGAGGAATTCGTCCACCGGCATCAGCGGTAGTTGGCGGTACTTGTGACTATGACACTGGTCAGCTATTCCGCAAACCACGAGAGCGCTTGGGAGCCAGCCTACTCGTAGCTTTCGCATGCGGCAATCTCATCCTGTAGATGGTTTTGCTCGTAATAGAGGTTCTGCAGCTGAAGGTGCAGCTTATCCACCGTTTGGCGCGCCTCGAGCGTCACAGCCTTGGTATCTCTTGCTGCCAGGTTCGCATGTCGATTGAGGCCCCTCAGCTGCGCGACCGTGGCGAGGAGCAGCGATTGCTGTTTCGATATTTCCGCCTTTTGCGTCGCGGAGAGCGTATCCGAAGTGTTTTGATCGATCAGGTCAACAAGCGCGTGCGCCTGGTCGCAGGCCTGGTGCGAAGTTTGTAGAATGACATTAAGTTTCTGGTCCGTTATGAGATTATCGACGTTCATTGTGGCGGCTTGGGGGTGTTGATGATGGGTAGTCGTCGAAGTTCTGATTGTTCGATGAGGTCGATTCTATTGTGGTGCAGGCTGCAGCAATGGTGCGCTAGCTCCCGCTTTTGTGCGGGAACGACAGTCGGTGGTCACGGTTTAACATCAGGCTTGAGTCAGGACATGGACTCGGGGCCTCTTTATTACCTCTTCACAGTTCACACGCGGGTTTTCGTTCTGAGACTCGTCACTATCACTTTTGATTCGCGCAACTACATTTGCTGACTACATGTACCCATGATGCTGTCACGGCATCTCAATTCTGCCGCCTGCTTTGGAATTTCTGATACCTCTCCTCACGCCATTTCGGCCCTCGCGTCCTCACCATCCAAATGACAGGGCTGGCAGCCAGAACAATGGATGCCATGAACACATATGTCCAGCCATAGCCCCACGCGTCAATCATGTACTGCACCACGGCTGTGCCGACAGCCGAGAATGAGGCTCTCGTCAAGTTGAAGCATGAGGATACGCGCCCAGGGTTCATCGGATACAGGTCAATCATCAGCGTTGACAGGATAGCAATCGGCCCCGCGAGCCCAAACCCTGCGAAGAAGAGGACCACGAGAGGCGCAGCAAGACTCGTGCCTGCGTCGATGACCCATCCCCAAGACGCGATGGCGGCCAGGGTGAGGGCGAGACAAGGCCACATGATGTCCAGCCTAGCCTTCTCAATCGGAAAGTTCCTCAGGTCGTCGCCTTTCCGTCGATCAGGCGACACCCCAATGCTCTTTGCCACGCGAGCGTAATGCCAGTTGAGGACCCTACCCACCACGAGGGTACCGAGTACCGATCCTACGGCGAACGGGATGAAGCATAGTCCGACTTGGATATCGTTGAAATCGTACCGACGGCGGACGACGTCCTGCAGAGGGACAATCACGGCGTAATTCGCCATCACGAAGAGAGACATGAAGATCATGAGTGGTCCCACGTCTTTCTCGAAGACAATGCGAATCGCGGCCCAGATGTTGGGGATGGGAATCTTGCGAGGAAGCTTCGCAGGGCCGGCTGTCTGCTGCCGAGTGCATAGTTCTGGGTCAGCGTTGGAGGCTGCCCGTTTCCGGTGCAAATGAGCTGAGATGAGAGAGTTGCTCATTCTTGGTGGAGGTATGGAGCCGTTGCCGACTACCTTCCTCGCTGTCTGATGATGGTCGATGATGGTCAGTTCGGCGTATTCGGGAGTGGACAGGTATGGAGCACCTACCTCTGGCACAAAGGGGACATAAACCAACAGGAACACGCCCGTGAGAATGACGAGGAACCAAAACGTGGATCGCCATCCGAGATATTGCGAGAGCAGCCCACCGATGACCGGCGCCAGAGCTGGAGCAAACTGCACACTGGCTTGCACAGCTGCAATGTACCCTCCACGATCAGCGCTTGTCGTCAGGTCACCGATGACTGCGCTCCCAATGGCCACGGTAGCACTGCTGCCCGTACTTTGCATGGCTCTCAGTACCATCAGGGCTGCATAGTTGTTCTGCAGCGCCAGGCCCACATTCGCACCGATGTATATCGAGAAGGTCATCATGTACACTAGTCGCCTTCCAATCTGATCACTCAGGTCTCCGAAGAAGAGAGGCGCGATCGCTTGCATGATCTGATACAGAGTGACTGTGAGGTTGATATCTGCTACAGACCGGTGATAGCCTTCGGCGATCGGCGTGATGGCGGGCAGGTAAATGAAGGCTGATAATGGGGAGAAGAAGGTGCTGACGGCTGTCATCAAAATGACAAAGGTCTTGGTCCGAGAAGAGAAGATGGAGTGAAGGGTACTCGAGTCTTCTGGCGCATGCTGTGCCATTTCTCCTGGTTCGGGAGTATGCTTGTGTTCATGTTCGGCATGTCGGTCGTGGCCAGTGTCATTGCTCTGGGCTTGGTCAGCCATGGGTTGTCGCGATGTTGCCATCATTCCAAGCGTCTGCTACTGTGGTCGGCATTCTCCAGAACAGCAATGCAAGCTCTATATATATGATTGCAGATTATTTCAGTCAAACCGGCTCTCGCCTCGTTCATGTTGTATGGCCGGTTGTTGACTTGAACTCCAGTTGGGTGGAGATCTGCGCGTGCCGATTCGGCACCGAGACTCAACCTGGCGTATGTCGACTAACTCCGATTGATTTTCTTCTCGGCCATCAGATCCTTGCAAGTAAATTGCAATGCATTGAATTGGCTGTATTGGGTGACCTCTAGATGATCGATGGACTTACGAACAAGGGTTGAAACAACCCTTCGAAATATAGGCGGACCAATGGCTGGTTGGGGCCGCTGCCCAGCCTCAAGGGATGAAGTATTCAGGCAACCACGGCTGGCGTTGTTCACCGTTGGAATCAAAGGTTTATTTCGAACTAATAGTACATTGCTTTAAGAAAAATGGCGTACGCAAGTCACTAAGAGATCCTATGATAGCGGATGAAGATGGTAGTTCACATATATAGGGGTCTTCTTCATCGCGTACATATAACGAATGTAGGGTATTGAGTTGAATCTTGACTAAACGTGGTCCAACATGAAAGAGTCTCACGAGCCAGCGAGAAGCTTCATAGCCTCGTCATGACCAGCAACCCAAGCCGTCATCGGAAGAACATGCTCCAGAAGAACACGGTGGCTCTCCTCGATGGGATCCCAACATGCGTCCCTCGCAACCGTAACAACGTAGCCCGAATCAGTCGCCTCCCTTGCCGTGCTCAAGACAGTACCCGTGGTCGAAATCCCACCGATGATCAGGCTCTGCACACCCTTACTCTTGAGGAACTCGTGAATGCCTTCCGACCTCAGAGCAGAAACAGTCCCGGTTCGATAGACTGTGATTTCATTATCGGAATCGCCTCCCGAAGCAAACTCGCCAAACTCCTCGGCGAGCTGCGGCTCTTTTTCGACCATTGACTGGATGCCTTCCTCCAATCTGGCGCGGAGCTTGCTCGTCTCCGCGGGCAGGCCCTTGAAGCCAATGAGTCCGTGGATGATCGGCACGCCGTTGTCTCTGGCTGCTTTGGACAAGGCTTTGACCGACGAGGTCAGTTTGCTTCTGGTGTCTCCCTGAATACGCGTAAAGAGAAGGTTGTGATAGTCGAGGAGTACGAGTGCAGTCTTGGAAGGCGGATAGGCCGCAGCCTCGCTGGGGTTGGCAGCAGAGCACATGGTGGACTTTGGTGGTAAAGTATGGATCAGAACAAGATGTGAGTTTCTGTTGTCCGTCGAGACTGCCTCAAAGGCATCATTTGTCTATTGATATAGTATTTGGCCAGCATGCCCCGGCCATAGCGGCGATAGGCATATGTTGGTCGTTGTCCCATTGGGGTTGGTCCATCGGCACCGAAACGGCGACATGGTGCAAATTCACTGCTGTGGTGGAGTTATCGGGCATAATAGCGATTTGCGCGCGTATCTGGTTGGGACTGTAATCCGGCCTCGCGTCAGCTGATGCGAATTGCATACTGCCGACTTAGGGTAGTAGCCAGGGACGTAGGTACAGAGTTGATGCCATTCATGATGCGGCTTTCGTGGTTGCAACTTGCAAGACGGGCTTTTCGACAATGGCAGGAGCAGGGGTCCCTGCCAGACATCACGTGCATTACCTTATTTGAACGATGACGACGCCGGCTGGATGCCAAGGTTAGGCCTTCAAGAACTTCGGACATTTGATTATGGCCGGCTGCGCATTCTCTGCCCAACGAATGATAATCGCTAACATAAGGAATCCGCTCTCCTCCCTAGAGCCCGACTATTACTTTCTAACGTTGCCGTTTTCCAGTGCCTGGCCAGCATCGTCGGAACGTTTCAAGCGCTCGCATGCGGAGCTAGCGGACGTCTACCGCAACGGGAAACCGACTGCGTTAATGTTGAGAGTTGAAGCCCACTTGGGCCTTCCAAAGCCACCCATCGCATGGGACCTTGTTGTTCCATTGGTCCGGTTCTTTGAGCAAGACTGGTTTGAGACTTTGAGTTGGGCAGTTGAACCCTGGGCAACAACGAAGACTCCGTCATCCACCCACCGAGTCCCTCGCGCTTGGCATCAGCTGGGCGCTGGATCCGCTTCTCCGCCACAACAACCCGACCGACCTGACCATGATCCCGATCCCTACATCTCATCCTACTCATCTTTCTCATAAAGTCTTGTCCCTAGAACCGTACACCCCGCGCCACTTACCTACGCTGTTGATCACTCTATATTCCGCTTGTGAATTCGCCCCCTTGCATTCCTGCCAAGAACCATAATTGGGTCTTATGCGGCTGTTTTCGCATTGCATGCTGCTGATTACCATCCCAACTCAACCAATTGACGCCTCCACCACCCCGCGTGCTGCTGGGACCCAACGTCTGGCCGCTATCCTCGGATTCTTTTTTTTTTCTCTCTCGCCCATCGCACCGACAAAAGTCTCACTGACCCTCCGTGCACAAGTGCGCCCATGCTGAAACCCCGCCAACATCATGGGCGACGTTACGACTGCGCTGACCTCGGCCTGTGCCTATGAAGCGCAGGACGACACAACAGCCGTCTCTTCTGGCACCGACTTGCGCCGTCCCGGTAGCAGCGAACCGGCGCAACGCCGACGGCACTCATTCTTCCTCCCGAGACGCAAGTCCATAATAGGTCACATCATGGAAGGCGAGGAGGGGCTACTCCTCAAGGTCGACCTCTTCCTCTCCGAGTTGGAGCGTCGGCTGGATCTCATCGAAAGTTACGCACACAGCGACTTCAGCAAAGACTCGAGTATTGCACGGGCTTTTGCCACGTTGCAAGCTGTTCGCACAAGATGCTCACATGCCTCCGAGGAAGTCATTGGCGAGGGGCGACGACGCCTGCAGGTCATGGTAGAGACCTTGGAAACGCGATACCAAGAGACGCTGGAAGCTGCCGAGTCGTTCCACGAAAAGGCACACATGGGTATTGACCTTCTCGAGACTATGCTCACCGACTTCGAAAACAGGGCGTACAAGCTTCGAGAGCGAGGGTTCGCTAATGCCGCCACGGCAGCAGGCGCCTTTGTGGGGGAAGGCCGACGTGTGGCAAACGAGAGTATTGAGAGGGCCCGAGAGGTGGTCCACGAAGGCCTTGAACGAGCCCGCGACGCAGCGTACTCTCTGGAGGAGCATATCCAGATGACCATCCTCAAGGCGCAGGAGACTGGACTTTTGATGTACGAGGATTTGCCTACGCCGTGGAGGAACAACCCGCACATCCGAAAGGGCTACCGGTTCAGCGCGACCAAAGTCGAGTGTGTCATTTCGGCTTTCCGACCCTCCAACGAGTCGTTCAACATCTGGTCTCATGCTTTGGGCCTTATCCTGGTCCTTGCCGTGGCCTTGTATTTCTACCCGAGCAGTGCCAACTTCTCTCTGAGCACCAAGAGCGACGTCTTTGTCGCGGCAGTCTTCTTCGTCATGGCGTGTGTGACACTCGTGTGCTCAACAATCTGGCATACGATGAACGCCGTCGCTGATGTGGAAGCCGTCTCCACGTTCGCCTGTGTCGACTACACGGGCATCTCACTCCTCATCGCAGCTTCCATCATGACCAGCGAGTACACCGCATTCTACTGTGACCCCGTCAGCCGCTGGATCTACATGAGTCTGTCCGCCTTTCTTGGTCTCGGAGGTGTCATTATGCCATGGCACCCAAAGTTTAATGGACAGGACATGGCGTGGGCTCGCGTTACCTTCTTTGTCGGCCTGGCTTTGACAGGGTTCATGCCCATGGTACAGCTCTCATGGACGCATAGTGTGGAGTTTGTTTACGACTTCTACTCGCCTATTTTCAAATCACTATTCGTCTATCTGGCCGGCGCGGTTGTCTACGCAAGCAAGATCCCAGAGAGGTGGTGCCCGGGCTGCTTTGATTACTTTGGGGGCAGTCACAACTTGTGGCATGCTGCGGTCCTCGGGGGCATTCTTTTCCATTATACCGCCATGCAACAGTTCTTTGCCAGCGCTTTTGATCGCGCGGAAGGCGGCTGTCCCGCCTACTGAAGATACAGAAGTTAAGTACAAGAGCTGTGCTATCCTGTGCAGAAGTTCATGGAGATTGGCGACCAAGTCCACGTCATGTCATTGTCAGGCTTCTCAACGTCCGACGGGTTTCCCCCTTTGCGCCTATTCGGTTCGCCATCGTTGGTCGCAACGTCGAAATTATCACCTAGTGTTCCTTCAATATCCTACACAGCTGGCTGGAGCTGAGAAGGCCGACCTCGTTTTGGGCAGTACCATGCGAGAGTTATGAGGATGCAACAGCACAGCCAAAAATGCCAGGACAGGGCTTGGAGTTGCGGAATGATCGTATCGTACAACACGCGGAGGTTGTATGCTTCCTTCTCGAGACCGAAGCGCATCGCGGCAGACCACACGCACTCTTTGATCCGCCAGCGCAAAAGTGTATTGATGACCTGGCATGCTTGTTTTCGGGTGTTGAGGCAACGCCGGACGCAGTCGATCTACGAATGTCAGCAGACACTCACATGCGGACGAGTCGACGGGCACACCAACGCTTTGCAAGCATAGCTCATCAGGCTGGCTGTGATCAGCCAACCAACACGTCACGAATCCGATGCTGAAGAGGGCGCGTTCGATGAAACCCATGCTGACGAAATTTGATGATTGTACGGACTTGGGTCAGGAATTGGGAAAGTGGCCTAGGAGATGCGAAGAGAGAAGAAGTTTCGGACCGGGCTATCACGCATAAAATAGAGCGAAGCGATATGTTTCGTGCGGCATTCACTGGCGTTGCGATGAGTTACTGTCGCTGTTTGACGACAATCTTGGGGTTGCATTAGATATCTTTGCATAGTACTTTCTTACGCTTCTAGAGCTGACCTCGGTGTTTGTGCAACCGAGCGATTCAATCAACATTTGTCCAATACTTGAGTCACTGCCTTTCTGGCTCATGGGATCTGTTGACATCTCCTTTATCTCTATCTAACCTGTGACAGCGGGTAGGTCATCGGCTACTGAGTGTTGGATGGACGTCCTTGTTCTTCGTGCCACCCAGTTGGAACAAAGCTTCGATCTGCTTCACGTGAGATATGAACTGAGGGCAAACCAAGCAGTGGACGTAATCCAAATTGGGACAATGTCAATTTGGTATAACATCTCCCTAGGGCACCTAACCTAAAACGCCAATTACAAGCATGCCATAAAGCCGTGTCCTGTGTACCTGACGCCAATGAAAGCTTCATCATAGCAGACATACAATTCGTTATTTCATGCAGCACAGAGTGCATCCAATTTCCGTTCTGCGGTGTTCATCGTCATCACAAAGCGTGATTGACAATCTCGTTGTAGACATCATCGGGAATCTTCTTGATAATCCCTATCGTGACACTCTTGACAAGATCGGCGTTGAGCTGAGGGAAGGACCTCAAGACTTTGTTGGGACTAAGCACGTTAGTCAATGGCATCTACAGGCCAGACAAAGGCTACTCACCTTGCTGACGTTAGGATCTGGGTCCTCATAATGGTCAACTGCGCAACGATGCATACAATATTCAGATGCGGTCCATACGCAAAAAGAAAATCCCATAAGCGCAATACCTCTGGCAAGGGTGGCGTGCACGCACACAGCGTGAGGACTGATGGGAAAGCATAGATCTCGGCTGAGAGGCCCTTGGCGGTCAGGTACATCGCTAGCTTGGGGTCGACGATGGCGAGGACTTTATCAACCAGCGCTAACCCTCGATGTACGCCATCCATCGCACCACGGATGTATCCAGGGCAGTCTCGTGTAAGTAAGGTGTGGAAAGCCGCAAAGGCTTCGGCCTCGCTGCGCGCTGCATATAGGAACGGGGCCGCTAGGACGTTCATGCCCTGCACGTACACACCGGGCTCGACTGCATTTTCTTCCCATTTAGAATCTGTCAGAGGTTGGGTGGGGGAAAACTTACGTCCTTGTGAGCTGTCGGATGCGTTGCTTGCTAGGCTCGCCCTAGCCATTGACGACCTTGCTTTGCGGGGGCCAGACAGGCGGTCCTCCTCTCGGGCGTCTTGCAAAGTCCAAGCTATAGCATTCAGCAAACGTATCAGACTTGCTTCGCTCACACGCCGTCGGAAAAGGGGATCGGTCGTAAGCGTGCGGAATGTGTCGTTTCGGATCTTCGAATACGCAGGCGAGGCGCCTCGATGGATTAGGGCAAGGTAGTCGTCGGTAGACAAGATGGGCGCGTTGAGCAGGACCAGCCATACGTAGATCCTCACGGTAGACTACAAAGTCAGCATCCCCTTCTTTCCATTGTCATTCTTGCGAACTGACCATGCCGTCATCCGCGCTCTTGATGCCCTCATCCACTACTTTCCACCGCGCGCTCTCGAGCGCACCGATATAGTCGCCATCAGCCGGTCCGTCGCGTATGATCTTGTCGAGAGAGAGGTGGCCGTGTGAAAAGACGGGTTTCCGGCTCCCAGGTCGCTTCGCAGCCGTGACGGCATTCATCTGGTGGACGAGCGGCGGCGTGGCATCGCTGTTAGCGCGACCACGGGTGCTGCGCGTCGGTGAGCCATTGCGCTGGACAGGCTGGCTATTCGGCGCGTTCTGATTCTGTTGCTGACGCTGCTGGGATATGAGAGAGGGCTGCGAGGGTATGTGGGCTGAGTTTCGGTTGCTGGCACCCAACGTATGGGCGGACTGCAGACGTCGCAAGGCGCGATGAGTTCGCGGTGATGGTGGGGGTTGGAGCTCAGGCTGGAGAAGCGACGGTTTCAGCGATGGAATTGGTTCTCGAGGCGGACTGGCCATAATGATGTCCTCGAAAGCTAGAACATGCGAAGAGAATGAAGTAGGCGGATGAGGACAAGATCTGAACGAGAGATTGGTGTTGTGTTGATGCTAGATTCAATGTCTGAACGTCGCGGGGTGGCTGGGAAAGAACGAGACCTCCAACCGCGCGCCGCGCCTGGTGAGGTAAGTCAGATGAGGTGAACACGGACGATGACACAAATCCAACATTGTGAACTGGAAGAACCCTCAAAATCCTCATGTGCCCGGCTGGTCACTTTGGCTCACCATTACTACCTGATTGTCAGTGCGTGCATCTCACATCGACGGGCGCGTGCTGCTTGTACTACGTACACATGCATCAATCGGGATTCGTCTCGAGCTTCGTTACGTGCATGCCCTATCTATCAGTACCAGGTACATACCTCGACTGTATCACAGGACAGACAGCCCGCCCTCGCTCCTCAACGTGCGTCACTCACATTCTGCTCCGTCACGAGTGATGTGGACAGACGCGACATGATCGCAGGGCATGCTGGCCAAGAATCCTGAACCTGCCCTCCCGTCAACAGCACGACACCCATCCGTCCATTTCTCCATCGGGCTTCTGACTTGACGCCACCATGGTTTTCAACGCAGGCACCTTGCAACGTACGTTGGCGAGAGCTCTAGGGATCGAGCTCAAGAATCCGGGTAGCACGCGTTGCGATGAAGAAGTCTGCGACGAGCCGTTGCTTGCACAGCATGCAAGTGAGCCCTTTTTCGAAAGCTCGCCAACCACGGCGGAGTGGGTGAAAGGCCAGGTGCCATCTCTTGACGAGACACTCAAGTACGCACGATCACTGCTGCCATGCCTGTCTTGGGTCGGTCATTACAATCTGCAGTGGCTCGCCTCTGACCTGATTGCGGGAGTTACAGTCGGGGCGGTCGTCGTTCCGCAGGGCATGGCGTACTCCATGCTAGCCAAACTCGATCCGCAGTATGGCCTGTACTCGTCCTTTGTGGGCGTTATGCTGTACTGGATCTTTGGCACGTCCAAAGACATATCCATCGGCCCTGTGGCCGTGCTGTCGACGCTCGTTGGCAACGTCGTCGACGCAGTACATGCATCTGGACTCGACACGCCGGCACACACCATAGCCGCGGCGCTCTCCATTGTCTCGGGGCTGATTGTCCTAGCAATTGGGCTGCTCCGATGGGGATGGATAGTGGATTTGATATCGATTACCTGTCTGTCTGCCTTTATGACCGGATCCGCTGTGACCATCGCAGCAAGTCAACTCCCGGCTCTACTCGGCGTAAAGGGGTTCTCCAACCGCGATCCCCCCTACGAGGTGATCATCAACACCTTGGCACACTTGTCCGAGGCCAAGATTGATGCCGCAATGGGCTTGTCAGCACTCTGTGCGCTCTACTTGGTTCGCAATGGGCTGAGCAAGGCCGCCGTCCGTTTTCCGAAGAGAAGACATCTGATCTTCTTCATCAACACCATGAGGACCGTTTCTGTAATCATACTCTACACTTTCATCAGCTTTGTCGTGAACCGGGAGAGAAGGGAAGACCCAGCTTTCGAGGTCTTGGGCAACGTCCCTCAAGGCTAGTCACTTGAACTTCCATGATTGCATCACGCTCACAGTAACAGGCTTTCGAAAAGTCGGCAGTCCGATGATCAATGCCGATCTTGTTCGCCGTTTCTCGTCATATCTACCCGCAACGGTCATTGTCATGCTCGTTGAGCACATTGCTATTGGCAAGTCGTTCGGCCGAGTGAACAATTATTCAATCGACCCGTCCCAAGAGATGGTTGCCATCGGAATCACCAACATTATCGGACCCTTTCTGGGTGGTTATCCTTCAACTGGGTCTTTCAGCCGAACTGCCATCAAGTCGAAGGCTGGCGTACGCACGCCTGCCGCCGGGCTATTTACTGGCACCGTCGTCTTACTGGCCACGTACTTCCTCACCGGCATCTTCTTTTATATTCCGAGTGCCGTCCTCGCAGCTGTGATCATCCATGCTGTGGGAGACCTCATCACTCCGCCCAAAACGGTCTTCCACTTCTGGAGTGTCTCCCCTGTGGACTGCATCATCTTCCTCATAGGCGTCGTGGTGAGCGTCTTCTCACACATCGAAGACGGCCTATACGCCACGGTCGGCTGCTCTCTAGCGATCCTGCTCTATCGGATCCTCAAAGCCCGTGGGCAGTTCCTGGGTAAGATAAAGGTCCACTCCGTCATAGGCGACCACGTCATTCGAGACAATCACCGTCAGGTGGCCGGGCAGTACGAAACATTTGAGGAGGCATCCACAGACGGGCCTGCGGGGCGAAATGTATACTTGCCCATCGATCACGGCGACGGATCGAACCCCAGTGTGTCTCTGGGCAACCCTTACCCTGGCATCTTCATTTATCGGTTTGCCGAGGGATTCAACTATCCAAACGCCAACTCGACCCTTGACTACCTCGCCGACTACATTCATGCGCGTACTCGTCGTACGAGCGTCGAAACTTTTGAGCGTCCAGGCGATCGGCCTTGGAACAATCCCGGACCTCGAAAGTCCGCCAAATCTCGACAAGAGCCGAGTGCTGAAGACGAACTCCCCACTCTCAAAGCCATCGTCTTGGACTTCAGCTCCGTGAACCATGTCGACATCACTTCAGTACAACGTCTCATTGACGTCAGAAATCAACTCGACATGTATGCTTCGCCAGATGTGGTCGACTGGCACATTGCCTGTATAAACAACCGATGGACGAAGCGCGCTCTGGTTGCCGGTGGATTCGGTGTACCAACAAGGCCATCTGACGGCCTGCACCACCGGTGGAAATCCATCTTCAGCGTCGCGGAAATCGGTGGCAATTCGTCAGCAGCGGCGGTGGCAGAAAATGACGCCAACGAACGTGAACTCAGACTTCATCCAACTTTGTCCAGAGATGAGGAGCTGGCTCCTGACCAGCCACTCCCTCAGGCGCCTGGAGATGGTGCCGATGGAGAAGAGAAGGAACCTTCACTGGGATCGTCTTCGAAGAGGAAACGTAAGGGGGCAGTGATGAGCGGCCTCGACATGCCGATGCTGCACATCGATTTGACGAGTGCAGTACAAAGCGCCATTGCAAATGCAGAGGCACGACAAGAACAACGTGGCTTGCTGGAAGCAGATACTTTGTAATTTTTCAATCGATTTGAGTGAAACACAGTCGTGGCATTGAATATCTGGTAGGTTACATGTCAGCAGCCTGGACTCTGGACTCCTGGAGAGCACTCGATAGCACCTACTGGTTACATGCCCACGTGACCTCGCGTTTATTTTCGCGATTCACTTAACGCGGTCACCACTGTATACGTCACACAGCCTACCCACAATCTTCTCCCAACACACTCGACGTTTTGCACTTTGCAAAAGTCAAGTCAGATTTTGATCGAAAGTCAGCCTATACAATGCCGTGGGGTATACAGCGCCTCAATGTGAAGAAGTCCCGCCCAAATGACAACATCAATTTCATCAAGCCACTCAGTGGGCCGGACGAGGCTATCGCGCAAGACTTCCTCAAGCGCATCGCAGCCCAGTGCCGTAGGTGCATCCGTGATTTTCTTTTCGCAAATGATCTGCTGACGCTAGAAAAGTGCCCGTAATGCGCGAGCACCATCTGTACGTCATGTCTCTCGAAGAATTCCCGCCGAATCGAGAGTTTGTTGGGCGTAACTTCAATGCCGGCGAGGTCATCCAGCTGGTTCTCAAATCACCGTCATCAGGTCGGTGGCTCCCCTTTGAATACGTGCAAATGGTCATGATGCACGAGCTCGCACATATCAAGCAAATGAACCACTCGAAAGCTTTTTGGGCGGTACGCAACGGCTACGCCACACAGATGCGCGGGCTCTGGGCCAAGGGCTATACAGGCGATGGGATTTGGGGTCGAGGAAAGGGCCTGGAGACGGGTATGTGGGAGAAAGACACAGTCCGTGAGGGGGAGATTTTACCGGAGCATCTGTGTGGTGGGACATACAGGTCGAGAGGACGGAAGCGAGGCAGGAAGCCCCAGCTGAGCTACCAGGAACGAAAGCAACGGCGCATCGAGAAGAAATTTGGTGTGGCTGGCCAGTCTCTCGGGGCTGACGAGGCGACGAAGACCCAGCTGGAGAAGGGAAAGAAGATCAAGGGCAAACCACGTGTGGCAGGCAGTGCTCGCGGACGTGATCTCCGCGCTGCCGCTGCTCTCGCTCGGTTCGAGCAGCAGAAAGAGGTGAAGGAAGAGGAATTTGTCAAGGAGGACGACGACGACGGCGAAACGGCCTCGGACAGCGATGATGTCTACGAAGACGTCGACCCTGACACGAAGGATGCCGTGGACATTGATGGTCAGACACTCAAGGACAAGAAGGGCAGGGGAATGATCAAAATTTGCGAAGACGAGGAGGCCGATGATCCCGAAGTCAAGGGCGAGCTGCAGGAGCTGCAGGACGTGTTCCGAGGGGTCAAAGAGGAGCCCATTGATCTGGAGGAAGGTGTACCCACCAACATCCCCATGAGCACCACGACGAGTAAACAGAGTCCTGCTGCACGCGAGCGGATCGCGAGTCTTGCACCGAAATCAACGCGAGTCAAACGGGAGCCTGGGAGCCGCACAGAGTCCCCGTTGAACAGTATACCGTCCGCACCACTGTCTGCAGCACAGGGGCCGGGCCAGCGAATCACATCACCACCAGGAGCATCCTTTTCGAGAACAAGAGCTTCAGCGCAGCCAGGATCACACGGTGACATTGGAAAGGAAGAGACACCCACGATGGCGTGTTCGACGTGTTCTTATGCCAATGTGACCGACGCCATCACCTGTGCGATGTGCGCCAACGTCTTGGACCCTGCTGTGACGCCCGGAAACTGGCGTTGTGATCGCGCAACATGCAAAGACACTGGCTACCGGAACACAGCTGACAGTGGAATATGTGGCCTTTGCGGCGCAAGAAAGGTGGTGCAGACCTGACTTGCGAACATTGATCTGGTCGCGGCAGGATCTTGGCGTCCTCATCATCTTTACTATAATAGGCGGGCAACGTGCTCCTGGCGATAGAGCCGCAGCAGGGCGTGCAACGAGCAGACACCAAGGAGAGTCCAGACCGCGACGGTTCTGGGGAGGTGCATGCCGCCAAGTAGTCGTGGAGGCGCCAGCCTCTAGGCGCGTCCTCCCGAGCCGGCACGATGCAAGCCTTGGGGATGAGATGAAGATTGTGTGGAACAGCACGGAAGGACTGAAGTCCTGGAATGCGACGATAACGGCTGTGTCAGATGCTCATTGGACGATGGTCTATAGTTTGGGCTTGTAGAGTGCGGGGTGAACATGCACGATACTTGTCGGTGTTGTGGCGCGGGCGACGTGGAGGATGCATGACAAGGGACTGGAGTGGAGGGGGTGGTCGTTTCGCCTGTCTGTCACGTTCGTAGTGACACCAGCACGGCCTCAATTACCGTACAAGTACTGCTAAGCAAGTGATCTGATCGGAACACTACACAAGGAGCGAGGGTGTGCTGGCTCGACCCAGCAATCGATCTCTTATCGCGAGGGAAGATCCGCGCACCTTCGGTGTATTGGATTAGGGTCGATCCCGTCTCACACTCACTTTGGGCGTCATGGAGATCGACAAAGGGAGCATTTGTAAGAATGCACACTACAGTGAGCACACTACAGTGATAGGCCAATCTCTATGCACGATGTGGGTAAACGAGAAGGTTTGGAGGTCGCTTACTGCGCGAGTGATGTGAAGCTTATTGTGCGAATGGGAAAGCGTGCGAGTTGTTTGCTTTTACCCCGCAAAAGGCCGTCCATCGACCCCAGACTTTTGATGGCAGCTGCGACCTTGCCGCGTTAGCTCATTGCAGTAGGGGTTGGCCATGTGCATGGTGGCCATAAGTCAACACACTCGTCGGACGACATCGTGATGGCGCAATCTACTTCTGGGTGGCAAGAGCTGGAGCCCCTATGGTCTCTACGGAAGACACTGGCTCTCCTGTGCTCACTCTGCCTGTTTGCCTCGATGAACAAGAGTGATTACGGCAGAGGCTAACGAGGAGGACATTCAGGGCAAGAGCCACCAGGCAAGCTAGTCCAGACCCCCACTTGCGATAACTCCACCATCAGCCACCGGCATCGGCTCGACGTCACCACCTTCTGCCGTTTCCAGTCGAGGTCCCACCCCCTCGCCGTCTACGAACCTGAAGGGATTCGCGCCCTGACCGACCGATCTCGCCGCCATCATCCCGGAAGGTCGGCCAGCGCTGTCGAGAGATCACAGGCCACCTCATCAATCAATCCAAAACGGCTGGTGTCCACTGATCATCGTGGTCCCTTGGTCACACAGCCTGGAGGCAGGATCCGTCATTGCGTTGCACGATCGGCATCAGCCATTTATCAAAGCAGCACCCCACCAAGCGGCCCGAGCAATTGCGTCAACTGTTCACCTCATAGGTCTTCTCACACCAACGAGACTGGAGCTCCCATGAGCGAACTGATTCACCATCAGCCACAGTAGACCAGTACTGCCAGTGAGTGGCATGGCGCAGAGCGTGTGTGCCGCGATCACGCAGTCAAGCAGGCGCCAGAATCACAAGTTGCGGACGGAACGCCAGCGACAAGGGACTGGACCTCAGGCTCCGTCGATCCCAAGGGTCCATCGAGACAACGCCTGCAATCCCCATACCTCGCGCTACGCAAACATATGCCACCTACCTTACCAGATACGCACGCACGACGCACCGGCTGCAGCTCCGCGACTCAGTGCAGGTCGATCTCAACGAAGCCGTGTCATTTGCTGCACTTGGATTGAGACGGGGACTGGCTGGTCGCTCACACTGCTGCAAGCCTAGAATCCCCCACTCCATCACATACCTTGCCTTCCTTACCTTAGCTCACCACTCCCTCCTTACCAGGTACTTTTACCTCTGGCCCCCTTCTTCATTTCCCACCGTCTTCCCATTCCTCTCTTCGTACTTTTCCCCTATTCTTCAGTCTATCGCCTTACTGCCAACTTCCTACACTGTGTTTCATCCAGCGGACAGCGGCGGATCACCATACGCACCACTGAAGCTGCTGCTACGGCCTCCGGCCCCTTCAAATCGCGCCATTATTGTGACAAGACGGTCCTATCGACTTGGACCTTGTGAGACCCCTCCTCATACATCAGACCACTGCGGCCTTCTTGACTGAGCTCTGGTTCAACACCCATCGCCGTCAGAAGACGTACTTGCCCCAACGCAACCTTGATGCCTCTTTCACCGCTGCGCTCAAAGGAAGCATACGACTACATTTCCGTCGGCTAGCTTGCCTGCGCTCTGAACGACAGCTCTGTTCTTCCGTTTGACTGCACACGCAATCAAAGTCGCCCGTCACCCCGTCACATTTCGTCTTCTTCAGTCCGTAAACCACGCACGACACAAAATGTCTACAGACGGCCCCAACCCTGAAAACCCTCGACAACGTCGCAGCTCCATCACGCAGGCCGCTCTGTCCAACCTGTTCCAACGAGGCCCTCCGTCTGGCAGCACTGGGCCAGCCTTCCCTGGTCCACCCAATTCCACAGCAGCCGACGCGAACCGCCGTCGCTTGTCGGTCACGACGCTCGGGTTGTCTGGAGCCTCACAGAGCGGCGCCGCTTCACTCGGCATCCGGCGCGGCAGCATGTCTACCAACTCAAACAACTCGGATTCAATTGACGAGAACGCGATCGAGGACGACGACACGGGCGCCAGAACCGCCCCGACCACACCTTTCACGCGGCGCATGAGCTTTGGCGGCTCCGCCGTGAGGGGATACCGCCCCGGCGGCAGCCCTGGCAATGGTAACAACAACCCATCTTCCCCACCTCCAGCACAGCCCATGCGAAGGCCCAGCGTCGCTGCGACCCTCGCCGCTAGCCGTCGTGCCAGCATTGGCATGGCGACGTCTCTCCCGCAGGCAAGCAATTTCAAGACGCAGAGCAATCCTTCTGACAGTGTCGCTCGATCAGACCAGCAAGGCTTCAACTGGTCCGAGCAGCTTAGGTCTCGTGCCGAGAGCAACGTCACACAAGGACCGCGTCCGTCCTTCTCCCTCGCCAGCAGCTCGCCGCCAAGGGCCGGTGCGCCCATTCACGACCGCGCCAAGTCCATTTCCGACCTGCCTGCACCACCGGTGCAGACCCCTGTAGCGAAGCCGCAGCCCCCGCCTCAGAGGCAGAAGCCCGATGCGTTCCAGGAGCGCATTCTCAAGGGCGACTTTTACATGGATTGAGGGGCGTCCATGCACACCCCGTTGATTGATGGAAGCGAGCAATTTTGGCGTTTTGTGCGTTTTGCTTTGATTTTGGCTTGGCTCGTCTCGGCGTCGATGGCAAGCTTGCTTACAGGAAGAACACTTGATACGATACTGGACTCTGGGGTACCAGGACACGGATATGTCGAGAGACAAGAGGGGCTACGGCAAGGAGCCCTTGAGCATGATCGCGCAGCAGCAGAAGAAGAAGACAACGATGATGATGATGAAGATGAGATGACCAAGTATTGCTATCTCGACTATTCTCAAGACACATGTACGAGACGACAGTTGTTTCGATATCGCGATTGCACAGGATTCCATTGGACTTATTTCAGTGACACAACCGAACATCAGGCGTTTCAGGGAGACTTCGGGATGCAAGGATTGTTACGTCAGGTTACTATGCTGTGTCGTCTTTGAATCGGAGAATGAGCATGGCAGATTTACTTTATGTAAATTGAAACGTTATCTCGTGATCGCTATGCGTTAATGATGCTGCCTGAGCAGGCTACATATGTAAAATGCAGTGTGTAGAACCTGTGAGATTTTGGTCTGCAAAGGAGAGCCAATGCCCATCTCAGAAGGGAAACATGGGTCCCGTGTTGTCCTGGAACTCTTGGAAGCCTCTGAATACGTCTCCGAACCACGGCTCGGCCAGCATGATCCGCGCCCCGTTGTCTTGCGACTCTGGCGCGAGGGGCGGCCTGTTCATGTCGAGTCCCATGGCAGGGCCCATGAGGTTCATGTCCATTTGGTGCGGCGTCATTTGTTGCTGGCCTGACCAGTCGGGGAACGGCTGCATCGGCTGGTGCTGCTGCTGGGAGTGCGGTGGTGTCCCCGTCGCCGTGGCATCCTGGTTGAAGTATGGCGGAGGCGGGGGAGGCCGGAAGTCCGAGGTGTGTGACGCATGCGATGGTCTGTTCGCCGGCGAGGCATTACTCGTGGCGACCTCGGACAAGACATGCAGGTTGGAGGTATGATGGCTCTGCTCGTGAGGCGACATTGTCCGCGCCGCGTGGGCAGCACCGCCCTCCTGCTCGGCCTTCTCCTGTTTGATGAACCAGCTCTTGAGCATCGACATGACGGAAAGAAACTTGGACGCTGGACGGCATCGATCGTCAGCCGCGGTTTGGCGAAACTTGTCTATCAGGGCGTCGAGGTACCACTCGACCCGTAAGTTGCCCTTGCTGATGACTTTACCCAGCTCCGACCCTGGGCTTGACGCGGAAAAGTACATTTTGACGAGGATGACGATGGCGTAGGCGACACGGACAAGATTGAAGACGGGCAGGTACCGAATTTCAACCACGTCCATGCCGAGAAAAGTGGTGAAGATGCCGTCGACAGCGCTCAGGCAAGCCGATACGGCGCTGATGTGCGATGCGGACAGGGGTTCGGCCGACAGTCCGACGCCCTCCTTGAAGGTTTCGGTATTGAACGGCGGACGCAGCTCAATGTGCGGTGCGCGGTGGTTGGTCGTACGCAGAGCGATCTCGTGCAGATACAGACTGAGCATGTTGTGCCCAATCTTCATGGTCGCTGGGGAAAAGGAGTCAGTCAGCCTGTTTACCATGAGAAGATGAGACACCTGCACTCACGTTGCTGGAGGGCCTCAGGAACACCCGAAAGGCACTTTTCCAGATCCCTCTCGAGTACCTTGAGAGAGTACTGCGTCCTGGGGTCGTTGATGTCTACGTTCCGGGTAGGGTCGTGCATCAGAAATTGCTCGCCAATGTCCTCGCTTAGGCGATGCTGCGCCACCAGGTGACAGAAGTACTGGTCGGACGGGGCAGCGTCGGGTGACGTTTTTAACAGCTCGAGGCTTTCCGACATGAAGGGCGACCAGCGCACCAGGTTGGGCCGATGCAGGGAGATGGACGTGTTGGACGTCATGTAGTAACAGGCGAGCCACGTCCGTCGACCTTCCATCGAGGCCGGGTCTACAGCCAAGTTCTTGCTGGCGCGCCAGGGCTGGCTGAAGTTGTGCATGGATGCTTCTGATCGGAGGGGGGCGCTCTTCTTCCCCAGGCCAATGTCGATGGCCATGACGGCGGCGACGTGGACCAGCTGGTAGAACTTGAGCTCCTCAAAGTGCTCCGGCGGCCAGTACCAGGCTGTCGCGACGAGGAGCCCTTGCACAATCTCCACGGACTTTTCACCGGACAGGAAGACCTTTTCGGCAAATACCATCATCAGCTCGCGCTGGAGTTCGGCCTGGAGCGCTTGTATCTCCGACGAGGCGGCAGCCATGACGGCCAGGAACAGGACGGGCCTCGTCCTGCGTAGCTCCGAGACGCTCTGACTCGGTGGGAAGATGACGGCGGGGAATTGTGGTGCCATGTGATCCGCATACCGCACAAACAGCTCCTGGGCCAGCTCGAGATTCATCAAGCCCCGATCGATGACATCGCCCTGGTCCGGGCGTATCCAAGGCGAAGGCAATGCTCTCGACATGGGCGACTCCTTTGGACGATGCAGCTCGTCGTCCTGGCTCATCGACCTCTCCGGATGCTTCCTCTTGACGCCATGAGGCTCGGCATGTCCCATGGAGCCACTTGCGCCATGCGACCTCTCCCTGTCGCGGAACTCGTCGACCGCAGACCGGCGGTGCACGGGTGTCCCTGAGGTTTCTGCGCTCTCTCGTCTCGCGCTCGCATGGTAGGGGCTGGCCTGGTGCGCCGAGCCTGCGCGGTGGTAGTCATAGTCCACCGCCGCATCGGCCCCAGCCGAGCCACTCCTGTTGGCCTGCAGACTGGCCGTCAGGGCATCGATCTTCTTCTCGAGGTCGGACACCCTGCTATCCGTCTTCTTCTGCCTCTTCCGGGCGGGGGGCGTCACGATGCACTTCCTGCCCGCCTTGCGACAGCGCCTGCACGGCTCCTTTTCGTCCTCGTCCGGATCGCATCGCACCTTGAGACCACGGCAGCTGTCGCACGCGCGCTGTCGCTTCGGATCCGGCGTGGCGCCATCGTCGTGTTCTGCGACAATGTCGGGACGCTGGGGATCACGAGGGTTGTTGACGTCGTGTAGGCGGTCTTGGGCGGTGCCGTCATGTGAGACACCCCTCAGGCGTGGATCGAGCTCCATAGTGGCCCGTTGAGCAGCCCGTTCAGCCCATTTGTCGCATTGTCGCAGAGGTTAGATCGGCGGGTCGGCGTCCTTGGCCACCGTTGAGGATGCTCGAAAACGCTCATGGAGGCCGTTTGCGCCGAACGCCGACCTGGATGGCTGATGAGTCAGCAGAGTCTACACAGCCGAGAACCGCAAGCCTCGGTCCTCAAGGATTAAACTTACTACCACATTAGCTATAAAGTTGACCGTTGGTACGTTGCATCTAAGGCCTTTGCAATGTCATGTAAAAAGATCCTCACAGCCCATGAGGCCAGATCTCGGTCACAGAAGACGACCTGTCTGACCACAGTCCACTGCAAGTCAGCTACCTACCCTGGACGCCTGTCCAATGCCAACATTGGGCGCTGTAACTATTGCGGTAGGTAGTCTTGCAGTATTATCTTGTGCATCCAGCTCATACAAAAGTTTAGGTAGTGTATAGCTGATACTACTGCAATTGCGCTGGACGAGGAACTTTTCATCAGTTTAATGTTGGTTTGATATTACAGTCAATTTGCGGAAGTGGCTTGACGAGGCGCAGCCAAGGCTGATACGCGTCTTCAACTGGGGCTGTGAATCAGCCCTGCGGAGGCTGATGGTGCCCTGTGAAGCAGTCCGGGCACAACTTCTATCGAAAACTCGGCATATCTGGACCCAAAAGAACCAGTATCGAGGCGCAGGAAGTTGGAACACAAATTAAGTGGCCCAGGAGTCGGATGCCCGATGAAACAGCGCAAAACGCCCCGAGCTATCGCAGTACGTACAAGTAAGCCGCCAAGCATCGCCAGACTGCCGCGACAGACGGACATCCCTGTCAGGGCCCCAGGCCTCGCGGCAGCCGCGTAGATTTACGTTGTAGACAATGAGGACAGTGCTCTCGTATAGATCAAATTTGAAAAGTGCATCAAGCATTACTGGGGGCTCAATTACACACTCGAATTCTTAGAGGTCGTCGTGCAGCCTGCGCATCCATCACAGCCAACTGGAGCTAGGTAATTACAGGCTTTACAGCTCCAAAGGCAAACGGCCATCCATTCATCAACCCCGGCCCCTCCAGCCCAGTGCCCCCTCCCTCTTCGTCTTATTCCTTAATTATTCGCAACGCCAGCAGCAAAACCACAATCACTCCTCACTTGCACCCATTCTAACGTAGAGACACACTCTCTTCTCCTACATCCTGACCAAAGAAAGCGCTGGTCGCACATAGCTTCAACAGGAGCGCAACCCTCCTTCGCACCGCCCAGCGATACCCCGCCATACAGTCGTCGCCATGAGCTGTAGGTAGCCTGCCCACATGCGAAGCCAACATTGACCACACGAGACATTGCAAGGAAGCACTGGCTAACAATGTCAAAGTCGCAGGCATGTTAAACAGGCTCGGTGGCCAGCCCGAGAGCTACGACAAGAAGTACGCGCACCCCTCCACACTCCCCCACGGGTCCCAAGTCCCAACGCTGACAACCGCCCCTCGAACAGAGCCAAGTACAAGTTTGGTCGCACCCTCGGTGCCGGAACATATGGTGTCGTCCGCGAGGCCGATGGCCCCACGGGCAAGGTGGCCGTCAAGATCATCCTGAAGAAGAATGTCAAGGGCAACGAGAAGATGGTTTACGACGAGCTGCAGATGCTGCAACGGCTCAAGCACAAGCACATTGTCCGCTTCGTGGACTGGTTCGAGTCGAGGGACAAGTTCTACATTGTCACCCAGCTCGCCACCGGCGGTGAGCTGTTTGACCGCATCTGCGAGCAGGGCAAGTTCACGGAGAAGGATGCGTCGCAGACCATCAAGCAGGTGCTCAGCGCCGTCGACTACCTCCACAAGAACGAAGTGGTCCACAGAGGTGAGTGAGAGGGACAACAGCACCTCGACCACTGCCGTTCTGCAGCTGACAAGGCGCCAGATCTGAAGCCCGAGAACCTGTTGTACGTCACCGCCGAGCCCGACTCCGAGATCGTGCTGGCCGACTTTGGCATCGCAAAGACACTGGACAACAAGGAGGAATCGCTGCAGACCATGGCCGGTTCGTTCGGCTACGCCGCCCCCGAGGTGATGGACCGCAAGGGCCACGGCAAGCCCGTGGACATGTGGTCGATGGGTGTCATCACCTACACGCTCTTGTGCGGCTACTCTCCCTTCCGCAGCGAGAACCTCCGGGATCTGCTGGACGAGTGCTGCTCCGGCTCCGTCGTCTTCCACGAGCGGTACTGGAAGGACGTCAGCGACGACGCCAAGGACTTTATCATGCGCCTCATTGTGCCCGAGCCCGAGAAGCGCTGGACTAGCGAGGTATGGAAACGTACAGAGAGACCCCTTCGAGGACATGGGACTGACAAGCCACACAGCAAGCCCTGGGACACAGCTGGCTGGTGGGCCACACTGCGACGGATCACGATTTGCTCCCCGAGCTGCGCCGGCAGCGCGAGGCGCGGGCCAAGCTCAAGCACGCCATCATGGCCGTGGCGCTCAAGAAGCGCATCGCCGCGCTCAAGACGGTCGAGTCGGACGAGGAGAGCGACGAGATGGGCGACGTCGAGGACAGCGCGCCCGGCGCCATCCCCGAGGGCGAGAAGAAGACCAACCTCCTGCGCGACAAGGTCAAGGACGGCGCCGTCTTCCGCGAGGTCGTCCTCGGTGCCCTCAAGGACAAGAAGGCCAAGGAGGAGGCCGAGCAAGCCGAGAGGGAGCTGGTCGAGGAGGCGAAAAGGAAGGGGCAGTTCTGAGGAGGCAGCGGCGGCAGCAGGCATGTGGCGCGATTTCGATGATATTGGATGATATAGGCAGCGTGTTCTTTCAATTTCAATTTCCCATCACATGAGTGTTTATGTATCGCGCTCCTGTGCACAATGGTGTCTCCCACGTGTGAGTGCAGGCCTTAAAAATCCTCATCCCAGCCAAAACTTGACAGACAGGTAATAGAACATGTTGTTGGACAACGAGTGTATAGACTACCATGATAATTCGGCAAAAATAAAAGGACAAGCCAATCGTGTGCACAATGGGCAAAAGAGAGACAACTCGTGATCGAGTTGTAATGCTATTGCATTGGGGCGAACCGGGATCGAACCGGTGACCTTTCGATGATGAGACTGAGGTGTACTTCAGTCGAACGCGCTCCCAACTACGCCATCACCCCTGGGATTGATGACTTTGTCCCACCAATTGTGGCTCATATAGCAAGACAGTATGAGGTGAATCGACCTCTACTCACTGTTGTTGCATTTCTCCCCGTCCGTCACCCGTAATAACATCACAGAACCACACAAGACCTCAGTTTCCCAGGTCCGCGAGGGCAGCCTCTCGTAGCCTCTCATACCGCCCCGCATCGAATCTCTTCCTCCCACCTTCACGTCTTAGCCTCTCGCACTTGGACTTAATATCCACTGCTTTCGGCTCCTCATCGAGGCCGCTCGTCGGAGCAGCGTCGTCGTTCAACGCTGGCAGGTGTACCGTCACAATCTGCCGATGTAGCGCAGACAGCGTCGAAGCGTAGCGTTGCATCGCGTTCCGTCTCGCCTCCGCGTCCTCCACGGCGGACACTGTCGATCCAGGCGTGGCGATGCTCGCCAAGGGTAGACACAGAGGCTCTTGCTTGTCGTCATGTGCTGCCTCGCCGTATTCTGCTACCCCCAGTGTCGGCGAGTCGACCCTGACCAAGGTCTTTATTCTGTCTGTCTTGCCGGCGCTCTCCCCACTGCTCGTGACCGTCGGTGTTGGGGAGTTTGTTCTCGTAGAGACGTCGTCGTCGCCAGCGCTCAGGTCCGGCGTGCCCTCGTCGAGAGACCTGGCCTCGCTCTCCGACAAGGTCGCCGCCTGGAGGTAGTGCAGTCGTGCCTGGTCCCGGAGGGTGAGACGGTAGGACGAGGCGTGGTGTAGACTGCGGACCTGCATTTCGAGCGAGGTGGCCGCGTAGAAGTGTAGATACACAAGTTGTACTGCCTCGGCGGTTTTCTGCGTGCCTCCTTGTCAGCGGGACAGTGTCACTTGCTCAGGTACGGTAGGTACGCTGTCCAGGATGCCTCACCAGTGTGTTGGCGCCATCTAGTAGATCCTCGCATCTCGTTGCGCAAGAGCGGTACCGCCTGTTCCTGTACTCTCTCTTCACGTCGCCCAATGCCTTCTTCCACTCTGCCCTCGTACGTGGCCGTATCCCTGGCGCTTTCTTAACGCGCGTTGAGGCGTTGGCCATCTTGCTGCTGCTCGTGCTTGGGATCTTCAACCCCGCAAAGATGCCGTGGAGATCAATAGTCGAGGACGGCAGACCCAAGGGCATAATGGCGGTAGGGGAGGTTACTCCGACTTGACTTGCTCTGCGAAGTGTTTCTTGAGGCGTGGGTTTTCAACTTTGATGCCTTGTAGTACTTGTATGTGTGTACTTTATGAGGCAAACAAAAATTAATCCAAGTGAGGCGAAATGTGAGGGTAAACGGATTGTGACAAGATGCTGAGATATGAAACAGCAGAGGATCGGGATCCAGGGGGGCAAGGGTGAACATGCGCTTTGGTGCAGCAGATGTAAGGGATGCGGCCTGGGTTGGAGGGGCTTTCAACGACAGAGACATGCATGAGCCGAGACGCTCGGCATGTCGACACTGGGGCGAGAACGCCTGATTGCGTAGCCGGTCGAACAATTCAGCTTCTCTGACTGCGCGGGAGTTGGTAGAGCGCCCTGCCCTGCATTCGTCTCCCGCCGAGTGCTGGTGCTCTCCACTTGGCGTGCGCGGAGCGTTCACCGGCGCCGGGCACCAAATGACTGGATGATCAACGTGCTTTATTTCTTCTATCTTTGTATGCCATGCGGCTGTCACGACGCTGGCGCTGCCTCTGCGGCCGCGTCACCGTCCTGCTCACCCTTCTTGATGCCGTCCACCACCTTGAGACCCTCGGCCTGGACCGCCACCTGGTCGAGCTCCTTCTTCCGCTGCAACCTCACCTTCATCTCGGCGACAAAGTCCTGCTGCGAGACCAGGATGCCCTCCTTCTCGGGGTGATCTTTGCTGAGACCCAACTCCTTGATCTTGACCTGCTTGTTGGCCACCTCGTCCTCCCCCAGGAAGATGGCGAACGGCACGCCATTGTTGTCCGCGGCCTTGAACTGCGCAGGCATCCTGGGCTTGACCTTGTACATGAACTCGGCCTACAATCACGTTAGAAGAGATCCTCAAAGCACTTTTTCGTGCACGAGAACTCCACGTACCTTGATGCCCGCACTCCAGAGCTGAGCGCACACCTCCATGCGCTCCTTCAGGAAGCCATTGCCGCTCATGGCCATGACGTAGACGTCGACCTCGTTTTTCCGGACCTGCTCGGCCGTCTTGTTCTTCGCCATGCGCGCGCTCGTAATCGAGAAGATGCGGTCGACGCCAAACGAGATGCCGACGCAGGGGATCTGGGTCTTGCCAGAGAACATGCCGACGAGGTTGTCGTAACGCCCACCGGCGGCGACACTGCCAACACCGACAGTGGGGTCGTCCGACCTATCGTCGTCCTCGCTGTTGGCCTTGCTCTTCTTCTTCTGTTTCGGGGCGGCCGCCGCGCCCTCCTCGCCCGCCGTGACGGGGGCCTTTTCCGGGGCGGAGCCCTGTGTGACGACCTCGTAGATGAGGCCGGTGTAGTAGTCGAGACCGCGCGCCAGGCTCAAGTCAAAGGACACGCGCTCAAACGCATTGAAGGACTCGAGGTACTCAAACAGCAGACGGAGGTCGGCCATACCCTGCTTCATCGACTCGTTGGCCGACAGCTTCTCGTCCTGTTCCAGTTTCTCCAGCAGGTCGCGCTTGCCCTTGAGGACGACCCACTCGCCGATGCGATCGGCCACGTCCTCGGCCAGGCCCTTGTCGACGGTCATCTCCTTGCGCACCTCGGTCCACGGCAGCTTGTCGAGCTTGTCGACGGCCGAGGAGATGGTGCGGATCTTGTCCTCGGGGACGCCGCAGACCTGGAAGATGCCGTCGAGGATCTTGCGGTGGTTGAGCTTGATTGTGTACTCGCCGTTCCAGCCCAGGCCCTCAAAGACCTCGTTAATGACCCGGATGACCTCGGCGTCGGGCAGCATGGGGTCGTAGATGCCGGCAATGTCAAAGTCGCACTGGTAGAACTCGCGCATGCGGCCCTTTGTCATGGCGGGCTGGTCGCGGCGGTAGACCTTGGCAATGTGGTAGCGCTTGATGTTCTGGATGTCCTTGTTCATGGCGAGGAAGCGGGCAAAGGGCACGGTGAGGTCGTAGCGGAGGGAGGTGAGCTCGCCGCCCTGGTCGGCCAGGTCGTAGATGAGCTTGGAGTCCTCGCCATACTTGCCGGAGAGGATCTCCTTGAGCTCGAAGACGGGGGTGTCGATGGTCACGCCGCCGTGGCGCTTGAAGACGTCCGTGATGGTGCTGAAGATCTTGTCGCGGATGACCATGTCCTTGCCCTCCCCTGTGTGGTGTCAGCCGGGTACGAGAGAAGCAAGCCAAAAAAAAAAAATCTTGCTGTGCTTGCAGAGGATAGGATGCGTCACGGACAGTCCTTGGTGCCCTTTGGGGTCTTGAGCTCGAACTTGGGGGCCTTGGGCGCCATGTCGAATGCGCTCTGTGCAGCGTCGTCGTGGGCGATGCGATGATGGAGCGTCGTCGTGGAGAGGGGATGTCGACGTTGTCGTGGCAGGCTCGTCAAGGTGGTGGTTGTGGTGGCTGTTGTGCGTGGTCGCGATCGCGGGGCAGAAAGAAATGGAGGAGGACTCTGTGCAGTGGCAGCGGCAGATCTGCACAGGACTCTGCCCACAGGCGGCTTCATCCAGGCTCAAGGTTGGAGGGGTAAAATCGGGGTTCGAGGTCGACTGCTGCTGCTGCATGCATCGGCGCCGCCTATGCTACAGGCAATGTGCTCCAGTCCAGTCCGAGCCAGCAAAGCTTGGGCAGTTAATTAGTTGGGAGTTGGGACTCATCAGGAGCAGCGTGGCTCCAGTCCCACGACCACTAAACGCTGCGCTGTCCATCCGAAAGGGAAAAAGATTTCTGCGGGTCCGTCGCCGCAGGGGGTGCCTCAGGCGCTCTGTCTTTGCTGCATCTGTGAAGTTGATTGTGACGATCATCGAGCGCAAACAGCGACAACACAGAAGAGCTGGGTCTGACCAATATCTACCGGTGACTCATGAAATATGCTTCTTGGAAGATACTTTTGTTGTTACACACGGGGCGATGCGGCCTATTAATTGTCAAATGGATGAATCAGGGTTCTCCATATACTGAAGGCTTCAATTTAACTGACGTAGGTACTGCATATACATGGTGGACGAGCTAGAGGCTCACCGAGAAAGGGGTAAGCGAGAAGGACAATCGACAGCAAGTAAAGTCAACATCTCTCCCCTCGTACGGTAAGGTAATAAAGTCCATGAACATTTCAGCCTTCAGCCCTGTTCAAGAGAAGGCCCCACCAAGGTCCCCTACGAGTACATCATGGCCCGATGATAACCGTAACAGGATAAGGTAGCAGGCTATTGGCAATTGAGCAGCCCTTTGCCAACGCTTGTCGCGTTGAAGAGACCATCATTTGATCGACAATCCAGCATTCAGAGTCTACCGTCGTGCCCGGGGCGGGGCGTCGGGCTGTAGCCGGAACCCGTCAGCGTTGCGTTGCGAGCTGCTGTCGCCAGACTCGAGTTGTCCTTCGACTTGACCAGCCAAGTCAATTTATGCAGGTTAAAATCTGGTCTAAATACGGTTGCTGCCTTGTTCAAGGCTTCCACAGATGCGAGAAAGTGGCACGGCAGTAGTGGTCAGCTTTTGACTGAAGACTTTATCGAATCTACAGTCGGGACCGAAGCTCTTTATCTACTATCCGTACTTCGCTTGTTGATGTTGGGGTTGATCCCTGCTAATGAATCATGATAGTTGCGGGGGATTCTGACCCCTGGGATGGCATCTACGAGCACGTCTCATTTGATGCTCGTCGGATCTCGCATTGCAAACGTGCTACGTATGTACATACGTACTTTTAATGTATTTAAGATCACAGGGGTCCAAATCATCTTCCTACGCCTCTCGAACCAGGGCCTAGGCACCCGTCTTGGCACACCCTAGCTGCCTGCTCTGCCGCCAGCGTGACAACATTAAAGACTGGAGGCAACCCAGTGCCACACCTCCAACCGTCATCCATTCCCAAGGCCTTTCACGACCCTGCACCAGCTGCCACCATCCCCCTTCGACAACCGCCATGGCGGAGGAAAAGAGCGCCCAGTTGGGCAGCTCCTTGGAGAAACACGACATTCCTCTGCCCACAGCGACAACCACCGTGGGGCCTACCGCGGACTCGCCCGACGCGTCCAACCCGAATCCCGTCGTCCATGAGGATGAGGCGCGCAAGAAGAGCGCTCGCCCTGAGCGCACAGCGACCTTTCAGGACTATCTGGTGAGTCCAGGCCTCACTTGCTCATCAACTCTCGCCAAAGGATTGAGCTCACCCATCCCAGCGCATCTTTCAATATGCCACAAAGTGGGATTTCCTCGCCTACGCGGCGGGCTTCTTCTGCGCCATTGGCGCTGGTGTCACGATGCCCCTGATGAATGTCATCTTTGGTATGCCATGACCCGGCTGCGACGATGCTTTCCATCCGCACCACTGACACCAATGCGCAGGACGTTTTGTCGGTAATTTCAGCAGTTTCTCCATTGGTGATGGTCAAACGCCAGATGACTTTAAAGCCACAATCAACAGGCTCTCGTAGGCCTACCCTGTCTCCCTCGAGGCGACAATGATCGAGACTAATATCGAACAGCCTCTACATGTTTGCCCTGTTCATCGCTCGCTGGGGTGCCGGTTCCATCAACAAGTTCGCCTTTCGTATGATTGGCATTCGCCTGTCGTCGGCGATCCGTCTGCACTATCTCCAGAGGCTCTTCGGCCAGAGCATCCACGTCCTGGACTCCATGCCCCCCGGCTACGCCGTCAGCACCATCACGTCGACCAGCAACGTCCTCCAGCTGGGCATCTCGGAAAAGCTTGGGGTGTTCGTCGAGTTCACCTCGCTGATGATCGCTGCCATCATCGTAGCCTTCACCTGGAACTGGGAGCTCGCGCTGGTGACCTTCTCCGGCGTCGTCTTCATCGTCACGGCCGTCGGTGTCATCTTACCCTTGGTTCTCAAGGTCCATGCGAAGCAAGGCAGGGCGGACGCCAAGGCCGGTGCCGTTTCCAGTGAAGCTCTGGCGAGCATTCGCATGATCATGGCGAGCGGTGCTGAAGCCAGGACGTCAAAGAGATTCGCAGAGCACGTCGCCGAGGCGCGAAAGCAGGCATTGCGCTTGTCGCCCCTGATTTCGGTCCAGTTCGCCCTCGTCGTAAGTGGAAGTACAATGCACTCAAGCCATCTATCACTAACAATGCGCAGTTCTTTGGTGCATTCGCCTCTTTTGGCCTTGCCTTCTGGTACGGCACCAGGATGTACTCCCAGAACAAGATCGACAATCCTGGCGTCGTTATTGTGTCAGTACCCAAAGCTGCCACTGCTAGCTGGCAACTCACTAACGGGCTTTAGCGTTCTTCTATCCGTGATGATGATTGTCTTCTCGATGGAGCGCATCTCGACGCCACTCCTGGCTATCGGCAAGGCCAGCGTCGCCGCCTGCGAATTCTTCACTGTCATTGATGCACCACAGCCAAACAAGGGTCACCTCAAAGAGCCCGACGTGCATGCCGACGACGACCTTGTGTTGAGCAACGTGACCTTTGCCTACCCCAGCCGCCCGCACGTCAAGATTCTGGACGACCTGAATCTGACCTTGGAAGCCGGCAAGCTGACCGCCATCGTTGGTCCCTCTGGATCTGGAAAGAGTACCATTGTTGGCCTGATTGAGAGATGGTACACGCTGAGGGACCAGCACGTGATTGCAAAGGCGAAGGAACAGGAGAAGCAAAAGAAGAAGAAGAAGGCGAAGGAAGAGAGTGAGGACGACGATCCTACATCGATTGCCGAGGAGGAAGAGACCGGTCCGCCCATCGCCCTGAGCGGTACTGTCGAGACCAGCGGCCACAACCTGGACGAGATCGACCTCACCTGGTGGCGGTCACAGATCGGGCTCGTGCAGCAGGAGCCCTTCCTGTTCAACGACACAATCTACAAAAACGTTGCCAACGGCCTCAACGGCTCTCAGTGGGAGCACGAGCCCGAGGAGCGCAAAAGAGAACTGGTCAAGGAAGCATGCGTTGAAGCCTTTGCCGATGAATTCATCGACAAACTTCCGGACCGATACGACACCCTTGTCGGAGACAGTGGCGCAAGGCTGTCTGGCGGCCAGAGGCAGCGCATCGCCATCGCTCGGTCCATCGTCCGCAAACCCAAGATCCTCATCCTTGACGAGGCGACCAGCGCCATCGACGTACGTGGCGAGCGCATCGTGCAGGCCGCCCTCGACCGCGTTGCCAAGGGGCGCACTACCATCACGATTGCCCACCGTCTCTCGACTATCAAGAAGGCTGACCGCATCGTGGTACTGAAGAAGGGCAAGGTCGTGGAGAGCGGCACGCACGACAGTCTCATTGCCAGCGAGGGAGTGTACAGGGGCCTGGTCCAGGCTCAAGCTTTGTCGTTGGGCGAGCCCAGCGAAGCCGACGCAAAGACCGCCGAGGTCCATGATGACGACGATGAAGACTCGTTGACGCGCAAGAAGAGCGAAGCACAGTCCGCACTCGCCGAGCATGACGAAGAGGACAAGGCCAAGAACGCGAAGCAGCGTGGCCTGTTTAGCAGTTTCGGCCTCTTCTTCTGGGAGTCCAAGAATCTATGGCTGCTCCTGGCGCTGGTCGTCTTCTTCGCCGCCTGTGCGGGCGCGGCCATCCCCATCCAAGCCTGGCTGTTTGCGACGTCCATCGACCTCTTCAAGTACGGCAACCCCCCGTACCCACCAGGCAAGCTCATGGACGAGGCCAGCTTCTGGTCACTCATGTGGACCGTACTCGCCATCGGCGTCTGTCTCGCGTACCTGGGCACCCTGGCCGCGTCCACCCGCATTTCCGGCACCGTCAGGGCCAAGTATCAGCAGCAGTACTTTGACTCCATCCTGTTCCAAAAGGCAGCCTACTTTGATCACGAAGACCGATCGCACGGGACGCTCACCTCGCGCGTGGCCGATGACCCAAAGCAGCTCGAGGAGCTCATGGGGGCCAACATGTCCATGGTGTACATTGCCCTCTTCAACCTGACAGGCTCCGTCATCATCGCCCTCGTCTTTGCCTGGAAGCTGGCCCTCGTGGCCATCTGCGTCGTCCTCCCCATCACCCTGGCTTCCTCGTACTGGCGTTTTCGCTACGAGCTACAGTTTGCCAAGATGAACAACGATGTTTTCGCCGACAGTTCCCAGTTTGCGTCCGAATCCATCGGTGCCTTCCGCACCGTGACCTCCTTGACGCTCGAGGAGCCCATCTGCCGTCGTTTCGAGACGTTGTGTCGAGGCCACGTCGTCACGGCGTACAGGAAGGCTCGTTGGGTCAGCATCATCTTCGGCCTGGCCGACAGTTCGACAATGGCCTGCCAAGCGCTGCTGTTCTACTACGGTGGCCGGCTGCTGCTGCGCGGCGAGGTCGACCTGATCGCCTTCTTCGTCTGCCTCATGGCCGTCATGAACGCCGGCGAATCTGCGGGCAACAGCTTGAGCTTCGGCCCCAATGCCGCCTCGGTCACCGCGTCCGCCAACCGCATCCTCGACGCCCGAGAGTCCAGGCTCCGCGACGAACACACCGACGAGCAGGGCATCCCCGGGAGCGAGGGCGGTATGAAGATTGAGCTGCGCAACGTGGGATTCAAATACCCGTCGCGCGACGACCCTGTCTTCAAAGACCTCAGCCTGACCATTGAAAAGGGCCAGTTTGCCGCGCTCGTCGGCGCCTCGGGCTGCGGCAAGACGAGCATCATCTCGCTCCTGGAGCGCTTCTACGACGTTGACGCGGGCAAGATCCTCGTCAACGACGTGGACATTACCGACGTCAACATTTACGCATACCGGAAACATCTCTCCCTGGTGGCTCAGGAGCCTACTCTGTTCCAGGGCACCCTGCGCGACAACATCCTCCTGGGTGTCGACGCCGACTCCGTCACGGACGCGCAGCTTCACGCGGCCTGTCGCGACGCCTCCATCCACGACTTTATCGTGTCGCTGCCTGAAGGCTACAATACCAACATTGGCTCACGGGGTGTCTCTTTGTCCGGTGGCCAGAAGCAGCGTGTCTCCATCGCCCGCGCGCTGATCCGCAACCCGCAAATCCTGCTCCTCGACGAGGCCACATCCAGTCTCGACTCGGAGAGCGAGAAGCTCGTCCAGGCCGCGTTTGAAAAGGCAGGCAAGGGACGCACCATGGTCTGTGTGGCACATCGCCTGGCCACCGTGCAGAATGCTCATGTCATTTTCGTTCTCGGTGAGGGCGGCAAGCTGCTGGAGAAGGGGAACCACGTGGAGTTGTTGAAGAAGAAGGGTGTCTACTACCAAATGGTAAGTCGCCACCAGAACCCAGCCGACGCTCGCAGAATTCGTACTGACTTACCCCTTTTCAGTGTCAAAGTCAAGCACTCGATCGGTAGAGGAGTGTTTTGTAAAAAGAAAAGCTCGCATTGTTTGGCGTAATGGTTGGGAAATCTACTTCACTCCCAGAGATGAGTGCATCATTTGTACAATCACACACTGCTCTAAGAAATACAATCCGATTTCTACGTCTTTCCAACAACAAGAAAGCCCTCTATGGTCTATCTGCGCCCTCTATACCTTATTCTGTCTATGCCCATGCCTCGTCTAGCGCTTTGAGACAATCGTCTGCATGTGTCATGACAAAATCATGGCCTCCCGGTAGCACCCTCCAGAACACCTTGTCCTCGCCGCCGATCAACGGCAACCCGGTCCTCGTGTAATCAGCCTCATCAATAATCTCGTCTCCCTTGGCCAGTAGCACCACCGTGGTCCCCTTCTTCCTCTCACCCAGCTTCGCCCAGACCTCATGTTGGTCGGTCAGCGGCGCGTATCGAATGCATGACATGAACGCGGGCACGAAACCACGGTGATGCTCCACCATCCAGCGCACGTAGTGCAGGACCTTGTGTTCCATGGGCGTGGCACGCACTCCCTCTGCGGGATCCGCCGCCTCGGCCGCCGCCACCTCGACTTCCTTGACCTCGGGGAACTTCTTCTTGCGCGCAATCGGCTGCTGCAGCCTCTTGCTGGTCATCCAGGCCACCAGCGTCTCGGGCACGAAGCCGCTCTTGAAGGCAAACTGCGTCACGGCACCAAAGAGCTCCGCCCGGATCAGCCCAGCCGGCGCCAACAGGACCAGCGAGTCGACCAGGTTGGGGAACGCCGCCGCAAACTGCACCGCAATGCCGCCGCCGAGTGAGTACCCCACGACCTTGAGGCGCGCGCTCTTGCCGGTCCAGCTCAGATCCGACGACGCCAGCACGAGCAGCATCTGCGTGATGTACAGCCGTTCGTCGTGCGGTAAATCTCCCACGCCATCCGTGAACCCCCTGCCAAACAGATCGTACAGCAAGACGCGATAACCGCGCTTTACGAGACCGTGCGCAATGGGCGAGAGCGTTACGCACGACGTCGATATGCCGTGGACAAAGAGAACCTTTTCCCCATCTTCGGGGCCAAACTCGTACGCGCGGATCCTGCCATAGGGCGTGTCCACGTCACGGGCGCCGGGGAACTGGTCGGGCTGGTAGACAAGGGACTTGAGGGACTCTGCGGGGAGATGGGGAAGCGCGGTCTTGAGTGGGTTGGGGAGAATCTTCTCGCGTCGAGGCCAGAGGGTCGTCTTGCCGACGAGGAGGAGGGTAGTCGTCGCGAGGGCGGTGACGGTCACGGTGACGAGGAGCGTGGTGGAGGCGGCGGGGGATTCCATGGCTGCGTGCCTGAAGGAGGGGCCTCAGCTCAAAGGGGACTAAGGATGAGGTCAAGATCACGAAAGAATTGTGGACGAGGTGGAGGAATTGTGAGGAATTGGGTTTCCGCGTTATTTTCTCCAGGACGGCGCCGCGTCACGGTACCTGAACTAGACCACGCCTCGAGGTCATCGGGCAGGCACGAACGAAGGACGGACGGGTCGTGCCTGCCACGTGCCGGAGCATCCGATTGCGCAGCGTCCCCCGTCCAGTCGAGCATCCCCGTATTCATGAATCAGTCATCATATTCATCATCAATTCTCAGCACAAACAAGGCACAGGTCGCACGCAATACATTATTTACATGAGCTCTATCGTACAGGTAGCTTTTGTCTGTTCGGCCGTTAGGGGGGTATCTCGTCGTGAAAGTAGTAGCATAGTAGTGCTTGCTGTCGCTCATTCATCACCACCATTCCGCTCTCAAGCTGAACCCAGCCCAACGGCCCAAGCAGCGTCTCCCAGCTGCTTGACCAGCGTGCAAAGATTCTCCACCATGGGCGGCAGGCTCTCGCATCCGTCGTTCATGTTGCTGCGCAGAACCTCCTGGGTGATCGCCATGCAAGCGCGCGGATCGTCCAGACTGGACTCGGATGCGCTCTCGCCATTCGTCGGTCCGCGGATGGCTGGCCGACCTTGACCAAAGCCAACAAATCTTTGAATGGGCATGGTATCGGTGCCATCCAAGTACACGGGGTCAGAAGACTGGTACAGCGGTGGCAGAGCGGGAGGGCCCTTGTTGTTGGCCTTGTTGATGACACCATACGCCCACAGAGCTAGAGCGGCCTGCTGCACCGCCACCGCACAAAAGTCTTTCAATTGACCAGGCGCGACGGCCTTTGCGTATCGGAGAATCTGGCTTGCGCACGAAACAGCCGACCGGGCTTCGGAGCTGGATGCCCACTGCTGCAGCACGGGATAGGTGCGCCGCGCTTGGTCCTCTCCCTCTTTTCCAGCGAAGAGCTGCAGGTCGTCGAGTGAAACGTGCAAGCTCATGATGAGAAAGCTGAGTACCATGTGCTCTTCAGAAGTCACGTCCGGCCATTCCTGTGCAAGCAGCTGGAAGCTCTGTAGGTCCTTCAAGAGCTCTTGGTGACGGGATCCGAGCAGAAGATTCTGGTTCCCTCCCACGCTGCCGTTGTTGGAGCGGGCTTTGTGGATGGCGCTCAGCCGCCGATACTCGAGTATCAGAGCCCAGAAGCCATGCAAGTAGATCGAAACGGACGCTTGCACGTCCAAGCGCTGCATGTTGCCTGACAGTTGATGTATGTCGTAAAATAGGTCGCCCATTGAGGGAAGGGGGCGGCCTCGATCAGCATGGCGCTGCAGATACTCGGCCTTCCACTCAAGCGCGCTGCCGGCCATCCAGAGCTCCTTTGGTTCGGGCAGGGGCAGCGTCAGCTCCGCGTATGAGATGGCCTGGTTGGTCAAAGTCGCCATGGAACACTGCGCATCGCGAAGCAGGCAGTGGAAGACCAGACTACTCAAGTCAGTCCTGAACACAGCCGTCCATGGGTTGATGGCTATACATACCGCTTCCATCGCTCCCGTTCCACCCAAAGCCTCCACTTGGCTTCTAGCTCAGCGCCATCATCCGAGGGATCGACTGCCACATGCGGATAAGAGGAACGTAAGAACTTATTGCGATATCGCAGGAGCTGGTTATTGGTCAGATGTCTGTGTCTGGCCGCGGGCACATGCTCTACTCACCGTGACGGGGATCGCAAGTTGACTTTGGGCTAGTTCCATTCTCCTCCGGTTGCCGCTCCACAGGCCAATTTCTTGTGCTAGAAGCAGCGCTTGGACGAGCCCAATATCGCGAGCGGTGGGGGTGTTGTCCTCAAACTGCCACTTGTCAGTATCTACAGGAGACAGATGTGCTCGGGTGAGGAGCGTGCATACTTGGGTCGGGAGGGTGGCGCCTGTTCCTGTCAGCATATGTTCGATCCCCGTACTCTGGGATTCAGTTGACTTACGAGCCGCATCTTGTAGGATGAACCCGAGTTTTCGCAGTGTCGACATGGACGACTGGGCCGCACCAGCAGCAGCGGCCATGGCGACCCATTCCGTTGATTGTCCGTCAAGACGGAAAGTTGGGAAATGGATCCACTGTGAAGCCTGATTTGCCATGGACAGCAGAAAGTTCTGGACAAGCACATCCATCACCTCCACAGAGGGAAACGAGGAGGCCACTCGCATGGCACTGGAGCCTGGCCGGCATGTACTGAGGACCATTGCGAGCACACGGTCTCGAGCTGAAGGCTCAAGCCTCTCCGGTGTGATCCTGTCGATGCGATCACGCATGTCAGGCGTGCTGGCCGGACTCGCAGCTGTCCCACTGTTGCGGCTCTTGCCGTTGTTGGCTGGCGTCCAGGTCGAGTTCGTCCACATTTTCACCAAGTCCTGGCGCACTTGCGCCATGTCTGTGGAGCCGTCACGGATGTGCCCGCCTGGCGCCAACCTTATCCCCTGAGACAACGATTGGTGACCGTCCACGTTCCAGTGGTCCAGCAAGCCAAGATCATCCTCGTTGAGATCAAGATTGCCCTGGTCACAAAAGTCAAGCAGAGTCAGACCTTGGACGGGTCCGGAGCGTGTCGTCTCGGCCGAGTTCTCATGGACAACATCTCGTAGGAACTCGGAGAAGGGGAGACGACTGGGGTCCATCGCACTAGTGGCTGGCTGCAACTCGGATAAAGGGTCAATCGGGGCTCCTATAGATCGGGGTCTGGTTAGCTGAGGGCTCTGATATCCGTGTGCGTGTCCGCAACCTGCCTTTTTCCGCATAAGTCTCTGGTGTCAGCAGCTGACTAGGCTCATGACTCGAAAATCTGGCTTGGAAGGAAGGAAGAGGGGTGACAGAACTGCCAAGTCGGTCATTGCTGTAGCGATGTTGACTGTGGTGGCGGTGGTGCTGTCGCTGATTATTGTGGTGCAGCGGAGCCAGCTCATGCATTGATTGAGGCGCAGTTGTCGGCAGAGGGCGGGGTTGAGCTTGGTGGTTGGAGAAGGACATGGATCCCGGCGAGTGGGATTCTTCTCGCGATGTGGTGGTCGTCGACTGGGCCGGTCCATTGTTGTTGATAGAAGCCGCCGCTGTCGTACGCCTTGCCGCCACGTCCTCCTTTTCCTGCTCATTGTCGTCCTTGCTGCTGCCCTGCGCAGAGGAATGTGCGTTGGCCGAGAAATGCATCAGATGCATGGCCGCCGTCGACGGCGCTTCGGTTGACACGCACTCGAGCTTGCGCGTGACACAGCGCTTGCAAGGCTTTGTGTCGTCGCATTTCACACGAGCCACGGCGCAAGAGCGACAGGCGTGGGACACCCGGCCGGCACCAGGGGAGTTCGTAGTACGTCGGCGCTTCTTGGGCGAGTCGTTGTCATGGTTGGCCACATGGCGTCGCAGCAAGTCTTTGCGGGCAAAGGATTTCTGGCAGATGTCGCATACGAATCGACGGCCGAGAGTGTGCGTCTGAACATGACGCACGAGGTGCTCTGGTCGAGAGTATGAACGACCGCAGTCTCGGCATGCGTACAGATTGGTGCCGCGATGATTCGTCTGCGGGTTTGCCGGGGGAGGGTTGTTTTTCGCAGTATTATCAATTGTGTCGCGATTCGAATTGACAGCCGGGGCCGAAGTCGCAGTCAAGGCCGGAGATGAAGGTGACGCGGCCCTATGACCCGGCTGGTGGCGAGCGTCCGTCGAGCCATGGCTGAGTGTGCGAAGATGCCCAACTTGCGCAACTGTCGCCGGCTCTTTCAATGGTGGGCTCAGCGTGGGCGAATGCACAGATGAGGCCGTGGGCGCAGTGGGAGGCGCCAGTCGTACCTGTAGGGTTGAGCTTGAGCCCGACGGCACTGGTGGCGGCAGCGATACTGGTGGGACTGTGTGATTACGCGTATTGGGACTGACAGAGGCGCCAACCCTGGACACGTTCCTGGACTGCTGCTGCGATTGCGGATGCGCCTGTGGTGAATGTTGCTGACTAGCATACGAAGAAGGAGAGGCTGGATAAAGATCACGTCCAGATGCTGGCCGGGGAGGGTCGAGGATATGGGACAGTGGCCCGGCCATGGTTCCAGAATTGCCGATTGTCCGTCTGGGTGGGAGTCGAGAAGACGTCCAACAAGTCCAGCGCCCGCCCCAACTCAACAAGCCACCAGAAGTCTTCCACAACTACCAAACCCGCCTGGACGACTCGCGCAGCGCAAGGTGGTTCACAGACAGCAGTGGGCCCAGCAGAGGCGTCGCATACAAGAGCGACATGGGCGGCGCAGAGGCAGTGCAGCAAGAGCTTCCTGTCGAATGCGCGTATCGCTCCAGTCGCTGGTCGGCGAGCTGGTTGACTGTATGTAGGTGCGGGTGCGGGTGCGGGTGTGGAGGCTGATCCCGTTGAGCCAAACTGGTGTAACTTGGTCGGCAGAGTCAGCCGCGTTGAGGATAGGAAGATGAAGAAGGCGTACGCACGTACGCAGCAGATCCGCAAGATTGGAAGAGAAAGTCAACTTGGGGCTGGGAGGACTGGACCCCGACAGTCAAGGCCAAGGGGGGTCCGGTCCGTCAGTGCATATTCGAGGCGCTCCGAGGTGGGCTGTCGTCGTAAGCTCTTTTTCTGCACCGCGGCGGCGCTCAAGCAAATCATCGATGCATCCTGGGCCGGCAGGCCTCGTCATGGCTCAGGCTGGGCGCCGGAGAATAGCAACAAGGTTTTAATTAAGGATACGTTAAGGTACGAAGATGGTGTCTGAGATCTGCTTTACCCCTGAATACGTGTATTCGTACAAATAAGGTCCTGCTGCGTCTTGTTCCTGCCCACGCTGCTCTGCTTGCTCGCTCTTGCCTCTTTCCTCTCTCTCACCCATCCGCGCGTCCGGCTCGGGTGCACACAATAATGAGTGGGCGACTTCCGGCAGTCAGGTCCATATCGATAAGCATCAGCCGCGCAAGCTTAGAGGTACCTTGGGTGGATGCGATAATCACCTGAACCGTGCCTTCCTGTTGAGTTGAGCTTCTTTCTCCTCATGGAATACGCGTACTGCCCGACACCGCACTTGCCCCCCTCCTCTCGCCCAGCTCGTAACTGGGGCAAGAAGAGCATCGCCAGTCATTTGTAATTCTCTGTATCCCCCCCCGATCATCACTGGCGTCACGGAAGGAGGGTTGCGCGTACCATCTCTTGGCGGACCCTCCCGACCTCCAGTCGCTCCAGGCCGGTACTCCGGTCAAGTCAACGGCGCTTGTCAGTCGTCACTGTCGCTGAAACTCCAGCAAGCAACGAAAACAGGATGCTCTAACCATTTCCACCCCGTCCGAGGGTCTGCGTGCGATCTGTCGCCTACTCGTCCCCGAATTGCGCCCTCGCGAGGATTATTATTCATAGGCAATTGCTTGCCTTTCCTGCTTTCGCTTGGCAATGGCACCTTCGGAATGAGGGGGTCTGCCTGCGCCCGGCTCCGATACCATCATATCCGTGCCACTTCCACGTATTTTACGTACTACGTACGTGCATGATTCAAACTTGTAGGTCAGTCAGTGCATCCAGCGGCAACCGCCGGCCCCAATGCCTCGCAATTTCGATGCCCAAAGTGCTGTGGATGATCAAGCGGCACCTCCTGCGGTGGGTTCTGCCTGTGGTACCTTTGATGTGCCAAGATCACAGGCACAAGCTGCCAAGCTCCTTCGTGAGAATCGATCCGCCATGAAATGCCACGCGTCCCCGGTTCGGCCACTTGACGCCCTGCCATCAAAACGATGACCATGTGTGCGCGAGCCTTTGTATCAGCGTCGAAGAGGAATGGCTGTTGCTCCGCGCTGCCATTTCAGCTCTCTTGAGCAATGGCACGAATCGTCAGCCCTACGACAAACTCGGAGGCGGTTGCTGGGTTTCTGCGTGCGCTGGCGAGTGACTTGCGGCGAAACGAGTACGCGTGTCCTTCGGCAGGGTCCAAGCCGCAATCTTGGCATGGACAATGTCAGCATGCGATATCGCAGCATTCTGACAGTACACCAACAAGGCTATTCTACGATAATCGTTTTCAATCCCGCCAATACGGCAATTACGTGCCGTACATGGGCAATGTTTGCGAGTCGATTCAGAGAGGTTGCTTGCTTTTTCCAGAACATGGCCAGGCGCTAATTATCTATTTGTTCGGGTCACTGAACTTGAGTATATGACGCGATCTAATGGATTGGACGCGCTACGTAGCACGATTGACACTACTACGTGTCATCCATGTTCCTCGCAGTCACAGAGACAGGCCGCCGTCAATCACAGCATTGGCACCAGTGACACTCTTGGATCTGACGAAGCACAGCACCTGCTCAGCCACGTCTTCGACCGTCACCAAACGCTTGAGCGGCGTCCTTTCTCGCGTCGCTTCGGGTACGTGTTCGGGGAAAACCGTCTTAGCCCAGTCCTAAGACTTGTCAGCGATTGTATCCGAGACATGTTCGGCTTGGGACCCACGGTCAACATCAAACCAGGCGAGACGCTGTTGACTCGAATGTTGGGACCAGCACTTTTGGCCAAACCCTTGATGAGGTGTAGCTGCGCTGCCTTGGAGATACTGTACGCCTGCGGCACCCAGCCGTCAGTGTGAGTCCGTCTGGCAAATAAGCTCCATGACTTACAAGTGAGCTCCCGCTCACAGTCACTCCAGCCAACGAAGCAGTGGCAATGAAGCAGCCCGATGTCTTATCCAGATGACTCTTGGATGCATGCATCAGGAACAGATGCGACTTGACGTTCATATTGTAGCACCTGTCCCAATCGTCTTCGACAACATTGTCGTCCAGGTTGGTGATGTCCCTGTAGTTCGTCCAACCGCCGTTTGAGAAGACTACATCCAAACGCCCAAAATGGTCGACAGTAGCATCTACCAACTTGTAGATGGCGTCGCGGTCTGCCAGGTCGGCACGAAGCGCTATGAAATCATTGGCTTCTGCATCTTCTGTCGAGGACCGTAGTTGCTGCACTAGATCGTTTGCACGCGCCTCGTTATTGTTGAAATTCACGGCCACACGAAAGCCACTCCTTGCGAAAAGCTTGGCAGTAGCAGCTCCCAGTCCTGCAGAGCCAGCCGTAATTAACGCGACAGGCTTTGCACTCATGTTTAGCAGCGACAGGCTGGTGTGTGATCAGGATATACGGACTAGTAGCGTGACAGCAGTGAACAGCTCTCGAGGTTACGTTTAATGCCAATGCGGGGTAAATAAGCCCTCTTGGAGTAATTCTTTCTAGAAGGAAGTGAAAGTCCCTTACCAGTGGACGAGTGCTACTTTTCAGGCACCGTGCCATAAGTACGTAGTAGGTCAAGACACAGGGTAGTCAGCAGTTCGCTGCTGAAGTTGGCTGGCAGCAATCGCAAGCAGCGAGCGACGTTGTTCCAGCATCTTGGGATACATAAATGTCCAGGTCAGTTGGCGACATAACTTTTGAAATTACGGCATGTTCCACTTTTCCCATTGCAGTGCGCTTACCAGTCTTTCAAATGTCTTTTGAAAACCAACGCATTGTACTGCAATGGTATAAAATGACTAATCAGAGACGTAGCGTGATCAGGTCCGGGCTGTCAAAAGTGGATCCCGATAAGCTTCCCCATCTACCGATAAGAAAGTCCATGCTCCATGATCCCTGTCTGTGACTTATCGACGACGCAACCTGGATCGCGTGTTCCAGCTTCCCCTCGCACGACGCACGAGTGCATATCTGGAATCATTTCTTTCGCCGTCCGAATCGCATGCTACGGTGCGGCTCAACCCGTTGACAGCGTCCATGATGCAGCATGACTAGACCCTACCTGACCTAGACTAGCCGAAGGTAAGACGGATGGTGCGAGTCAACCACCCCCCAAGGTGCTAATAAGCGTGTCGCAGAGTGACTTAAGGGCGCAACTTTGGGCTCATCGAGACCCTCGCACCTATTGCCCACGTGCGCATGTTCTCTTTTTCATCTTTTCCTTTCATAATCACAGCGACTGCCTGATTATTCCCTCTTTTTCTTGTTAAAGAAGCCAGCTTCTTCGAATGCACTACGATGGCAAGCTCCCAGCCGGATGCAGCAGGCCCCGCCACCGACCTCGCCGACGACGCACCCAGCCATCGCCCTGATAGCATATACTCCGATTCCGTCGCCTCTTCCGCATCTGGGAGATCTCCTGGCCGCCAGAGCTGTCCGTGGAGAACCCAAGACTTCCACGACCAAGAGTGCTCACGATACTTCGACTGTCCGTCCCACACCCTTGAACGATCTCGCTCGAGCCCGACCGATCGTCACGCGGACCGCCCGCCCAACCTGGACCTGGAAGATCTGGGAATGGCGAGCCGACCAGGCGAAGCTACACAGAACGAGCAAACAACGCCTGCGATCGCACCGCGCGACCGTCCGCTTCCGCCCCAACCTACGGAAGACGAGGCGCAGTCGGACGACGAAGGGTCGGCACGGCCAGATGAACGCATGGCTTCCTTTGCTCGCAGACCTAGCCAGGCATCCGCCAGTCGACTACCGCCATCGCCTGGTACGCCGGGGCGCTATGAGTTCCGGCCTGGCGCGGAAAGACCTTTGATCCCCTTGGGCCATGGACCTCTTCCAGCGTTGCCCCATAACCGTTCGAGACCGCACACGGGCGGTCGAAGATCTTCCGAATACATTGCTCCGAGATGGCAGCCGGATGCGGAGGTAACGTACTGCCCAATCTGCCAGACGCAGTTCAGCTTCTTTGTGCGGAAGCACCATTGCAGGTAAGGCACCGGAGGCTTGTTGTCCAAGCCGGACATTCGCTGACTCGGGTGGACAAAAGGAAATGCGGAAGGGTCGTGTGCAACGCTTGCTCACCTCATCGGATCATCATACCTCATCAGTTCATTGTGAGGCCACCGGGGTACGAGCTTCCTCCGGAGAGCTTGCTCATGGATCAACTCGGAATTGGGTATGTTGATGTTCATGGGTCTGGAGGTGAAAGGGTCAGACTCTGCAATCCATGCGTCCCAGACCCGAACGTGGCGCCGCCTCAGAATGCCTCGGGTCCTTTGTCGCCGACCTCGCCTGGCTCGGCTCGCGTGCCACATCAGCGATCTCGAAGTAGTATTGGAGATGCGTATGGTGCGGCGACTGCCTCTCACAGGTACGGCGTTGTTTTTGCCAGTGGTCAGCAGAACGACGTGTTTCAAAGTTCTGCGCCGAGACACAGAAGTGTCACAATGGTACGTAGTATAATGTGGTGTTTGCTTTCCAATACGCCGGTGCTAACTCGTTGCAGAGTCCGGGAGCTCACGCCATGCCTCACCAGTCATCACGAGCGCGGCCGGGCCCATCCACGTACTACCCTGGTGTCCATGCCCGATACTCAACCAGCGCTTCGAGCTCATCTGCACCCTTTTATCCTGCGCGCTACAGCTCCATTAGCCAAGGACCGGCCTCACCACGCCATCGAAACCTGCCACCAACTCCTCAGATCGCAGAGGAAGACGAGTGTCCCATATGCCACCGCGAGTTGCCTCGGCGGACACTCCCAGACTTTGCCACTCTGCGAGAAGAGCACATCAATGCGTGCATCCAGTCGCACAGCACGTACGGCAGCCCACTGCCGAGGGCAGAAGGCGACACACGCGAGCAGCCCGCGGTCGCACCCAGGAGGACTGGCATGTACACGTACCCAGCAACCGAGAAGGACTGCATCGATGATGCCGAATGCACCATATGCTTGGAGGAGTTTGCGGTCGGCGTGCCAATGGCACGACTGGAGTGTCTCTGCCGTTTTCATCGTTCTTGCATCACCGCGTGGTTCGTCAACCATCCAGGGAGGTGCCCGGTGCACCAGCATGACGGTTTTGGATATTAGCGCTGCATCTGCGACTGTCAACATAGCATGGACGGTTAGTCATGGAATTCTTTCTGTTTCGGCGCAACGGGGAGTCTGTGGTATGCTTTTCGGGGGCATGAGGAGCTGGCATACACTCCCCTCACTCTCCCAGTATCTGGTACCAGGGAAACGAGACGCGATAGTCGCCCTACCTTGATTCTTTAGTAGCTCAGCATATCATTACTTCTTTTCTCTGTTTGGAACGATGTAGCGATAGCAATTATGACCTTAAATTCTCACTTCCAAGCAGCGCTACGTATGAGACTGGCAAGCTGACTTTTACATAGGGTATTAATAGTCGCAGAGACGCTACAACCGATACTTACAACTTTGTATTGGCGAGGGCTGCGAATATACAGCGCCCCATGTTGAATGACAAAGACACGCCAACATGAAGCCTGTATGCCCCCTGTACTCTGTCGCGAAACTGGAGATGATGGCGCCCGCAGCTTGGACCAGGAGGCACAAATGGCCAAATCAAAGTGCACGGCTACTCTGGTCTCAACAGAAATGCTCAGCTGTGAAACCTTCATGTTTCGTGAGACCTGGCCAAATGTCTAATTGCGATCCATTACTGTTATTAGCTGCCGAATGCCTACCCTAGATACTTAACTTGGCTGCAATGGAGGCCGCCAGCCGAGGGCGACACTTTGGTTTTGCAAGTTGGTGTCATTCTCGACTTTGATCATTTACCAGCGTATCCATAATAGCTCATGCAGATCGATCTTTAGCAAGCCCCGCCGCAACCTTGGCCCTTTGAAGATGGGCCGCTGGTTGGCGCAAGGATCAACAGGGCGGGTGGGGAGATGGGGATGGTGAGAGATACCTCGTCATCAGGCGTGGCCTGTGTGCCGTGAAAGGTACCATTCAAACCCCAGCCACCAATGATGAGGGTCAATTCTGGGCATTACGTCGCCCTCTCAGCTGGGCAGCTGGGCAGGGGCCTGACAATCAGTCACCATTATCCGGTTCAGCATCCAATCCAGTCCAGCCCGATCCAGTCCATTTCCCTTCGCCTCAACCACACTCTCTGTCGTCCGACGCTTCAATTCTCCTTTGTCCTCTATTCTGCCCCCCATCTGCTCGCGGCAAGCTAGTCTAGTAGGTTGGAAGGGAATCTTCCTGCTCCAGCCGCACTTCCACTAGTAGGCTCCCGCTCCCTACTACTGGTAAGCTAAGGCAGCTTGCCTTCCCTCCATCAGCTCCAGCCTTCCTCTCCACCTGTCGTCGACAGCCATTTCATATTGCCCTCCCTCCATCCCTCGACGGGCGTCGAACTTGACCTTTACCAGCCGACCCGGGCCTGCGCGCTATATTTCCCGCTTCTCGACGCGCCTACTCCGCATCTCCAACAACAATTCGACTCGCGCCCTGCCAACCTCTCGCCATTCCGGACCCCTCACCCAGCCAGTAGCTCTCGACAAGCTAGCTACTTGGTCTTGACAGCACATGCGCGACAGCTGCTGAGCACCGCGCACCGACCCAATCGGCCTTGGGTACAACATCCACTGGCACCTATTGCCTCTGCGAAGATTAGAAACCGCAGCCATGGCGTCACGCGAAGCTGCGGAGCTCAAAACCGAGGGCGTGATTGAGGCGGCGGACAACCCTGAGAGCAGTGTCACCGCAGACGACGCGCAAAAGGAGATGGTCGCACAGTCGAAGAATGCGGGCGTGCCTGCATTCACCTTTGACCCGGATGCCTCGCCCGAGGAGAAGCGCCGCCAAGCGGAAGCTGTGAGTAGACCTCGGTGACTCGCCTCCGAGTACGCATTTCTCGAATCCGGACTGACAAGATGGATCTAGGCCGTCCCTCCCGAGCTCCGGAAGCACAACAAGGCGACCGCTATCGTTTCCGACATTGATGATGGCACTGGGCCCGACGAAGACCTGCCCGAAGCGGGCATGGGAGGTGCCATTGACGTTGCGAAGGATGCATCTGGCAACAAGGTAGCAGAGGTAGACCCAGAAGCGAGTGAACCTCCCTTTTCGCGGACAGGCTGGGCCCCAAAGTTTGGTGCCATTGGTGAAAAGATCACCGACGGCGAGAGCTTGCTGGACCATGCCACTTGGGTCGAAGGCAGGCTCCCAGATCACCTCTATGGTGGTAAGTATTTACCCAGCGCTCTTGAATTGCCCACGCGCCTCTTCTCACACCTTTTCAGATTGGTACCACAACTGCGCCGTGATTGTCTTTGCGTGCGTATTCTCATGGCTAATTGCCGTACTCGGCGGTGGCCTGGGTTGGGTCCTCATCATCATGGTTACCTGCTCAGTGTACTACAGGACCTCGTTGCGGCGTGTGCGCCGAAACTTCCGCGATGACATTCGACGCGAGATGGCCATGAAGAAGCTGGAAGACGACAACGAGTCGCTGGAATGGATCAACTCGTTCCTCGTCAAGTTCTGGCCCATTTACCAGCCTGTGCTGGCGCAAACCGTCATCAACTCGGTCGACCAGGTCCTTAGCACCGCCACGCCATCTTTCCTCGACAGCTTGAAGCTCAAGACATTCACGCTCGGAACCAAACCCCCGCGCATGGAGCATGTCAAGACATACCCCAAGACAGAAGATAACATTGTGCTCATGGACTGGAAGTTCAGCTTCACCCCCAACGACACCGCCGACATGACTGCTCGCCAGCTCACCAACAAGATCAACCCCAAGGTTGTCCTGGAAATCCGTGTTGGCAAGGCAATGATCAGCAAGGGACTGGACGTGATCGTGGAGGACATGGCGTTTTCCGGCATCATGAGGCTAAAGGTCAAGCTCCAGATTCCGTTCCCGCACATTGAGCGAGTCGAAATGTGCTTCCTCGAGCGACCCATGATCGATTATGTCTGTAAGCCTTTGGGTGGTGATACCCTCGGTTTTGACATCAACTTCATCCCTGGTCTGGAGAGCTTTATCCAGGAGCAGATTCATGGTAACCTCGCGCCCATGATGTATGCGCCCAAGACTTTCCCCATCGAAGTGGCCAAAATGTTGGCAGGCTCGCCCGTGGACCAAGCTGTCGGTGTACTGGCTGTCACACTCCACGGTGCCCACGGCCTCAAAAACACAGACAACTTCGCCGGCACCGTCGATCCATACGCCTGCATCACGGTCAATCAACGCGCTGAACTCGCCCGGACCAAGACGATTGAAGACAACGCTAACCCCCGCTGGAACGAAACTCACTACATCATTATCAATTCTTTCACCGAGTCTCTCGATATCCAGGTGTTCGACAAGAACGAGTTCCGCAAATCCAAGATGCTCGGTGTTGCTTCGTTCCGCTTGGAGAACCTCGAGGAACTGCATGTGCATGAGAACGAACGTCTCGAAGTGATTGCAGATGGCAAGGCTCGCGGAACCGTATCAGCTGACTTTCGTTTCTTCCCGGTCTTGGAGACGACCAAGAATGAGGACGGTGTCGAGGAGCCTCCGCCAGAGTCCAACCAGGGCATTCTCCGTTTCAGCGTGCAGCAGGCCAAGGATCTGGACGGCACCAAGAGTCTGGTCGGACAACTCAACCCCTATGCCACCATGTTCCTCAACGGCAAGCAGATCCACCAGACGAAGAAGCTCAAACGAACAAACAACCCCATCTGGGATAATGGCTCCCGGGAGATCCTCATCACTGATCGCAAGAAGGCCAAGCTCGGTGTTACGGTCAAGGATGATCGGGATCTCGCTGGCGACCAGGTGCTTGGCAAGTACCAGATCAAGCTTGATGATATGCTTGAGTGCATGGAGCAAGGAAAGGAATGGTACCATTTGGCTGGCGCTTCCACCGGCCGTGTGCACATGACCGCTCAGTGGCGACCTGTGGCCATATCAGGAGTCGTTGGCACCGGCGGATACTCTACCCCCATTGGCGTCATGCGATTTCACTTCAAGAAGGCCAACGATCTGCGCAACTTTGAGGCTTTTGGCAAATCCGACCCTTACACTCGCGTGCTGCTGTCCGGTATCGAGAAGGCCAGGACCGTGACTTTCCGCAATGACCTCAACCCCGAGTGGGACGAGGTCCTTTACGTGCCCATTCATTCACCCCGCGACAAGCTTACATTGGAAGTCATGGACACCGAGAAGATGGGCAAGGACCGCAGTTTGGGCTTGGTGGAGCTCTTTGCGGGTGATTACGTCAAAGAGGAGAATGGCGAATACCTCGTCCACGACCAGAAGAAGCTGCGCGCGGACGGTCTTCTTCTCCACGGGAAGGGTATGCCCAAGGGTACTCTGACCTACACCGCGGCCTTCTACCCAACCCTGAACATTGCCGACCCCGAGGAAGACGAAGAAGAGGCTGCCGAGGCGAAACCTAGGCCCTCATCGGACGAGGTCAGCGAGAAGCCGAGAATGTCCAGCGACCGGGCCAGCAACGCCGGCAAGTTCAAGGCGAGCCTCGCCAAGCCAAGCTCAGAGAAGAGCCGCGGCACCGACTCGGACTCCCTTCCACCGCCAACGCCCACGACCGCTGGGAGGCCGTCCGTGGATCAACGTCCCAAGTTGCGCCTCAGCCCCGAGGAGCTGCTTCGCCATGAGAGCGGTCTGCTGATCTTCAGGCTTATGGAGGCTGAGATGCCCGAGTCTCACACTTCGCTGGAAGTTTTCGTCGATGATCACCTGTATCCGTCCTACACTTCTGCCACGGCTCCCCAGCGGAACTACAAGTTTGAAGAGATTGGCGACTGTGTCATTCGCGAGCTCGAGTTCTCGCGTCTTACGATCAAGGCTCGCAAGAAGGGTGACGACGTTGACGAACACCTGGCGTCCCTCAGTGGCAACACCCTGGATACACTCAAGCAATGCTTGGTAAGTCTCTTGGAGAAATCTCTTTGGCGGGCGTTGCTAACGATTGCAGAACAACCCCACCATACTCAAGCTCAAGCCTGACGAGGGCCGCGGCGGCTGGGTCAAGGTCAGCTTGAAATACGTGCCCATCAAAATGTCACTCGATCCAAGCGAGAGCATCAACAACATGGGCAAGCTGCGCCTCGACATTCTCGACGGTCAAGATCTGCCATCTGCTGACAGGAACGGCAAGAGTGATCCTTACTGCAAATTCGAGCTCAACGGCAACGAAATCTTCAAGACCAAGGTCCAGAAGAAGACGCTCAATCCAGTATGGAATGAGTTCTTCGAGGTGGAAGTACCTTCGCGCACAGCCGCCGAACTCGTTGTCAAGGTCTATGACTACGACTTTGCCGACAAGCCGGATTTCCTGGGAGGTGCGAATATCAACCTCGAGGCTCTCGACCCCTTCAAAGCCACCGAGTCCAAGCTCATCCTTGACGGCAAATCCGGTACGGTCAGGGTCCGCATGCTCTTCCGGCCAGACTACGTCAGACGCGCTCGACAGGGCACCTCTACCTTCCAAGGCACGTTTGGTGGTCCTGGGAGGATTGTCACTGGTGTTGCCGGCGCCCCTATCAAGGGTGGAGCGGCCGTGGCTGGTGTGGTGGGCTCTGGCGTTGGCAAGGGTGCCACCTTCTTGCGTCGTGGTCTTTTCGGCAAGAAGGATGAGGACGAGCCAGTGAATGGATCGGTGCCCATGATCACCACAGATGGAGGTGACAGTCCGGCCCGATCCCGAGGCGGGACTGAGACCCCCACTGACCGACCTACAACAAGCCAAGGCCAAAACAACCACAGCCGTACTAAGAGTATCGGCGCCGCGTCGACTCGCAGCTACCAGCCAGGTGCTGCAGGCACGGGCACAGCCCACTTTACTGTTGTCAGTGCGACTGGCTTCCCTCCCTCATCCGATTTGTACGTGCAAATCACCCAGTTGGGCGGCAAGGAGAAGACCGTTGGCAAGACCAAGCACTTCAAGTCCTCTGACGGGCATTGGAACTTTGACGAGTCGTTCAAGGCCACATGCACCGCAGAGACCTTCTTCAAGGTCGAGGTCAAGGGTGATCACACGTTTGGTAGGGACGACGAACTCGGCGAGACCAAGTATGTCGTCGATGAGTCCGGATCTGGTGCTGAGAAGGAGGTGTCCGTGGGCAGCGGCACGGTCGTGATCAAGAGCACGTTCCAGCTGCCAGAGTCATCCAGCTTGTCGGCCGATTCCCCGAGCCGCTCGCATATGCGACGCAGCTTCTTGAGCAAGCGCGATACGGGACGCAGCAGCAGGGAGGGGACGCCCAACGCTTAGAAGGATGCGACGCGATGGTGATGAGGAGGGTGATGTGGACTGTTGTTGCTGTTATATTGTCGCTGGTTTGGTTCAGCAGAGTTCGTGTTATCAGTGCGCTAATTGTGAAGCAAGTATGTGTATTGTCGGGGAAGGGTTCCTTGGTCGGGCTAGAATAGCAATGTAGTTTCTATATCTGTGACAATTTTGTTATTGTTACATGATCTACCGTACAACTGCAATTAAACCTGTCGAGTTTGTCCTGCTTGTCTGTCATGCTGCTCATCCCTCAGATGTAGCTACTTACCCTATACTACAAGCGTGTAGTCACGGTTCCCCCCTGGTGGGGCCCTCAGCCACAGCGGCAAGCCACACTCCAAGTCTCCTCACATCTGGCGAGCGCCAGTGACGACGCGGAAGCTGCCTGACTGGAGCTCAGCAAGCAACCTCATCCCACCGTCTACCACAACTCTGGTCCACCACCTCCTCGACGACCGTAGCGACGAAACCCCAGATCTCGTCATTCTACGGCCCATCTCACATACAGCCGCTTCTTTTTCTCCTTCACAATCCACCATCATGGACGCCCTCGTGGCCAAGTACAGCCGCCCCGCGGCAGAGGAATCAGACCCCTTCGAGAATGAGCTCGAGTCTCACGATCTCATGAACCCGGCGGATCATCTCTCTCTTAAATTTGCCATGCCACCCGTGGCTCAGGTATGACCCTTCCATCCAGTAGAGCCAGGCGGGCTGTCCAGGTGGCGGCCGATCAGGACAGGGAATCTAACTTGTCATCCACAGCCTTCCTCATGGCTCCGCGCTGCGACCGACGACCGATCCAACCCAGAGTGCCCCATCAAGATCGCCCACGGTACCACAACCCTCGCCTTCCGCTTCCAGGGCGGCATCATCGTCGCGACCGATTCCCGTGCCACCGCCGGCGACTGGATTGCCAGCCAGACCGTCAAGAAGGTCATTGAGATCAACAGCGTGCTGCTGGGCACCATGGCCGGTGGCGCCGCCGACTGCCAGTACTGGCTCGCCTGGCTGGGCATGCAGTGCCGTCTGCACGAGCTGCGTCACAAGCGCCGCATCAGCGTCGCCGCCGCGAGCAAGATTCTCGCCAACCTGGTGTATTCGTACAAGGGCATGGGACTGAGCATGGGCACCATGTGCGCGGGCGTGACGGCCGAGGAGGGGCCTGCGCTGTACTACGTCGACAGCGACGGGACACGGCTGGCGGGCAACCTGTTCTGCGTGGGGTCCGGTCAGACGTTTGCGTACGGTGTGCTGGACGCCGAGTACAAGTACGAGCTGAGCAACGAGGCGGCACTGGAGCTCGGGCGGAGGAGTATCCTCGCGGCGGCGCATAGGGATGCTTACTCTGGTGGCTACATCAACCTGTACCACATTGAGGAGAAGGGCTGGACACGCCACGGCTTCAGCGACACGAACCCCATCTTCTGGAAGACTAAGCTCGAGAAGGGCGAGTTCTCCAACGTCACGAGCGAGCTGGAGTAGACGGGGCGGGAATGGTAGTGGGAGACGCAGCAGCAGATCAAACAGCTGTACAACAAATGAAGAATAACGACTCAATTAAGACTTGCTCTAATCTAAATGCCGTAATGCGTGCTTATGCTCGAAACCCAGCTGACTATGTGATGCATTTATATACGGGAGTTTGTTTGTACACGGGTCCAAAATTAGTTCTTCACCCAGCCGGGGGCACCCATGATGCCACCATCTATCCTCTCATCGAGGGGCCATTTCCTGATCATCAACACATCCAAGTCCGTCGTCCATCCACGCTCGAACATTTCCATCCCCGCCCAAGCAATCATGGCCGCATTGTCAGTGCAAAGGCCCACGGGCGGCACCGCGATCTTCAAACCAAAGCCTCTAGCACGCAACGTGGAGCGCACAACATGCAACAGGAATCTGTTGCAGGCCACACCGCCCGCCAGCACGAGCGTAGGACACGCCTGCAGACCATGTACATCGGTCAAGGCGAGCACGAGGCGATCCGCAATGTGCCGAAACGCAGCCGCCATGATGTACCGCGCCAACACCTTGCGCTGCTCCACGTCCATGTCACCCACCCGGTCCATGATTTTCTTCGTGTTCGAGCCCAGGCCGGAGAATGAGAACTCTAGCTTCCGCGTGTGGGCGAGGGGGGTGTTGAGAGCCCAGTCATAACCCTCTTTCTGAAGCACCATCGCCTCCTCCCCTCGTTTGCTCTTGGCCTGGAAGAAGGCATACTCCTCCTCCGTCCCGCCGTCGGGAAAGGCAAACGCCTCCAGCAGACGACCGTACATGACGTCCGTGGCGGAGCGCAGGACATCGGCAGGCAGGACGACACGCGCCACCTGGTCGAGCATGTTGCCCACGGCCGTGTCGAGCGTGCTGGCGAGGATCTCATGATCGACAAGGCTCCGCGAATGTACAAGCTGCGTGTGTCCTCCCGAAACGAGCAACGACAGAAACGACCCGTCGAGTGACCCTCCCTCGTCCACGGGCATGGGCGCCCGGATCGCCCTGGCGAGTCGCGGTGTGAGGGCGTGGGCCTGCATGTGATGCACCCCGACCATGGGTACGTTCCACGCGGCGCAGAGGCCCTTGGCCGTGTTCAGGCCTGTGGCGAGGTTGGTCACGATGCCCGGACCTCTCGTCACGGACACAAAGTCCGGCTTGGTGGCCCCGTCCGGCAGAAATGGCAGGCTCTTCTGCAGCAGCGGCGCGAGGGCGCGGGTGTGGCCCTTGGCCGCCTCGACGGGGTGGACGCCTGCAAAGGCGAGGTGGTCGCTCGATATGCGCTCGTTGAAGAGGAGTCTGTGCTCGTTGGTCAGGTCATTGCGATGGAGGATCGCGACGCCCGTGTCGTCGCATGATGTCTCGATCGCGAGGGTCGTCAGATATCTGGCGGAGAACAGCGATGGCCGGAGGAGGGCCTGCCGCTTAGGAAGGAGGGAACATGGTCGGAAGCGCATGAGGTCGTGGACTCATGGAGAGGACTGGAGTTGGAGAGGTCTTGGATCTGGGAAGGAAACATGAAAGTACGTATCGATATTCCAAATTCCATGTGAGGTATGCGAATAGTGGCTACCCTGTATCGGCAGCGACATGTGCGCCAGCGTCAGCATAAGCGACGTTGCTCACCTTACCTTGAATTGTGGATGGCTTAGTATTCCTCTCGTCAAGTGTTTCGGTACCTGATGAAAGGTTTACCTGCCATGCTGTCGTTTAGTGTCGCACAACTTGACGCTGCCTCGTTCATGCTGACACCGATACAACACTACAGCTTTACATGTCATCTTGTCACAGTATCAAAAGAGATTGAAATCAATAGGATGATAAAGCCTTGATAAGTACGCTCTCCCTCTTGTTCATTCAAGCTATATATAGTTCATAATCCCTTTTGACGCCGCCTGATGCATGCCTTGAAGCAACGCTAGCAAGTACATTTCCCTCCACAACTACTACACAAAAACAAGTTCACTCATGTCCAGTTGACCCATTCACATCGACAACCGCCTGTCCCTCCGTCGAAGCCCCCGAACGAATCGTTGTCATTCTTGCGGTGATTCACGACAGTCCCTGCAAACTCCAGGTCATTGGGAAGCAGCTTGGGGTTGTCCTGGTCCAGCTGCCCTCGCTCGTCAATGGGCCAGTACCAGACAAACTTCTTCTTGGGATCTCCACCATGGGTGTCGAGTGTCACGGTCACTGGATAGGGCATTGTGCCTGGTCTGACCAGTTCGGGGGTGCCCTCTATGCTGTCACCTTCCGGCAAGAGCTGAGAGCCGTCCTCCAGAGTCTGGGTCCAGATCTGGACGAGCATACGGGTCTGCGACCAAGTCGCGTAGAAGTTTGCTTCGCTTTCCGTGCAGCCGCCGTCCTTGTCCAGTGGAACGTCGTTGGCGGTGTTGTTGAGCGATTTGAGGTAGATTGTCCGCTTGAAGTACGTGTAGAAGCCGTAGTGCTCCGTGGGCAGACCGCGGTCGTACAATCGCACGGGCTGCTGGACGGAGTTTGGGAGCATCCGCGCTGGCTGCGGTGTACCGTCCTCTCCGAGATCCGCTGCCGATATGAGGTCCTTGACAAGATCATCTCCTATCCTTGTCTGTCTCTTGTCAAGCACAGAATTCTCAACCTGATCATCAACAGAATCAAGTAGACTGATGAAGAATGGCGCGGGCTCGCCGGCTTTCTCATCGGATTCAATCTCGTCTGTGGTGTCTCCTAAAAACCACATTTCCTCAAAGGCTGGCGGCTCGGGATTTGGCTTGAACGCGGTTGCTTGACCGTCACGAACGAAGGCGCGCGCCGAGGCGGCAACCCCCGTGGAGCGTCGCGCCACAGACTTCGGAGGCTCGCCATTCGGGACGTTCCACTGCTCGCGCGTGCTGTTGTCCCATTGAATCTGCATGATAAAGGTCGGCTGGTTCGCCTTGTAAGGGGCGACAGATTCATGCTTCTCCTTGGGCAGGGAGCAACTCCAGAGCGTGGACGGCTCAGTGCAGCCAGACTTGGCAACAGTGTTGTCGCTTCCCACCACTGTCAGGACACCTGTTGGCATGGGCGGAAAGTCGGTCAAGTTACGCCAGATCGAGTCGACCTCGTGGGTTCCTTTGGGTTGCGTGAGGACGACACCCAGTACAGTGGCGAGGATGATGAGCAAGAGTAGCAAGGCAGTTATCACCAGGCACCATCTTCTGCGCTTCCGCCCTTCGCGACCTGTCCTCCCAAAGCAACCAGTGGAAGGAATGCAGCCCCTGCCTCGCCAGAAGCCACCAAGCTTCCGGGCCATGATATCCTCTTTCTCATGTCGCCGCCGTTCACGCTCTACCCTGTGTGCGTCGCCGCGGGCATCGTGTGAGTGTTCTTGGAGAAGTGTGGTTGCCAACGCGCGATCCGGCAGCGGCACGCGGAGAGGCGCTGGCATGTCTGGGGGAAATGTAGGGGTGATAGGGATGTTGGTCATCTGAGTGGCGCCTTGCGATGTCATGGTGGCCGCTAGCCCCGGTGAGCCAGGCGGGCCAGGCACAGGCGATGGTGGAAACTGAGCTTGGAGAGGGTGCCCAGGTGGAAAGACTGCACGGTATCGCATCGGGACGCCCCTACTTTGCTCATGGGGTTGTCTTGGCGGAGAATAGGGCGGGGGAGTCCCGAGTGCTAGGTTCGGCGTGATCGTGACCTGCGTCTTCTCAGATAGAAAAGGATTGTTCGACGCCAGTGAGGTAGGTGGTGTTGCCTGTGCGGAGCGACGGTCCTCAGTGGTCGGGGGAGTCGGTGTCCTGCGAGGCGTCGGTGCTCGAACGATAGGAGGCGGGCTCGCGCGAGGTATGGGCAAGGCGACAGTCTGAGGAACCTTTTCATCGACAGGAAAGTCATGAGAAGGGCTGTCATGAGTCTGCGCCTCGCCTGCCATGATCGGCGAATCAAGCTTTGTCTTCCTACTCTGAAAGGTGAACCGCTTGTCCATGAAAGGTGTGACAACGTGATCCCACCACCCGTTTGCTCTGGAACCCGCGCTGTCAGGTGTCAAGCCCGCGACTTTCATCCGCTGTTGCAGGGCTGACTTTGGAGTTTTTGGGCTTCCATCCTCCTCGAAGAGCGTGCATGGTGACCCTCCATCATCGCTGTTGTTGCCGCCTTCGAGACTGATGAGTCGGCGATGGGCAGACGTCTTGTAGCCGGACGGCAGGGCAGGCACAGGAGGCACATCTTCATTGATGGGCTGCTTAGACCCACTGAGGTTGGTGGCCTGTGAGTATATGCTCGATGCGGGACGGAAGCCGTTGGTGGTTGACGCAGTCTCTGGCGTGTCAGGGGACCAAACCGATATCTGTGGCCCTGATGGTCCCCGTGGGGAATGTGCCGGCCCTTCGCCAGGGCTGGCGCTCGGAACACTTGGTGTAGTGTCGCCACCTCTGTTCTCGTTATCGGGAGGAAATGAGATACCAATCATGATCGGCGCATCTCCTGGTGTCAAGTTGACGCCTCCGCTCTTTGGGGTCGAAGTCTGAGGCGTGGCCGAGGCAGGGCTCCTCCCCTTATTCTTCTTGAGCCAATTCCAGTTGCCTACTGAAGCCGAGTTGGGTTCACCCTCCAGTGCCCTGAGCGCCGCCGCATCGACGAACTTGGCAGGTCTTCCGTTGTGTGAGTGAGCTTGATCCAGTCTTCGAAACGTGGTCATGTCCGTGATGACCTTGATCCCCGCCATTGCATTCTGTGCCCTCTGCCTGTGCCTTGATTTAAGGCGTCGAACTCTGGTAGTTGAAAGTCTCGGCAGTGATTGTCGTGGGCCATGGTGTTTCTGTTGTGTCGATGAATAGGAGTTTGGGGGCGCGGCATCGACCGCGACTTGCTCACTCGGGTCTATTGGGGTGACGACATCTTCATCCTCCCAGTTCTCCCAGTCGTCGGTAGATTGGCGGCGGGTTGAATCCCCAAGCTGCTGTGGTTGTATGTGTGTGGTTGCCATGATTGGCTCTGTTTGATAATGGTAACGATCGTACTGTGCTGATGTTGGTGGCCTGCCACAACTAGTTCACCGTCGAAGCGAGGTTTCTGTTGGTAAGAGCTCTTGGTAACGTAGGAAGAACAACGCTTTTGTCT